ACTCTTCACTCCCAATCTTAACCAGTGGACTTACATACACAAAAGATCTTACAAAAAGTTCAATACAGGAAAGCCATCAGCCGTCTCTTAAAACGATACAATAGACAGAGCTCGCTAATTTAAAGTGATGAATGCAAGGAATTGATTGTTGTTTTATTTTCTTATTTGACTTTACTTGATATTTCTAATCTAAGTTTGACAAAGCTGTCCGATTAGACATTTTCTTTGCAATAAGAGATACTTTTTGAAAAATTTAACATCTTAATTCTACCAAAAATATAATGGATGTATATACCGAACATCTCAATAGTCATTCTCTTTTGTACAATGTCAAAATATGGCTTTATATTATTTATATGAATAAGTTTATTTCAAAACTGACCTATTTATTTTTTTTTTCTATCGTAATAAAGGACTAAACACATAAAGGTTATTGTAACTCGAGTTAATTTTCCCGAGGTTCACGAAGGTCTTAGTCTTCTCCGGAACATTGTAAGTCAAAATAATCAATTTTCTGGCATGTTATTATGATAAATACATCATAACATCCTTTTTAACAAGTTCAAACAAATTTACAAGCAACCTTATATGCCCCAGTGCCGTTTACAATAGAAACAGAAGAAACTGTCGCAGTTTAGCTTTTGGGCAAATGCATCTTGTCAAGAGAACAAATTCGCTATGCCCGGAGCAGATCCGGATCAAAGAAATCGTGATTGCCCGTACGGAGATGTATTTTAACGGGATGATTAAGAACTCAATGGTCAAACTGTGATGAGGATACAGATCTGTGTGTCGTTATGAGAAGCTGACACGGAAAGTAACTTTTGTCCACGGTATGAAACTTTTTATTTTTAATTCTTTTGTGTTATTAAGAATTTATTTAATTCAAGATTTTCTTGTTTATCTTATTTTTCAATGGTTTGATTTTTTTATTTAATTTTTTATATTGAAATTACTTTTATTTAATACTTCAATTACTCTATTTAAAAAGTAATTGCGTTTCACTAAAAAAAATCATAACAATTTTGATAGAATATAAAATAATGATTATGACAATAATGATGATATATGGCATAATATTTTATTGTTGAACAGTCGATGTGATACCAGTAATATTAAAATGGTATGGTCTTTCGAAGATCTCACTGTTTAATAGATCCAATATCCATTTATTTATTTAATTCTTATATATATATAACACAGAGAGGTTCGAGCAAACTTAAAGTCTGTATACGAAATTCGGCAAAAGGTTTCGAGAAAGATTAAAATATACACAATACATGTTTTTGATATTGTAAATTTTCTAAAATTTTAAATATTTTTTCTTGAAAGTGACAGCTGGTGAAACATTAACTATGTATATAGTAAATAACTCATTTACTCCTCGTTATAAATGAAGAGAAGCGATCAATTTTTTTGATTTCTTGTGTATAATGAATTGTAATCTTTTTTCATATTTTAAAAATTAAAGTTTTTTTCTTGACAATGCAAATTATTATTTATTCTAGTCTAGACTGATATTGCAACTACTTTTCAGATGAAGATACCGATATTTATAGTTTTATTATGTCTCATTGTACGGAATACACACCAACAAGGTAAGTTTTATTATTAAAAAGGGTGTATATAAAGTTCCCAAGGGATTTTCCACGGGAGATAACTCTTTATTAAGTAAATGTACAAGTTTGAACTGGCAATTAGCAGCACGACAAGTGCCACATGTAGAACAGAATCTGCTCACGCTTCCGGAGTACCTGAGATAACACCCTTTTTTAGTTAGGTTCGTGATTCTCTTTCTTTAGTTTTCTATGCAGTGTTTTGTGCCTGTTAAAACGTTTAAACCGCTGCAATTTTATGCACCTGTCCTAAGTCAGGAGCCTGTTGATCAGTAGTTGTCGTTTGTTGGTGTGGTTCATAAGTGTTTCTCGTTTCTCATATAGATTAGACCGTTGGTTTTCCTGTTTGAATTGTTTTACACTAGTCATTTTGGGGCCATTTATAGCTTGCTGATAGGTGTGAGCCAAGGCTCCGTGTTGAAGACCGTACTTTGAACTAAAATTGTATACTTTTTATACATTGTGACTTGGATGGAGAGTTCTCATTGGCACTCATACCACATCTTCTTATTTATTTTTGTAGACTGTCGTTTGGGTTTTTTTTTCGTCTTTTTTTCGCTTGTTTGCCATTCTAGTGTCAGTTGTTCTTAAGTCTATGTTTTTGGATTGTTCATTTGTTATCTTCTGGTTCTTTTTCTTTCTTTCTTTCTTTACAATTGAGATAACAAACAAATTACAAACTGTACTATTACAGCTAACCACACATTGTTGTCCGATACCAATGAAATATGAACCTGCTTAAATACATCAACATTTGGCTAGAATAGAAATTTATTTTACATTCAGTTTTAATGAATAAAATTTAAAACAAAACAAACAAAATAAACATTACCGATTGTGTAGTAGGGCTGACTTTAAAAAAAAATAGATGCTTTAAACCATTGTTTCGTTACGTTTCGTTAAAGCAAGACAGCTGGGCAAGTTGACTTTAAATCGTTTTTCCACTCTCTATGTAAAATAGTTAGATACATTGTAATTTGCACTTAAAATTTTATTTCATCCATTGTATGAAATTTAACAACCATTCCGGAAGTGCGGTCCCATTAAACAGTTACACAGTTTGAGAGCTTGACAACATTTCGTGTAGAAAAGGTCAACATAAAATCAAAGTACAAAAATGTACAAGATTATACTATTTAAACAAAAAAACATGACACTGCTATTTGTACGTGATTCATACGATTCGATGTAAATAAATGTTTAGTTTTTATTTTTGCAAAAGAATGTTTAAACATCTTTTTTAATCCATTTTAAAAAACACTAGATAAAGCAGTCTTATAAAACGTAAAACATGCGATATTGCTTTTTTCGACATATTTGTAGATTGTTGATCGAATACAAAATTGGAAAATAAATATATCTACCGTACCTAAGACAATATTTTGTTTTCTTTCCTTTTTCTCTCTTTTTGTAGCTGGTATATAACTGTACACATTCTAACAAATGTATTCACTTTATTTTCACTTTATTTAATGAAACGGTGTAAGCATTAAAAATGAGAACACATATTTATCTCAGTTTGGAATATTTTCATTTTTTTTCCGATTTTGTACTTTTTCTTTATCTAAAAGAGAGGCGAAGGATACCAAAGGGACATTTAAACTCACAAGTCGAAAATAAACTGAAAACGCCATGGCTAAAAAGAAAAAGACAAACAAACAACAGTACACAAAACACAGCATAGAAAACTAAAGACTGAGCAACACAAACCCCACCAAAAACTGGGGATGATCTCAGTTGCTTCGGAAGGGGTAATCAGATCCTGCTCCACATATGGCACCCGTCATGTTGTTAAATTAAATGTTGAATTCAAGTATCAATTGTTAAATTATAGCTTTGTTCATTGTAAATGAAACACCAGGCCTTTCGGTCATCAAATTCTACTCAGTACTCGAAGAAAGTTTGTGCTCGAAACACCAAATCCAGTTTTTTTATTGATTGTTTTCTGAATCTTAGTATGATAATCGTACTCAAATTTTTAAGATTGGTTTGTCTAAATTGACTCGGGGAGGGTGTCTTTTATCTAACTACCACAGAAAAGTAAACAGTTGAAACTAGATAGGTCGAAGTCGAATGGACAAAACAAATATATTCAACTTCGAGTTATCCGAGGTCACGAGTTATAGCATGATTTCCCCAATTAAATATTATGGTTAGAATTGTCCAATTTACATTTCAATCCATCTGCATCGATAGTATAAAAATAATGTATTTTTAAAAAAAACGAAATAAAATAAGGAGGACAAATCTGATGTTTAAATAGAAAAGTAAACAGACTGTCGTCTTATAGCTGTTGATATTGAAAATTATTTTTTCGACATTCAATTTTCTTCAATTCAGAATTGTCCTTTCATATAAATTGTCGGATAACAAAACCTTGATTAAGGGAAAGACCAACAACAATTTAAGAGGTTTAAAATTTCCTTTTGATTGATTGTTGATGTTAAACGTAAATGGCGATTATTTCACCCATTTTGAGAACGATAAAGTTTTGTTTTGTGGGTAACGTTTCAATATATGTATCAGAGGTGCATGGATCAGGGGTCCGAGGGCAATGGGAAGGAGCGTTATTGTCGAAAATTTTAGAAATACCATCGAGCGAAGAATGGCGAAACATTTCGATTTAAAAAAAAACGAAAAAAAACCATGTTTTTCCCCAATCATTAAAGGGGAGATTACGCCTTCTACGCCCCCTCTGAACCAGCAACTGTGTATTATGTTTTAGATAAACAATGTTTCGTTTTTAAATTATTTTGAAGGTTTAAACTGTTATGTTCCGGCTAACATTCTAATTGTTTTATTTTGTAGGTTTAAACTGTTATGTTCCGGCTGACATTTTTATTGTTTTATTTTGTAGGTTTAAACTGTTATGTTCCGGCTGACATTTTAATTTTATTAGATGGGTCGGACAGCATACAAGACAGAGACTGGACAAATGCTAAGACATTTGTGAAACAGCTCATCAAACAATTTGATGTAGCTCCCGACGCTATTCACATGGGAATTGTAGTGTACAGCTCCAATATAGGAGACTATGTTAGTTTTGCACCTTTCAAACCCAAAACAATGTTAGAGATTATCTCAACGTCTCTTCGGCACCCTAAGCAATCAACGAACACTGCCAAGGGAATCCAATATGCCAGAGAACAATTTAAAAAAGATGGAAGACCAGGTGTGCCAAAGATTCTAATTGTGATCACAGACGGAAGCTCTGATTCTCCGCGTGATACGCATTCTCAGGCAGAATTGGCCAAAATTGAAGGGATTCGTATCCTAGCTTTAGGTGTCGGAAGACAGGTTTTTAAAGACGAATTGCGACAAATTGCATCCAGTCCGAGAAAAGTTTACACTGCGACCTCATATATAACTCTCCAAGGATTAGTATCTGAGATCAGAAACATGGTTTGTCAAGGTAACTATCGCTTTCTTTTTTAAAAGTAATAGTTGGACTTGTTGGTTCAGAATATTGTTTTTTTCTTAATTTCCCCCTTATTTTTGTAAAGTGCGTGGTTGTGTGTGTGTGTGTGTGTGTGTGTGTGTGTGTGTGGCGGGATGGTGGACATAGAAAACATTGGATTTAATATATCCATCGGTATATTTCTCCGTATGAGAAGAGAATAAGAAAGAACTATTTAAGGAGGAATGTACATTCCGCGTTATACATGAGGGTCTGATTGTGTCTACAGAATAAAGATTAATGGTCAAAATGAGCTGAATAATGGCCTAAAAAAGTAAAGAATAGAAAATAATAGGCCAAATTAAATAAAGAATAGAGAATAATGGGGTGCTAAAATATAAAGAATAGAGAATAACAGGCACAATTTATTAAAAATAGAGAAAAATGGCATAAAGAGTTAAAAAATACAGAAACGAAAGACCCCCATCCACACCCTTATAATTTGGTACTGATAGAAGAAGATTATTTGCTTATTCGTTATCTACACTTTTTTGGCTTTATATATATAAGACTAATAGTATGTTTTAAAAAAAATAATATTGTGAGGTCATTTCAGATTGGATTTTAATTAACTTGGTACTGATAGAAGAAGTTTATTTGCTTATTTGGTTATAATATTGTTTTGAGGTGTTCTCATTTACTTTATGATATATACAAAAGTATTATTTTTTTTGTATGGAAATAATCAATATATTTCTACCAAAAATAAATTGTAAAAAATTATTACACATGTTCATATCAAGAGAAAACAAAATCATCTGAAAACAAAGTTATAGCCAAATAAAGAAATATACTCCAAATAATTGTGTGTCTTTCAACATATGTGTTTGTGCATTTTTTTAAATCCAACCAAAAATAATTTTGAAATATGTTTTTGAAAAAGATTTGTTTTTATAAGAAATATATTGCAAACACTAAGTCTTGCACTCCACCCGCTTCCACTTTTGGTTATTCCCAGGTATTTTTTCTATGGAATTCATTTGTAAAGTAATAATAGACATGTTGGTGTATTTTTTTTTCTAATTGAATCATCAGTACTGAATAGTACAGAAAATATCAATGTTAAAAGAGCCATAACTTTTGAATTTGTCAATAGACTTCCTATATATGCATCGTCATGTGAGGATCGAGGCATAGTGTACAAAGCTTCATGAACAGAAGATGAAGCTCATAGAAGGAGTTGCTTTCAAAAATGCATCCTAACAAAGGAGCGTAAGTCTGGGATTTGTTTATACCAAGTTGTCCTGAAATGTGCACATCTTCATAATAGTATCTTATAGTGTACTAAGTTTCGTGAACATCTGATGAAGCAAATTGCAAGATTCGAGTTCACAAGATGCATACTACATAGAGAGAGTTAGGGGAGGATTGAGCTCGCCACATTCTTTATGTGTCTGTACCAAGTCAGGAGCCTGTAGTTCAGTGGTTGTCGTTGGTTCATGTCTGTCATATTTGTTTTTCGTAAATTGTTTTGTTATAAATTAGGCCGTTAGTTTTCTCAATTGAATTGTTTTATATTTTTCATGTCGGCGTCTTTGATAGCCGACCATACGTTATGGGTTTTTCTCATTGTTGAAGGCCGTATGGTTGCCTATAATTGCTTACATCTACTTCATTTGAAGTTGGGTGAATAGTTGTCTCATTGGCAATCATACCACATCTCCTTATTTTTATTAAAGTTTTCTAAGTACACAGGAGATAACTCTGAGATGTTTCAAGGGACCAGGATACCCAATCTAGAAACACATATTGATGTTAAATTAGAATCTCACAATGTAAAAGGTTTTATTGACATTTGATGAAGGGGGTAGGATGAGGTGCTTCATTCATGCACAAAATGATCAGTTAATCAATGGAAGAAAAATTTCTTCATGCTGCAAAGTTGGCACATATATTATAATCTGTAATTGTAAAAAAAAAATTGACTTGAAAAAAAAATTAGACTCTTGAAAAAATAAGTTGAGACGTGTTCATTCCTTTTAGATAAATAAGCTCATCATAGATACCATATAACCCCTAACCTTGTTTTCGGGAATTTTAGAAATGAAATACCGTCAATAGATTACATTTTATCTTACCATTTGTTTATAGGTTTCTTTCAAAATTGCGGAAAAACGTGTACATTTTAACTTCCCTAACTTATAACTTATTTGTATATCTATGTATAACAAATGGTTATAACCTCATTTAAGTGCACATGTTAAATACTGACAAAATATCCCCCTGACTGCATGTCAATAATGAGTATTTTAGTATTCTTATATAATTTGTTTTCACACCATAGTTTCGTATCAAAACCGTTACGTTCAAATGATATTCAGTAAAAGTGACATTTATTACTTTCTTCACACTATTTTTTCTGTGGGAAATGAAAAATAATTGTGTATTGCAGAACATTAGTTATCTAATTCAATTACAGAATACATAAAACATGTCCTGATCGACGAACATTTTACAAGATTTTCTGTCATGTTGTTATCTTGTTTATGAATTATTTATGTCATTGGAAACCGACTTTTGCTGATTTTTTTCCAAACTTTTTTTTAAATTTGTTTTAGAAACCTTGGCAAAGGATTTTTTATTCTCGAATTTCTTACTTATGAAGAAAGCTATTATTTCATTTGATAAAAATAAAGAGAGGAAAAAAGACAGAGAGAAAGAAAAATGGCCATGGATAAGTAAACTAAAAGAAAATATTATTGCTTTCAAAACTTGAGCATTATTTTCATTCAAGATTGACGATTAATGCCCATATGTTTATCTTCAAATATTGATGTTTAAAACACCACATTTGGAAAAAGACGTCATTTATGAAATTAAATTTCAGCAGCTAAATCCTTCGAACTTCCAAGCAGGGACCGAAGCGGCAATCAAAAACGCAGGACTTCGGGATAGTTCGGAGAGCCGACTACCTTGCTTCGGAAGTTGGATCGTTACGCAACACCCTCATAAACACCAGTGACCATGGTAATTAATTGATTAACCGTGTTATTAATTTCTACAAAAACTATCATTTACACCTTATTATATAAACTATCATAATTAATATTTTATAGTTTACAAAGTATTCTTTACCTCTATTAATATCACAATGAATAATTTGCTCGATCAACTTTAAAACACGAATGACATAATTTATTGTCATGTTAACATATTTGTGCATGATAGATGACAAGATACGACATAATTTACAATTTTATATATAAAAAATCAAAATAAAGAATCATGCATATTGATTTAAACATAATAAAAAGATACGTACAACGCGTTTGAAAATACCATTGGAAATTCATTTTGTGATTATTGATTAACATCGTTAGCGTTTTCATACAAAAATTTTATAATCTTTTTTTATTAAAGATGCAAAAATTGCAGAAGCATGCATATCGATTTTGAACATAATAAGAAGATAAGTACAATCCGTTTTAAAATACCATTGGAAATTAATTGTTTGATCATGATCAATACTATTGTAGTTTTCATAGTAATATTGAGGGAGTTATATTATCGGTAATTGATTACCAGATATTCCACGAGAAAACAATAACATACACATGACACAAGACAAGACAAGACAAGACAAGACAAGACAATATTTTATTTAAGTCTCACCTCTTCATTTTATTAAACATACAAAAAGTTAATAAAACATAATCATAAAACATACAAGAGCCACTCTAAAAACAGTTATGAGAGACTATCTAAAATGTATATACATTATATACACTAAAAGTAGCAATATAAAATACATCTTCTTTTCAATAAAATGTCATTGCAGATTTTGGCAATATAAAAGAACATATTTTCATCTGTGAATAAAAATACAAATTTATCGTCATCCGACAAATACATAAAATTAACATTAAAAAGAGATGCTTGATAAAACAAATAACAACGCAAATCTTCATACACTGGACAATTCATTAATACATGTTTTTCATCTTCAATTAAAAGTGTTGTTAAAACAAATTTTATTTTCAACTAAAAGACCTTCACACCTTCCAGTCTCAATTTTCAAAGAAGCAGTACCACTTCTAAATTTGGAAATGCACTCCTAAATTTTCAAGAAATGGTTTTTAATAAATATTTTTCTTCGTCAAAATCATTTTTGAACAGTATGTAAGTACGTAGTTTGCTACGCTTGTTTGACATTAAATCATTGTACCATTGTTCTTTAAATCTATTAAAACAGATTTTCTCAATATCATTTATAACATGTTTATCAATAATAAAATCAGTATTACAAAAATGTTCCATATCAACTTCTTTAAACTTTGTTAAGATATACAACAGAAAGTCCTTCAAACCTACATTGCAAATAATTGAAAACATTGCACCTGGAATTGTCGATTTTCAGATATAAACGAACTGTTCATATTATTTTTAAACGACCTGTAATCAATTTTATAACAACATGGATAAATATAAATTGTTCTATTTTTGTTCTCATATCCGAAGACGAATGTTTTGAATCTTTTAATGAAAAACAGTTAGAAGTTGATAAGGAGGGTCGATAAAAAGACAAAGATCCACACTCGCTCCATATTAGAGGGTCTGGATGGGGTTTACAGAATAGAGAATAAAGAGTCAAAAATTAAGAAATAAAGGGCCAACTTTACAAAGAATGTAAACAAATAGGCCAAAGAAATTAAGATTTGAACATTAGTCACAAGTTTATCATCAATAATTATTTGGTGTCAAAATTAAACATTTTATACTGATGTTTAGACTTCTAGATAATTTGTAGAACAAGTAGTGATTTCAATGGTTATAAATGACCTAAAAGGTGACAAACACTTAGATTTAAGTAGCCGACTTCCGTTTCAATTAATGTATAGTAGAGTCCATTGGGTAACATTGCATCGTGGGTAATTGCAAAAGTAATAGCTTTTAATAAAAACTTGTTATTTGGTAAGTTAAAGATTTTCTAAAAATCTTGTAATTGGGCAAACGGTAGCTTTATGAAGAAATTTTTTTTTTATAGTAGTAGCTTTTTTATTTCTTAAGAGCTTACCGTCTCACAGCTGATGATATGAAACATTGACAAGGATGTAATAATTAAAACACAGAAGTGTTGACCCAATTCTCCCTTTAGTTAAGATTTGGTACCAATAAATAGGTGTTCTTGTTTCGTATGGATTCATTTTTCAATGTATCATGTATATTTAGTATTTGTCTGTTTGTTTATTTTCGAAAAACTTGAATATTATCCCTGGTCCTGTTTCTGTTTTCTTCATGCATAGAGTCAATAAGTCGGAAACTTAGTTAAAAGAAGTGACGTTTGATCGTTGAAGAATGCATTTATATATTTCAAAAGGTTAGGTGGAATGGTTTATCTTTGAAAATTGCAAGTCTAAATCAGGAAAAATAAAATTAAAAAAAAGTTGTATAAATTGTATTTACTATGATTCCATATTTTATACTATTTTTTAGTACCAGTAAACAGCCTCTACCTATAATACAATCTGAGCCCCTCCTCAACTGAAGTCGTAAGCCTATATCAAATCTTACCTTACCTTCAATTAGCGCACTGTTCACATTTTATAAATGCTTAAATTCAGACAAGCTTTTTCCAAAGCTAATGCTTGTTAGTTGATTATGAGTGGTTTTCATGTGTGTGTGTTTCTGTTTGTTTGGCTGATAGGTCGTGAAGGACAATGTTCACTTTAGGCCAAATATGGCTTTAAAATTCAATTTTATCATAAAATATCAAAATGGCCATAATTTGGTTCTTAAATGGATCTATTTCAAAAGCCTTACTACTAGGTTAACCAAATCTCTTCATTAAGAGTACATTCTAGGCTTTAAAGTCAGCACATTTTAGATATATTGTCAAAAAATGATGATTTTGTGCATTTGTCGGACCTAAAAGCCTGAAGAAACCCTTGGCCGTAACCTAGGATCTAAAATGTTCTGAAGCCAAAAGTTGCCAATGATGAAATTCGCTTGACACAAAAAGCTGGATCAGGGATGGCGGCCAAAGTAAATTATGTTAAAAACTGTAAAGAATTATTGAAAAGGAGTAGGTCCGGTAAGGGCCGATTTTGGCCTCAAATTTCAGGTTCATATGACGAAGGATTTTGGACACTTTTTGAACACTTAAGTGTCTATTTCAGTTGATTCTATTAGTTTATGTGAAAGATTTTAACTGATTTAGTCATTAAAAACGCTCCGATCCAAGCTTAAATATGAAAAATATATCAAATATGCCAAAAATGTCACTTTTCAGATGGTTTTTGTCAAAAATGAAAGAGGCCGCATCCGTGTTCATCCTCAACCTTTATATATGTTATGTATTATCATCAAATACAACTTACATTTCAATATTAAGAATGAACACAAATGCGGCCACTTTCATTTTAGACGGAAACCGTCTAAAATTTAACTAAAATGCTAAAATTGTGAAGATTTCAGTAATTTAGCCTGACTAAAGGATGCTAGTACCCGATATATGTGCATTGTATTGTCAAAAACAGCCCATATTTATGTAGCAGAAGCATTCTTCTTACCAATAAATAACTTTAAGTTTACATTTTAACAATTTTTTAAAACTGCTATATTTTGGGGCCAAAAAGGGGTCTTACTGGACCTACTCCTTTGATCAAATCTGACGTTACAACACACATAATGCATACTTGAGGGGTTATTTCTTCGGCTTTTTTAAGGTGATGTGCCAAAAAGAAGTTATTTTGTATTAAAAGTCCAACTATTTCTATGTGAAATTTGTAGTATTTTGGCCTGTTTTGAACAAAACATCACATTCTTAGGGCCAATTTTGACCCTTCGTGAACTTACTCCTTTGACTCTACGCAAAACAATAACGTTCTTCCGGTACACATGACACCAACCAATTCGCCATTTCTGAAACCGAGAGATTGTGGGTAATGCCATTGCTGAGGATGTTGTTACCAAAAATCAACGTCTTGGTGTACGGTTTTTAAAATACTACCCAGTACCATACAATATGTAACTATGGCAATAATTGATAAACAACTTCAACGTCATTTTCCGATCTTGAATCAGAATGTAAAAGCGTTAAGGTATATAAATCATGTACGTTTCTTACTTTTATATTTTCAATAATTTTCAATCATTTTTTTCCAGTAATTACAACCACTACAAGTTCACCTTTGCCGACACAAATGGTAACTCTTCCGTCGATACATGTTGCCAATCCTAAAGGTAAGTCTCGGCTACTTCTCGTATGATGTGATGATTTATTCAATAAAACAAATGAATGAAACAGAAGACCTAATATTTTACAATGTTTCTTCATCAACTAAGATGCTGCAGAAAATATCAGGGGTTTTGAAAAAGGAATATTGTTTAATTCAAGTTCAAATGCGAATTCAAAACTTCATTGTCAAATAAATCAACTTATATGATTTGTGAAAAAAAGGAAATCCAAAATAAAAGTTGGAAAATGAATAACAAACACGTATAAATGACACATTATGTATATTTAAAACAAACTTATGATTAAAAAACAAGCTCCTTACCATTAATATTGTTGACCGTTGAAGATATGTATGATTTGTCAAACAATAAAATGTATGTTTATGTTTTATTTTGAATTAGAAAGCATTTCCTAAAATAATGAAAAAATTAATAAAAAGGAAAGGAAATAGTTTGTAATTGTTTTCCTTGTTACTTCTGTTAAAACGTTTCTTACTTTGTTTTGCAGATAAGGTTTGTAATGTGCCTGGAGACATCGTATTTTTAATTGATGGATCCAACAGTATGAGCGATGCGGACTTTCGGAAACAAAAGAATTTTGTGGCTAATATGATAGATAACTTTGAAATCGGAAAAGAGTTTATACATGTTGGTATTGTGGTATTTAGTACAGTGATTGGTGATATAGTCCACCTACAACCGTCCAGATCAAAAGATTTATTGAAAATTTTAGCAAACAATTTACGACATCCGAAAGTTGGTACCAATACAGCGTTGGGTATTGAACGTGTGCGTAAAATGATGCGAGAGGAAGGACGTTCTTTTGCCCCAAAAATCATGGTCGTTGTTACCGATGGTCGATCTGCCTCGCCCGCTCTCACATCCTTGCAAGCATCTTTGGCCAAGGCTGAAGGACTAACTGTTATTGCTATTGGTGTGGGAAGTGCCATGTTCAAGGACGAGCTGGAAAATATTGCCAGTGACGGAGGGAAAATGTTCCAGGTGACCAGATTTCAAGATTTGGAATTGATTATAAATGCAATGAGAAATTTGATTTGTCAATGTAAGCATCTTTTTAATTGGTCGCCGGCAATGTGAGAAAAGCCAGTATTATTATATACTATAGTTTATGATACCACTGTGTATGATACACTTATAGAATTTTTAAATACATGCACTAGTCAGTGGTTGTTTCGGTAATACCTCATTTTGCTTTTCAATAATGTATCCAAATGCACAAAGGGTACTCATGAAAAACGCCAAGGATAAAGAAGGAAGTCAAAAGGGTGATAAATTCAAAACCAATTTATACAACTGTGTACAAATGATCAAAACAAACGTTTCTTGAAACTTTTTTTTATTTGAACCAACGTGTCAGGATTTGATTTATGTGGATTTTAGCTGATGTAAATATCAGCTCGATTAGATGAAAGATTAAGATTTTATGATCAAATGTGTTCGGTCCTACAAATGATGTACTTCTGTAATTTCAAAATGATAGTCGAATCACAGAAGTTTTTTTCAGCTGGTTACACTGTTACAATGTTGACTACCAGTTTTCCTCAAAATTTACCAAAAAACTAGGTCACGGTCTCATTGTCCAAAGTTAGGTATTGCTGGACAAGGAAATTTAATGACCATAAAAGTATTTTCGGCAGGTGGTCAAATGCAATTATGTCAATCCTTAGATTTGTTATGTCAACGATTTTTTTATGCTTTTTATCGGTATCCTTTTTTTTTAATGACTTTTATTCGCTCAAACACGATAAAAAAAAAGCTATACTGGCAGAGGATTTGTATGTTAAAAGAAACAAATAACGTCTTTAATTAATCCCTCTTTTCCATTTCAAATTAATAAAGTTTGCGCAATGATTTGACAATCAGTATCCCATGTGACATTACGCGGTGCGTTCATTTCGATTGAGCATCTAGTTAAAAAAAAATGAAGATTTCTACTTTGGGTTGAGGGTTCGTTGCCTCATAATTCTATTTGCGATGCCAGATTTCTTACTTTACAAAAGAAATAAATTTTATAAATATGATCGTAGCTTTCGATTTCTTTTCTAGCTATAACAACAACAACATCAACGACAACGACAACTACAACACCGGCTACAATCAACGTGCCTTATCCTGATGGTAAGTTTATATGAGGGTCTGGACGGGGTTTACTGAATAATAGCCAAAAAGTGCGGAATAAAGGGGGGAAATAGAAAAAAAATAGAGCAAAAAAAACTACAGAATAGAGAATAATAGGGTTTAAAAATATAAAGAATAGAGAATAATGGACAAAATAAATTTGGAATAGAGAAACAAATCTAAAAGATTATAAAGAAAGAAGTGAAAAAAAAACCATCCAGACCCTTTTTTATGGGGCGTTTCAAAATGATTTTTTCTCTCTCCCACATGAAAACGATCATCAGTGTTCTCATTGCCAGTTTAAGTATAAAAAGTTCAATATAAAAATAAGAAGATGTGGTATGATTACCAATGAGACAACTCTCCACAAGTGTCATGCACTTGTCTGGAAATTTTAATTTTAATTTGTTTTTATTAAGAAATGCACATTTATACCCCGAGGGATCGAATGCAAACGAGAGAGGTCCAAATTGAAAAGGTGATTCCAAAGTCTTTAACAATTTCATTGTAAAAAAATGTCTTTTGAAATTGAAAAAAGGAAAAGTGGAATAATTGCCAATTAGACAATTATCAAATAGAGTTCAAATAACGTGGATTTAAAAAATTATAGGTCAACATAAGGCCTGCAACAATGAACAAAACCCATACAATATAGTCAGCTATAAAAGACTCCGACACGACGAAACTGCAAGGGGGTGGTTACTTACATCCAGAATCTACATAATCCGTTAATAATAATACTGAAAGAATATCCAAACCGTTCGATCAAACAATAGCTCTGATTTTATTTGAAATCATCATTTTATTCACGATTTCCCAATAAAATTTGTGTCAATGCACTGTTTGCAAATACATGTATATTTGAGAAATTTGCCAAAGACCGGTTATTATACATATTTAGATTAAATAACTCGAATTGATATCACGCGATATCCAATTCTCACTCGTTATGAAACCTATTCTGTTTCAGATGACTTTTCCATGTGACATGTCATTTAAAAAACATTCTTCATATTTTCTTAATAAACGAAAAGATATCTTATAGATCGGCATGGTATACAGAATGTGTTTCTTGCGAAAAGGTACTCTCGAACCCAAAAGCTAAAAAAGTTACAAACCAAAAACCTTCGTCGCAGAGAAGCAGAAAGTATTTTGATATGGCGATTACAGTAATTCTTATGTTTCAGGTCTATTTTGTGACGTCGCTGCTGATGTTGGTTTCGTAATTGACGGGTCAAAAAGTATATCCTCCGGGGATTGGCCAAAGGGACTTAATTTCGTTTCTAACGTAATAAATAACCTATACATTACCCCGGAGGGTATACATGCTGGTATAGTAGTATACAGTACCTTTATAAACGAAAAAGTTTCTCTGAACCCCTTTAAACCAAAGCCGTTGTTGATGGCCATGGCTAAACGTTTGAAACAACCAAAACAGGGAACCAACACCGCGTTGGGTGTTGATACTATGAGACAGATGTTCCGGAACCAAGGTCGATATGACGCACCGAAAGTTATGATTATTGTCACTGATGGAAAATCTACAAATCCTGGACAGACTAAAATCCAAGCCGCGAGAGCAAAGGCCGAGGGTGCTATTATAATCACAGTCGGTATCGGTGGCTCCAGTATGTTTAAAGATGAAATCCGTGACATCGCTACCAATAATAAATACTTTGAAGTGGCAGATTATAGATCGCTTACAACCATTATTCAGCAACTTAGAGATTTAATTTGTATGGGTAAGTACATCTATATGTCTCGTTTTACAAAGCTTTCAAGCGGACCTGTAAAATCGTTCTCCTATTCACGTTTTAGTAAGCTAAATCAACAACTATTTTTGTCCATTTCTATCATAATTAGAGAATGTTTAAGTAATATTTCCTTTACCTTTGATACTTTGTTTTTTCTGTTTGCGTTTTTTTTTTTTTGGGGGGGGGGGGTGAATCGTTGATATCATCTGTAATACCCATTTTATCACCCCTGTTTTCAATAGAAAATTTGATTTTCGAAATTTACATAACACATGAAAAAAATCTTTATTTTTGATGAAATAGAGCACCTGTTTTACCTCCATATTTGGACATCTTTGTCCGATAAAATATGACGTTAAAACCATAATGCACAATACATTTTAAATTTTTACGTGTCTTCCCCCAGACAACACCTGCTAATATTATTAATTTCTGTCCATATACATGTACTATGACATTATGATTACATGTATTTTACGCCTGTTAGACAGATTGGTATTACAGTTATTGTGTATCGTCATACGCCCATATAAATGATTATTCTGTCATCTGATCACAAGTTCGCAGTAAATCATTATCCCGCAGTTAATTTCTCTACGGGCATCAGTGATTAACGTTGCAAAAAGGTGAAAAGTTTCAAAGCAAGAAATATGTCTGTCATATTGAATAATTAGTTAACAAATGCCTTTGAGATGATTTTCCTACACTATGTACCTACGATGAAGTATAGTTATTTGTCTTCGCAAAACAAGTTAAATGTTTGTTAATTGTTTTAGGCCACACTAAATCTATTTGTGGTTATTTCTCCCACAACATTAATTGACACACAGTTTTAAAAGAAAACAATTTCCTCGCATCCGAGATAAATGGCCTCCGAATTGCTTCCTATTGTTGAAAAATAAGAATTATAAGAAACGAAATTGTAGGCCGCTCACGCACATATGAGGGTGTTGATGGGGTTTACAGAATAGAGAATAATGGGCAAAAAATATAAAGAATAGAGAAACATGGCATAAAAAATTAAAGAATACAGCAATGAGGGACCCCCATCCAGACCCTCATATATTTGTCAAAATATTGATTCCAGTTGTGTTATGAAATATGCAACCTTTTTATTCAATCAATATCTTTTTTAATTTTTTTTCTCCAGGAAAACAAAAACCTAACTTTTCTGAAATTTCATCTGTCTCCATAAAACGGAAATTAAAGGTTTTTGTGGCCAAGATTCATACTTTAACAAATTGTCGATCGTTGTCGTATAATTTGCATACTTATGTGGTGAAGGCAATTTATCTTCCATAAACTAATCGATATAAAGAGTAGTTTCTCTCAAAAAATGTAAAAATTCATCATCGAGTCTTCAACTTTTTGTCGAGTATATTTTTTTTTAAAACATCTTAATAATCAGTCAAACAAGTGTTTATGTGGCTTTCAAGTATTAACTTTTTTTGCTATCGAAATAGGTGGTGAAAAAGTCTTTCGTACATAAACATAATAAAATGTCCGTGTTTTCAATGACTCTGATATATTGTACAGATTTGTTTATAGTTTGTGTTTAAGATTAAACAAAAAATCACACAAAAAAAAATAAAAAAGAAGAAGGTTTGGGAAACACAAAACAAAAACAACGGATTTGACTGCAACAAGTAATATATGGAGTTTTGTATGAGTGGGTACCCTTCTCCCACCTCCCGCCCCTATCTCCCACCTCCCACTTTTAGAATCTTGTTTTCTCTCCCACCTATTTTATGTCTCCCACCTCCCCCCCGCACGTCCCTCAAAAGCTGTCCACCCCTCTTGTATAGTACCGGAGAAGTTAGCCTCTACAACGCCGGCACTTAGTGAGCCTACTCTAAATTATTGTTGATGTAGGGATGTTTTTTGCCCTTGTAATGTGACAATATCGTACCAAGGGCCAACCGTTTTTAACGTCCCTTCCGAAAACTTATATCGTGTTTGATCTTCCACACAACCGATGACTATCTTGCAGGCAGAAGGGGCTCGTATCCCTTTATCTGTGAAGATGGGACAAATGATTGTATAGAAATGAAAGTCTAAATATAGTATTTTGATCATTGTACAACGTGCCGCGTGTAAGTTTTTGAGAAATGAATCAGGACTTAGCTAATTGATTAACATGGAATATGAAATTGCACAATTTAATGTGTCTATAATAAACAGTGTACGTCAATGCCTTAAAGGGAATTTTCTTTGAAGTCTACATGTTTGTTCGACGATTAAACATAAAGCAATATTTTACAATATCTATTTAACTTGTTAAATACACATAATAATATATCATCTTAAATTAAGCTGTTTGTCTTTTCCCAAAAAATTTTTGTTACTTCAAGTTGAAATGACACGTGAAGGCGTACAGAGAGGTACATCTTGTTTTATATTTCTGATCTAAACAAGAATCGTCGCACTCTATGTCGGAGTTCGTTTTCAATAAGAGTTCGCATTTTTGTATCGTCATTTGTTAGCAGTTAAATTTGACAATGAATAGTCTAATGAGTCCACACGAGGCAATGCGAAACGTGTTTTATTTAAGGATGTTCGCTCCTCTGGGTTTTTGAATTTTTGTCAGATGTTCGGAATCCTCTGGTTTTATCCATGTAGTACCTTTAAATTTTTTTGCCCATTAACCCCTACTTTTCTTTCCATAATTTGATTACATATAGTTTTAAATGTCATCTTTGAAAAAAATCCTTGTTATTTTTTCGTCGTTTTTGAAAGAAAAAAGATGCCAATGTTAAATGTACGAAAAATCTAGAGAGAATTATTTCCCGCCAAATTTTCAATGGCTTATATCTCGAAAAGAAGCAAACGGACCCTTCATTTTTTTCTGCTTTTTTAGTTTCTTTAGTCATATACTGTCAATGTATAACAGTCTTTTAAAAAGCTTGTTATTTTGAAACAGAGTAGCGAACATCCTTAATATAACCATTTGAATACCATACTTCATTTCATTTGTGTTTCTGTGATTTTCAGGGTATGGCATGATCATTTGTTGGATAATGGACACCCAAGTGTAATTTTAAATGTATTATTTTTTTCCAAAAGTACTGACTTCGTATTGACTTGATGACATCAACAAAAGAGATAGTGCACTCAGAATAATATAAGCAATGCTACTTTCGACTTTAGTTTTGTAATGTACTACAGTCTCCATTTCAAATTTGCAGTACGTTTGCGAGTGGGTGTGGTAAAAAACGGGAGTTTCTTTTGGTCTTGTCGAAGAGCCAAAAAAGTTATTGTTTTCTTTTTGCGTTTAGATATGGAACCTATTCCCCAAAGTTTCTTTATTGTAAATTTGAAACAATTTACGAACGCCATAATTGTTTTTTCTAATTGGAATGTCTGTGCCGCAGATAAACAGGGACGACGTGGTCCGTTCGTCGTAGCTACCTTGCTCCTTTTTCGCTTTTACCCATTGCAAATTTCCTTAATGTGTATCAATCTTTAGTCTGTGTGTATGAATCTTAAGTCTGTGAGTTTCGATATTTAGTCTGTGTGTATCGATCTTTAGTCTGTGTGTATCGATCTTTAGTCTGTGTGTATCGATCTTTAGTCTGTGTGTATCAATTTTTAGTCTGTGTATAAGGTGTTTTGTGGACTTCTGTTTTTTTGCTTTTTCGTCTTTTTTTCTTTGGTCATTCTATTGTCTGTAAAACTTCGATTTATTGTTCTTGATTGCTCCTTTGAATCTTCAAACTTTAGTATCGCGTATCAACTATTTCTTTGCACGAAATAGCTCTCTTTTCATTTAAATTGTCTCATGGATTTTCGTTTTGGGAATATTTTAGTTGCATTCATGTACGTCTCAAACATTGTTCTTAAATGTAATAACATGTAAAAGTTGAAAATGCTTCACATCAACTTTCGTTTTGTCTACACATGTGCATTTTTAGACAAGTGTGCGTTAAATCATTTAATTTGAATATTATCTTTCATGTCATACATATGTTATTTACTAAGGTGCATTTTATGAAATTAGAATATACACTTAAGTTAACATTTTTATATTTCAGTCATAACAACAACGCCTCCAGCAATAAGCACAACACCACAACCACCGCCACTGCTGCCACCAAGTATGTACTGTTTACACTCAAATGTATACATTTTAACATATTGCCTGGTTAATGTAGACTATTATATCTCAGTCTTTAATTATGTTAGGTGCGTTCGATTCAAAACTTAGTTGACTAGGATTGTCAGTTTTCTTGTCGATGATGGTTCCATCCGGACAATCGGGCTTCCTCCGCTAATTAAAAAATTGACAACCACGATATAACCAATAGTGCTGGAAGTGGCGTTAAACACCAAAAATCAATCATTCAATCAACAAATCTGTAATAATGCAGCAATTAGACGCACAAGTTTAAAAATTATTAGAATTGGAACAGAAAGCCATCTGCATGCGCATCGTTCACTTAAGTTAAACTGTTCATGATCAATTATTGGAAAAGATCGTTGTCTTCTTCTCCCAATAAGTTGACCAATCGTGTCAATATAATATGCTTAATACACATGTTTAATTTTTGGTTATTTCGAGCTTAATAACTTAATACAAAATATGTATTTGACATCTTATACCTTATCCATGTCTAAGTAAAAGGGTCATAAAAAGACAATGTAAAATCAACAAAAAGTCGTCTTTTAATACCTTATGCATTCTTTTGTTTAACAAAAAGACATTTCTAAATGAAGTGAATTATTACAAAGTGAACTAGTTGACGTCAACAACTGTAGTTCGTTAAAAATCACTATCGTTAACGGGAAAAAAACGCTTACTGTAACTCAAAAATACCATGTGACGAATTATATTATATAATTTTTGCTTATTTGACACTATCGGTAGCAAAAAAGGGCTTTTGGCGCTTGACAAAAAGGCCATTTCTAACCTCTTAAATCTTTGAAATACTTTTATAGCCATCGCTTACATTTCTCTTTTTTAGTTCCTGGTTGTGACATTCCTGCAGAAATCATGATCCTCACTCACGGCTCAGAAAATATCAATGAATACAACTGGAACAAAAATAAAGACTTTATAGTAAGCTTGATAAGGAACTTGAACGTCGGTAAAACCCAGCACCATGTCGGATACGTTGTATACAGTAACACATACGGCGATACGATTGGATTAGAACCGTACAAGTCAACCTTTGACCTGACTAATATGGCCAACTCGTTGATACATCCAGGGAAGGGCGTCAACACAGCCATAGGTATGTTTATTGTAATTGATAAAATACAAGTCAGAAAAAGTCAGAAATCGAAAGTTGTTTACTTTCGAGGAGTTAGCTTAGCTTGAACATGTTGAAGTCTTTTAATACAATTCTACTGAATGCAAATATGACAAAATGCAATACAATCAGACCAACCGAAGATGAATCTTACGAACCCTCTGACCCGTAAAAATCGGCAAAAATTATCGATGTTTGCCAGTAATTCATAGTCCGTACATATGATAATCTTTTTATAATTATTTTCAGTTTTCAATTGAAATATTTGGTAGCATGATAGGAAATAATTTCTATTAATTTTTAATTACAGGTCTAAAAAAACTAAGAGAAATTTACAACACACAAGCACGCACGAAAGCACCTAGAATAGGTAAGTGCACTTTTATATACTCTTGTGTTTTGTTATAAAGTTGCCATGGTAGTCTTGTGGTGGCGTAGTTGACACGAGAGCGGGAGTTTGTGGGTTCGATCTCCAAAATCAAACACTTGAAAAATTGTATTTGCTGCTTTTTGGCTTAGCACATGGCAATTGTATACTCTGGTGTCTTGATATAATAACTCCTACGGTGGTCTCGTGTTAGCGTGGTTGCCACGAGAGTGGGATATAGCGGGTTCGATCCCCAAAAACCATGACTTGAAAATTGAAATTTGCCGCTTCTCGTCTAAGCACGTGGCAATTAGGAGTAAGAGCAAAGACTGGTCGGTTTAATATGACCGATAACTTGTAAACTAGCACATTAAAAATCGGGATCAGAATGTCAGTCTTGTTTAAAGCAGGGTTCATATTTATATTACATTAACATCTCGTCGTCCTTACAGGCATGTTATATTTGCCACTGGACGTCAAACACCCATCAATCCAAGTTATTTAGATAATAACATGTTGGCAATGTCACGAACTGGGAAACAAGTACAACATAAACACTGTAGTCCCTAGATGTTGGTTCTCTTTCCCCCAGATATCACCGCTAACTGTTAAAAGAAGCTACTTTAATTTATTTCGAATGTCAAAGGGAACAATAATATATTATATATATATATATATATAACAGACCCATTTCCTGAAATGCTTTGATCGCTAAAGACAGCTTAAGTCTCTTACTTGAAAACTGCCGCGATGGTCACGTGGTTCAGACTTTAAATCAAGTAAAATATTTTTTTTTTTAAATTAAATTAGAAATATTTTAATGGGATATCTCTGAAAGGGATCCCTACTCCTTTTTTAATTCTTGCAGTTAGAGTTTGATTGCACACTAAAAATAACCAAAATATACGATATATATAGCTTACAAAAAAGGTCACCGAAAGGTTGACCAATAAGATTAGCAAAATTTTGAATAAAATAATCTGATCCAAACATGATACAATTTATTGAACGATCTGTAATAATTATAGGGGGCATCTGGGTAACAAATTAAAACAATACTTTATAAATTTCATGCGTCTGAAACGCTTTTCTGGATTAGCCTTCAGCAGAAACGCTCCAAACCGAATATTTGAAAGCCAAGGATGTATAAGTACCGAAATAATTGAAGAACAATATGTCTAGAAAGGACCTAATAATAATAGCCAAATCCATCTAATTGCCTGAGGGAGTTGAAACCTTAGTTTCAATTCACTTTTGTTTTACCAAATTATATGAATTTTCCTTTTGTTTTATATCTTCTTCATACCTTTCGTCTGTCCTCTTTTAATCTCAATTGGACAAACGTCAAGTTGATTGCTGAACTGCGCCGAATTTTCTGGTAAATGATAATCGATTGCCCATTGTATCCTCTTTTTATTTTTTTCTTTGATTTCAGGAATTGTCATTACTGATCAAACATCAACTGATACTGCGGCTACTAAACAAGAGGCAGAGCAAGCAAAGAGAGAAGGAATCAATCTAATGACTATTGGCATTGGTAACAGTATCAATCCACGTGAACTACAGCAGCTATCATCTTCTGAGAGATTTATCCACAGAACTGACAACTTTAACAGCTTGGAGATGATCATGCCTCAAATTCGACAGCAAATTTGTGAAAGTATGTCACTTACGGGGGTAGACCTGGGCTAAGGGAGATATCTAGTTCTTTACATCAGTAACGCGTTTATAACAGTCAGTTAAATCAGTACTTATTAAGCATGCATATGACAAAGACCTAAAGTAATCTGTGTTTCTTTGAAGCTTTGCTAATACTTATAAAAAATGGTTGACATAAACGTAGCAGAGATTGTTATAGTTTATTTCCCTTGACCTAAGTCCATCTTCTTTACATCCGAGAACTACGTGTTCCATAAGTCATCTAATTACAGATTTACTCTTTTAAACGCTGTATACAACAGTTTTTTTTGTTTTGGGAATAATTTGTTGAATGAAATTTAATATGCAACAATTTGCTGTGTTGACAAATTTTAGAAATATGCCTCCCCTTATACATAGTGATTCTTCTAAAAGCATCTTCAATTTTGCATTATTTTTACAAACTGATAAAAAGAAAATGAACAACGTCATGATTTCATCCATATAAATTCATATATAAGGATTTCATCTTAACCGGAAACTCTGGTTCCAAGTTTGCAAGTTCAGAAACGTTTATATAGACGTTAGCTGCATGATCACAAAGCGGTCAAGTTCATGTAGTTCTCTCCCTCTTTTTCAATTATAAGTAAACATTTTAAGTGTCAATCAATAACTAAATGTCTTTTTCCTTCTATTTCAGTTATCATGAAACCTAAAGGTGATTCTTTTACGGGTAAGTCACTGTTTTATTATTTTTTCGTTTAACGCAACGATTCCGTCCTTTATATTTTTTATGGCCCCGCAACAAAGTTGTCGGGGCCATATAGTTTTACCCTTGTCCGTCATTCCGTCATTCCGCAACAAACCATTATACGCAATTTTTATCTAAACACCTGCAGATATTGGGCTGATTTTTGGTATGTGAGTTAACCATGATGAGTTACAGATCAAGTTGAAGTATCGTTCCGCTCTGCTAATTTTTGCCGAAATTACGGGATTTGGACTTTGATAAATTGTTGAAAATCAGTTATACGGTTTTTTTTTTCTATACGCCTTCAGATATTGGTCGGATTTTTTGGTATGTGATTTAACCATAATGACTTACAGATCAAGTTTTAAGTTTTGTTCCGCTCTGCTGATTTTTGCCTGAAATTACGGGTTTTGAATTTGGAAATTGTTGAAAATCACAGTAATACAGACTTTTTTTCTATATATGCCTTCAGATTTTGCGCTGATTTTTGATATGTGAGTCTACCATGATGAGTTATAGATCAAGTTTATGTTTTTAGTTCCACTATGCTGATTTTCATGTCGTTTCAACACATTCTGTTACATCTACAGTACATCCACTTCCTGTTTGCTGATAATTTGAAATTTAACTACTCATTGATCAAGGAATTTTTTTTATCAAACTAGTATTGGTCTTGAGAACTGGATACTATCCATGCATGTTTGTGTCCACATGTGTTGTTGAAATTGTAGATTTTTAACTTTTTGAGACGGGGCCATTCGTGTCGTTCCGACACATCTAGTTTGAAAATATAATGCAGTGGTGGAAGTATATATAGATGAAACATTTATCTTTATACCAGTCAAATCCTGTGACTGCTCTTGATCAGGAAAGCCGTTGTTAATCCAATATTTCAAATGCTTTACACGCTGTTTGTCATGACAATCAAAATTTTAAATGTTTGCTAAAGTAAAACTTTCGACAGCTGTTTTTATCCAATCTATATTGTAGTTATTAATTGATTGATTGATTGACTCGTGCTTAACGCTACTTTCAGCACTGTTGGCTATTTTGGCGGCGGTCAGTTTCTATTGGTGGGGGAAGCCGGAGTGTCCGGAAAGAACCACCGATCTTTGGTAGAAAAACAGACAATCTTAATCAATTAAGATTTGATTCGATAGCACCTGCCACGTGCGAGACTCGAACTCACAACCTCAGTGTTCACAGGCTAGTTATACAGTAGTTGGACTACTGAGAACACTCGGCCACCGAGGCCCCTTTTCTATATTGTAGTTGTCATTGCCATTGTAGATTATGTATTTTGTTCAGGAAATAGTTTTAAAAATCATTTACCACTATTTGAGTAGCATTCGACAGCTTAAACATCAAAAGTATTTACCCTGTAACATTAGAGTCTCTCCATTAATTTGTGAAACGGCATCTTCAATGTTATTTAGTTCGTAATGTAATTGACCAATTCGGAAGCGATGCTGCATTATAGGAAATATTACTTGCTTCGACGTTCTGATTGGATAAGGCCTAAATTAGAGCATGATGAGCTAAACCTTCCGGAACTCCTGATATCACCCCGGTTTTTTGGTGTCGTTTGTGTTGCTTAGTTTATAGTTTTCTATGTTGCGTTTTGTATACTTGTGTTTGTCTTTTTGTCCTTTTTTTTAAATTTTTTTTTGTTGCCATGGCATTGTCAGTCTGTTATCGACTGATGAGTTTGAATACTCCTTTGGTATCTTCCGCCTCTCTTTTAGTAGGACATTCTGATGAGTTTGAATACTCCTTTGGTATCTTCCGCCTCTCTTTTAGTAGGACATTCTGATGAGTTTGAATACTCCTTTGGTATCTTCCGCCTCTCTTTTAGTAGGACATTCTGATTAGTTTACATTTGTAAGGCATTACTTTCTAAGACACAAAGAATGTGTGACATAATTCACGAGGATGATAGATGAATTTTGTATCGGGAACTTTCAAAACATGTGAAGTGTCAATGGGGGATAGGACCTATTTCTAGCGCAATTTTATATATCACACATGTATTCTGCTTGTTGAACGAATAACGAACAATGTTCGGGTTCGAGTTGGCTAACAAATTATACATTTGCATACAGTTTGTTTAGGTAAAAGCTAAAGAATTCAATATATTTGAATTATTTCAGAATTGTGTTCGGGTTGCCTAATCGACAAGGGAACAGGATTTAATCCTTACCCAGGAGACTGTACAAAGTATGTGCAGTGCTGGCGCGACAGTAACAGGGTAATGGGAGCAGTTAAATCCTGTCCATTTGGTCAGTTCTGGGACAGAGTTGCAATGGCTTGTCAACCATCACTTAGCGTACAGTGCCCAGCAGGTATGTATAAGAAATTAGAAACCTTTTACGTTTTTTTGAGCCCCTTAATATGAAAAAAATAATGGAGCATGTTTCGATGCAAGGCATAGTAATATTAATGAAATAAAATTTTAATAGAACACTAATGAATACTGACAGATAATAATGTATTTCCGAAGAGAAAAGGAATGTTAAACATGTGCATAAAATAATATTATTAAAGAAACAAAATATGAAGGGCAAATAAAAACGTCACCACAGACACCATAATAATAAATTTCAGTATTGTCTACACAAAGACTCATCAGCTCATAACAATACAGGTGGAAGACGAATCCTCTACATGAAATTTTCCATGCAGTAAATCGGTGATAACAGCAAGAACTATTAAAACCATATCTAATATGCCTATCCATGTTTTCTTTAACATGCTGAATGACATTTCAGGAGTTGTCCATAATAGAAATACAACTATTTGTATTATCTTAAATGGTGTTTATATCAGGAGTTTGATTTGAAGAGTTCTTTGGTGAGGGTGAGGGGTTTTTAAAGACGAGAATATACATGGATTTTCGGAAAGTTTACTTAAGGTGGTACCTAACACTACAGGGAGATAACTCTGTAAAAATCAGCTAAACGTTTAAATTACGTTATATTGTTAAGGAAATATTAAGCTTCTCAATGATCAAAATTACTGTTTGTCAAACTGCTATATAACCAATGAAATTTTTCTGATAGAGTGGTTGGTTCAAATTTTTTGAAAGTTTTATGTTTTTGTCAAAGGGTCAAAGTAAACATTTTGTCAAAATTTTATGAAAATTAAACGAGCCAAATTAATATTAGTCAAGGTGTTGGGTACCACCTTAAAGATAGGAAAATAACTATTTGGCAATCACGTCAAGTTGCCGCATTAAGTCAGACAGAATCATGACGATAATACTCGAACATCATCTTTCCCAATCCGCTTTACTTATTGTTTACTTAGTATTTATTATTACGAACAGACACACCAGAAATAGTTATAGTGCACTGAAATTAATTGAAAAAGATCCTATCCAATCCATTTTGCAGATGTATGTCGACATTCACCTGATGGGTTTACCTATGGTATGAAAAACAAAGGTTGCAGAGCTTATTGGTTGTGTGTAAACGGACATAGTGTTGGATCATGTTGTCCTGAGGGTAGTTACTATGTAGAAGGAATGGGATGCATGAGAGGAAAAGCATGCAAAGAACCTTGTCCACCAGATGGCGGTATTATTCTTACTCGTAAGTATTTGGATTATATTAGTTGACCTATTTCTCTCATTCGTTTCCATAACACCACTACACTATTGCTGACAATATTTGTGACCTTGTATTTTGAGGTAAAGCTATATTTGAACATCCGAAAACTGCTGTTTATTTCTCTTTTCAAAACCTAGCTTAAGCATGTTCCCTTCTCTGTTTCAAAATAATAAGCTTTTTAAAAGACTGTTATAAATTGATAGTATATAAATAAAGGAAAAAAAAAAAGATAAAAACGAAGGGTCCGTGTGCTTGTTTTCGAGATATAAGCCATTGAAAATTTGATTCTCTCTAGATTTTTCATACATTTAACATTGGCACCTTTTTTTCTGTCTAAAAGTATGAAAAAATAACAAGGATTTAATAAGATTTTCAAAGATGGCATTTTAAACTATATTTAATCAAATTATGAAAAGAAAAGTAGGGGTTAGTTGGCAAAAATATTTGATGGCACTATATGGATAAAACCAGAGGATTCCGAATATCTTGCAAAAATTCAAAAACAAGAGGACCGAACATCCTGAATTATCTTTCTTCCTAACATATTGTTAACCACAGTATGGGAAGGTACAATACCTTCATTGATTGATTTCATTGGTTTTTAACGGCTCTTCCAAAATATGCTTTCAAATTTTGTTATCTTTGTATCGTTTTCATTGAAATCTAATCCGAACAAACTTTGTAAAATACAATATTCGAGAAACTACTAAACAAATAGTTGTTTGTTTTAATTGCGATTAAGCCAATAACACAATGTTGACTGCTGTACCCTAATTTTTGACATTTGTACCTATTATGTTTGTTTGTTTTGCTCATAATGGTTGTCAATATAGTGGAATTTTATGCGACTGTCATACAAGTGAGAGGTTAAGCTAGCTTTAAAACCAGGTTTAATCCACCATATTCTACATAAGGAAATGCCTGTACCAAGTCAGGAATATGACAGTTGTTTTCCATTCGTTTGATGTGTTTAATCTTTTGATTTTGCCATTTGATAAGGGACTTTCCGTTTTGAATTTTCCTTGAAGTTCGGTATTTTTGTTATTTCACTTTTCATTAAAAACCCATTCGAACAAACTTTATAAGCTACTATATATTCGAGAAACTACCAAACAAATGCATGAATATCATTTAACGTGGTTCTCCGACTTATTATAGACCATGCCTGCCAACGCAGCGTTAACGCGATGTCAATCAGTCAAACAAAGAATTTTGTTTCTTTGTCCTGAACAGAGCTGTCCTGAACAAAGCATTACATCTGTAACATCCTGTCATTTTTCTTATCTATTTTAGCTGACTGCAGCAAGGAAGAACACTGGGATCAACGTTACTTTATAGAGAATGTTCCATTCTATGGCAAGGTAGTAAGGCCATGTCCACCTGGAACAGTCTATTCCACAAGTTATTGTGATTGTGTTGTGAGGGACACCAACAGCCTTATTCCAATACTTCCTGGAGGTGAGTAAGAGTTTATTCCCAGTGTATAGTTACAAATGTTCTTGATTCAGTTCGTCTGGTGGATTACATGAGCTTGTAAACCTGAAGTGTCAGAAGACAATTATGATTGCTAAATATTGTGATAAAAACCTCTTCCAATATTTTCCTATATAATGTTCATGTGTTGGAACGACGGTTGTATGTAATGTTATCCGGGAACTACGTGTTCCAGAAGTTATTGAGTTGTGCTGCTCAATAGACGGATCATGATGACCATCAGATAGCTAATTGGACAAGAAAGTAATGTAATGCAAAATTATAACAGTACTTCATAATATTTCCAATGATGTCTGCAAATGATATATAATGCAATATCTATCTACAATGTAAGATGATAATCCATACATCTTCCTGGCAAAACAAACTACAAGATGGGCACAATATGTAACACCACTGTCCCAGGCTATCAAATATTTCTAACCTCGCCACGTTCTGTATGTGCCCACCCCTAACCAGGAGCCCCTAATCCAGTGGCCTTCCATAATTGTATTTCCTTTAATGTAATTAGCTTGAAGCATACCGTTGAAATATATTCTTATCCCAGGGTACTAAAGGTTTTGGATCTGCTCATTGGTGAACGCCGTACGTTGACATGTAGTTATTTATAGCCTTGTCATTTGGTCTATGGTCATAGTTGTCTTATTCGGAATCATACCGCATCTACATTTTTGATTCAAGAAAAAACTGTTAAAATTACGTATTTTTTGGCCAGAAATTCTCTTCGGCTTCTTTTGAACATTATACTTTAACTCACCTAAGGGAGTCAACATTTATCACTGTCCTATTATTTCGGGAAATCATTGAATGTTATTGCTTTATCTTGACTTTTTGTTGATTCACATTTTGATAAGGAAAATGAGGATTTGAAGGAAACTTTTCTCCAAACATGTCAAAGTGGAATAACGTTCGTCCATTTTGTAAAATTAGGTCAATCCTAAAAACCTCGGCTTGCTTGATATCTTCGTCATGACATACACGACAAAGAACTTGTTATCAAACAAATATCAGTTATTTTCGATGCGGCAAATTCAGTGGTGTTTAATAATTATCCAATAGATGTGGATTATAGCAGATTTAAATTAAATCTACGGAACACCCTGGAAAAAGACTGAAATAATTGGTTTTTTTTTTTAAGTTTTATGCAGTGGAAATACAATGAAATATCTGAAAATAAACTGAAATAAATATTTATTGTTCAGTCTTTTATGTCAAAATGGTCGTTCTTTTAATTGTTTAGTGAGTATGGGTATTTCATTCAAAATAATGAGTCAGTAGAACTTTTACTTACAATAAATTTGTTATACAATGCACGTCTTTGCTGTCTATCGTCCCTTGACATTTATTTGTTCTTTTTTAAATTTATTATAGCGAACAAAATTGATATACAAGCGATATGCATTTGTAGATGTCTTTTATCTGACATAGAAAACAGACATTAGTAGTTTCATAATTCAGCAACATAAGGCCAAAAATAAAATTATAATTGTTTGATGTTGCCTACCTACCCACCTAAAAAGCAGCCTTCCCGAAAATCTTAATGACACACATCATTTCAAATTTATTTTTAAAAGTTTGTGTTATGATCTAACGTCAACGTCGTTTTCTTGCCTGAAACATGTAACTTATGTTGTCGGCAACTACAAAAAAAGTCCTACCTACCTACCCAACCCTACAAGGCATTGGTAGGCAACATCAAGAATTTGTTAAGACTTTTTATGTTTTTATTACAGATAAATGCAGAGCAAAGGCTCATTTCAATTTTGACGTTGATATGAAAGATAAATCTGGTGGATCGGTCCCGATCTCATACCTTAATGTCCAGCGAACAAGATACGGAACAGCACATTTCACTGGAAACGGTGAAATGAATTTGTGGAAAAATAGAAATATTAATATTAACAACAAGTTTGTACTTCGGTTCAAGTTCAAATTGGGCAGATGGACCGACCGTTTTGACTACGGTGGTGTAATTGTCGACATGGGAAAAGGTGGCGACGTACACTGGAAGTATGATATTGAATCTGGATGGACAAGAAACATCACTGTTGGTGGCGGCTGGGATATTCGAAATTTGGTTAAGCTTTTCCGTACACTTATCAGTTCTAGAACGGAACCGGAAATGAAACAAAATATGTGGAAAGTAGCTAATTCAATGGATTTCAAGACATTACTGTATCAGTTAGGATTTGTACCAAACACGTCCAGTGGTATGCAGTTATTAAGATTGTTGCTGAATGGAAATGGAGCAGATATCTTACAGAAGATTGTTATTGCACTAGAAAAACAAAAATCACCTTATGATATGCGAATGACTTTGAAAACGATGTTATCTAGACCAGAAATGAGAACATGGATTCTACAAAATACTCCTAAACAATATATTGATATTACAATGAAAAATTGGAATCGCTTCTTAGAATCACTTGCTTTACCTGAAAACGAATGGAAAACTGGTAAAATTACGTGGTATAAACCTGCTGATAAAATTGGAACCGGAAGTATGTCGTCAATTGCAATCATCGCTGATTTATGGAGGACTTTTGCTCGGATGATGGGTATGGATACGCGCGATTGGCAAAACTTGCTTCGAATCACCCTAGGGACAGACATTATAGGAGAAGGAGGACGTGTAGATGTAGAATTTATAAATGAAATGAAAAATGTTCTTGGAAGAAATAATACTATTCTACAAGCATGGCATGACTTCCTTCGTGGTAAAAATGTACGTCTCGACTTCGAGGGTAAGAATCCCACGACATCATGGTGGGAGAAAATATTTGGAACTGCAACAGGCATTGCGCCCATTCCAGGTATTGATAGGGGAATGTCGGTGGGTATTGTTGCTGATCTCTGGCGAAAATTCGTTCAAGAAGCGCAACTTCCGGAATCAATGAAATCAAAATTATCATGGACATTCGGTGGACCTGATGCTACAGAAGACGATCTCTTCAAAGAAATAAATTTTGTACTTGGTGATGATAATATCAAGAATAAGTGGATACACTTTATCCAAGGTCATTATTCTCACGGAGGTCCTGGCAAAACGGAAGCCCAATTATGGAAACCGGGCCCAAGAGGAGAATTATTCTGGAAAATAATATTTGGTCAGGGAAAAGATGGCTCACAAACTGGAATTGATGGCTCACAAACGGGAACAGGACAGACCTCTGTTGATATTAAAAAACTCGCTGACTTGTGGAGAACATTTGTAACCCAAATGAAATTGGAGGGACCCCAATGGAAAGATCTATTAATCTTCACAAACACCGATCAACCAGGGTCTAAAAATATAAATGTTAAACTACTGTTGAAAGAGATGAAGAACGTTCTGATGGCTGACGACAGCGTAGATACTGCTTGGCTGAAATATCTCCAAGACAACGGCATAGATAAATCATGGTTCCTAAGGATACTTTTCTCTGATCAAGGTGGACCTTTCAATGAAAACTGGGTATACTGGTACCTTTATCGTAACAAAGAATATACGTCAACCGGCATGGGTAACTCAACAGGTGGTGGACCAACAAATAAGAATCAAATCATTGGTTTATGGAGAGATTTTGTTACACAATCTAAACTAGGACCAGAATGGAATGGTATGTTAACATGGACACTCGGAAGTGGTAATAATGGAGGCACCGGCGAGTACATGGAATGGATATATGAAATCATATCTGTACTGGCAAACAAGGAAATGAGAGGCAGATGGCTAAATTACCTAAACTCAAAGAATGTTGGGAATGAATGGATAAACTGGTTCATGGTTATATCTGGTGATTCGAGAGGTTCTTTTGAAGTGGATCAATCTGGTCTAAACTTGGTAATGAACTTGTGGAAGAGATTTATAGGAACATTAAATCTGAATGGACATGGCGGACAGAACTGGAATCAAAAATTAATTTGGACACTAGGAGGAGGACTTACAGATAGATACATTGATTGGTCGAATGAAGTCGTCTCCGTTCTTCAAAATACTACTATTCGTGATCATTGGTTTAATTACTTACAGCAAAGCAATGCGGGTGGTGCTTGGATAAACTGGTTCCGAATGATACTAGATGTAGGAAGTACTTCCAGTTCAACTGGAAACTGGATATGGCATTATCTAAGCAGTGGAATGTCTGTACCACTTGACGTTCTTGCTAATCTTTGGATACAGTTTGTTTTCGATAGAAATCTTGGTTATGGTCAATGGGCAGATAGTCTTTGGTGGACATTGAATGTAATGCCTGGTGCCATTTCTGCTGATGAATACATGCATCTGTTTAATGAAATGACTATATTGATGATGGACGAGATGATTCGAAATGATTGGATAACGTTCTTACATGGCAATGATATTACTGCTTCTTGGAGCTCAGCAGGTAAGTTAGTCCTTGAATGTTTGTTTTGCTTATATTGCGTGGTTGTGTCGCGGTCTAATGAAGATGTTCCCCTTTTTTATTCATATGCAATCATAGTGAGGGTTGACCAACATATATTTGATTATTTCTTTGACTGTATTATTAGGAACTTCCTACTCTTATAGTCGCAAAAGGTTTTACTGGTGTTACTGAGGGCCAATGAATAGTTTGCAATACAATGCTTTGACAACATTGTTCGAGTATTCTTTGTACTGTATTGTGTTGATCGTTTTGTGTTTGTTTGAATCAGTATTATCATAGTAGACTCAAAATTTCTTACAAAAGATTCCTCATCTGCACTTCAGTATAGAAACTCCCATTTTACAATCATCAAAATGAAAGAAGATTAGGGCATTTTGTTTAAACTGAATTGCAGAAGTTATCAATAATTATTTTGACTTTTAAAGAAAAGTACACCTATCTGTAGCTTTTCTCTGTTCAAGCATAAAGATTGTAGACCGATATCTTATTGATTTTCTTTCCTTTTTTGCTAACAAGATGACTTATAATCATGGCTGAAACACAACATACAAAAAACGAACAAATATCAACAAATAATGCAGAAAAAAGAGAATGGGTAACATAAACTCCGTTTTTAAAAAAGGGGCATATTAAAGAATCACATTAAGGATCAGCAGTCCCTTTTTAACAACTTTTACTCTTTTGGATATTTTTTAGTAAAACGTGAACCTCAATTAAACAGAACACCAAGGTATATAAGGTACATCATGAAATAAAATGGAACACTTATTGGGTCATCCGTGTTAAAGATATGTTATAGCTGACGACCAAACCGTTTCAAAGCGAGATTCTAATATTGGTTTTGTTTAAGTCGATATTAAACTATTCTGTTGCCAAACGATATTCAATTGTCTATTCTTTTTTTTCCCATTGTACTTAAGCTGGAACTGGAATGGCTGGTGGAACCACAGCAGAGTCTCTTGACGCCATTTTGAATAGCCTTAGTGGTGGGACAGGTTCTGGATCATATGGTACAAGCTCTGGTAGTAGTTCTGGTGGCTCAGACTTTCTGTGGGCTGCAGGAGGAGATTGGGATATGGATGGTGGATTTTCAAGGAAACGCAGATCAGCTAACAGACAGAAGCGGGCAATTGTCGACAAGATGGCACATGTAGCCTTAGTAGGCAATTGTGGGAATAATGTTAAACCATCCATTTCTATCACAGCAAATGAACAAAATGTTAAAATGAGCTTGTTGACACAAAACAAACCAGCCGAACTAGAAATTCCATTGGTGAGTATAGTGTAGTTTGCCTGCAGTCTAAACGGAGTGGGTCCAACTATGTCTACAGGATATTCATCTCCTTTCGAACTAATAAACTGTTCTTATCGTTACTTTTTTCAATATGTTCGTGCGTGAATAAACAGAGGTTTTATTAAAATAAATATCAATTAAGTTGTCCAATACGATTTCAGTATTTCAATCTTACAATACAACGAATTTCCTTGTCGAAATATGAAAGCTTATACATGTATGAACCCTCCCCCGAAAACACAAAAACACATAGGTGCAGATTATTCGTGACAGTGTCTTACATTATGTTATTCCTCGAGTTTATTTCAACGGACAATGGAAAAAACTATAGCTTGCCTAGCCTGTACATTTGTTTCCGTTTTTTAGATACAAGGATGGAATGAAGTGACTATGGTATATGACGGTAAAAATCTTCATGGAACTGTACAGAACTGGCAAGGAAAAAAACACAAGAAAACACCGTTAACAGGTAATAAATGAACAATTATGCAACATAAAACAACATAAGCGGTGTCGTAAAATGTATTCAACATTGCAGAACATAAGAAAATGTTTGTACCAAGTCAGGAATATGACAGTTGTTATCCATTCGTTTAATGTATTTGAGGTTTTGATTTTGCCATTTGATTATGGACTTTCCTTTTTTAATTTTTCTCGGAGTTCAGTATTTTTGTGATTTTACTTTTGTCTCCTTCTTTAAAGTTTCATTCAGTTTACATGTGCTATCCAATAAATACTGAATTATCTAAAACATGGTTAAACAGTGCTTGAATCGAAACAATCAATAGTTGTAACAATACTGAATTTAATTTAAATAGTAAATGGGATTTCAGTCATAATATCACATAACGAATTTTACTTCAACTCTTTACAAGACATGTAAGATGGCGTTTAGATAAAACACACAATTAGTAAAGATAATAATGGTTAGGATTGAAAACAGGAGTGTCGACTAGGTGACATCATTATCGACAACATGAATAAAAAGATAAAGGGTATCATTTGAATTTGATAAAGACACTTTGACTAATTGTTTGAAAATGTATTATCTTTTGTAGGAAATGTCGTACAGAGACAAGGACTCACATTCGGAGCATGCGACAGATACCCAAGGTTTAATGGTCAACTTGATGATGTAAGTAGAAATATCTTCAAATGTATTGCACAAACGATGTCTTTCAAAAGTTACTATACTTATTCTAATGGTTTTGCTCTTTCAAAACACTCAATAGGTCAAAATGTTTTCAGTTTGAACAAGTCTGTTCTGACAACTGATAAACTGGTGTAAATGTTTAGGCCGTTGCTTTTGAAAGACTGCTAGTATGATGCATATCGTTATTACTATCCAAATTCCAGTGATTAATTTTTCTTGATAAGGTTAGAGGTTTGAACACGTAGTTATCGAGAACACTAGTTTAACAAAATTTTGACTTTGATATGACAAAGTATTTCTAGAAAACACAGTAATTATATACAAAGGATAGCTTTGAAACAAAGAGAAATAGTAATGAAAAAGGGTCGACATTAAACACAACTTGTTTGATATGTCAATGCAAATTCCGAATGCATCTTATATAAGAGAAATAAACAATAATTATGATAATAAATAGTTGGAACCACATATGAGCTGCATCAGATAGAAATCAACCTTATGCAAATAAATACAAATACATGTACGCTATATTTGATGGAGAAATATGCATGTAAGTGCTTGAACCGTTTCTAAATTTTGATATTTTGTTACAATCTTCAAATTCAGACCAACAAGTTACCTTGAATATCAAAATTTGATTTCCAAATCAGTCATAGTGTTATGCATGTATCTGTGACTATCGCCACTTGCATAAGGTCGATTTCTATCCGACGCAACTCATATCAAACGTGAAAAAAGGTTATCATACATCTTAGTTACTTGGTACTGGGTTGTATTACGTGTAGAGACAACATTGTAACAATTTTTTGTAAATCCTTTTGTTTTAAAGACAAATTATCTGTAAATCAGTGCAAATCCATGTGTTGTAATGGCGGCAGTGCAAATTCATGTGTTGTAATGGCGGTAGTGCAAATTCATGTATTGTAATGGCGGCAGTGCAAATTCATGTATTGTAATGGCGGCTTGTTTACAAATGCTCTGTACAAAATAGTCATCAAAGATACCAGGCTTATAATTTAGTACACCAGACCCGCGTATCATCTACAAACGACACCCGAATCAAAAAAAGTTAACAGGCAAACAAAGTACGAATTTGAAGAACATTGAAGACCCAAAATTCAGAAAGGTTTTGCCAAATAAAGTTGAGGTAATATGTTCTTGGGGTGAACAGTGTTAGTGTAAACACAACATGCTGATAAAGCCGTTGATTTTCCCTTTTGAATTATTTCACATTTTTTATGTCCGGGCCTTTTATAGTTTAGTATACAGATTGGGGTTTACTCATTGCCAAAGACCTTATGATGTATTAGAAGAGTTCACATCCTAGTCAGTTGGTCCCTGCTGGATAGATGTCTCATTAGCAATCATACCACATCTCTTTATTTCTATATCATTTTTATATGTTTGCAAATGTTTTGTAAACAAATGAGTCAATTTATGGTGTAAAGACAACATTTATCAGTCATAACAGACATGAAACACACCTATTCCATTCGTATGGACAAGGTGCCTAAGGTACTATGTTATTTCGTTCAGTGCTATTTGAAAACATCTGATAATGAACTTGCAATGGTTGCCTTACTGCTGCTTTGATTCAAGTCAACTCGATGTATAAAATCATTTCAGTGTTAAGCTTAATTGCTTTCAGCCAGATCATTAAGACGCAAAGACTTTATGTGTACTGTGTGTAATTATTTGACTTTATGTGTACTACGTGTATTTGATGTGTATTCCAATAACTACTACACGTTTACAAAACATGATTGCTATATATATTGATCGCATTTTTCTTTTGTAGATTTTGCTTTACAACTGTGTCCCACTGGCATTAAAGCAAAAATTACCTTGAACATTGTTGCTTCAGTTCCCATCATGCACTCAAGATAGTTTATTTAACTTCATTGTAAAGAGTTCTCCGGTTTGTCATCAGGTCATAAGCGGGTAAAATGATATAAAACGATACTGCAGTATATGGAAGGAGACGCTATTTTGTGTTTACAACGGACTTTGCAAATCCATTTAAAGTCACTTGGTTGTTTATAATTTTATACATAATAAATTTGTTATCATATTTTTATCCGTCAAAAAATTAATGACATTTTAAAAAGACACCCATCCGACAAAAAAACCTAGAGATTTATTGTTTTATAAATAAAAAAAAACCGGAATTCTGTAGATGTTAAAAGAAACAGATACTATTACCTTGACCCAACGGATACTCGTTAATAAGAGAACTATTAGCGAGAAATATCCGATTTTCTAAATATGTACGGCGGTATATAATGTATGGTCAGTTGTAGTCATCCGCAGAAATGGTTTTAAACTATTACGTTCTTGATAGAGGGTAACTGCAAGGAACATATTGCTTCAAGGGTTATCAATGGTAAAATGAAATGAACCCTTCGAAAGTTTGAAAAAAAAACTTAATGATTAGGTTGACAGTTATGGGATGTCTTGTTTTACAATTGACAATGAATATTATTCACTTGCCGCAACAACCATGCCGTCCGTTTTTCCTCGAATTTCGAAATAGGATTGGTAACTGTAATTTCACTTGCAATAAGTAACACGACTGTGCAACTAGTTGGGGCAGGAACTGTTTACCCTTTTTGGGCACACGACTTCCTGTTTTTGTGTTTTGTTCAATCATTTGTTATCTGCTTTTTTTGTTGTTGTTTTTTTGGCAATGGTGTTTATTGAACTTATGAACTTTGATTACCCCTTCGTATGTTATCCCCGCACGTGGCAGATGCGCTCGACTCCAATCTTAATTAATTGACTAGTATTGTCAGTTTTTCTACCATAGGTCGTTAGTTCTCTCCGGGCACTCCGGCTTCCTCCACCAATAAAAACTGACCGCAACGAAATAGCACAAAAGTGTTGAAAGTGGCGTTAAAACACCAATCAATCAATCAATCGTATGTTATCACTCTTTTTCTAAATGTATGTTAATCAAATAAAAAGTGATGTGAACTGAAACATGTATTGAAATCGTATTTGGGACATTGATTTCCTGCTTGTAAGATTGGCATTACACTTTACACAACTGTTGCACATGCATTTGACAATATGACAATCCTAAAGGTGATGGTCACCCACAGTTAGTGTATTGAAATTATTTCTGAAATGTCATCTAACATACGACTGTTAATAAGATTGTTTCATAATGATGCAAGCTTTTATGACAACTCTCATTTTTAGAATTCTAATAGGATTAAAGATAACATAGTGTCTTATGGAAATCTACAACAATAAAGTGCAATGAGACCTTGCACATTTCAGTATGAATTATAAACCAAGATCAACGAAGTTTATTGTGTTCCATTAAAACTATACTTATCTGCATAGTTTGTATTGCAAAAATATTTTAAAACGTTTCACCTCCTTCCCAAATTTTATTGATAAATTTTACATAATATAAAACTGTGATGGAAGCTTTAGCTTCAGGGGGGAAAGGATTGAAAGGTAGGTCACATAATGTTTGATTAATGTACTTGAACGTTGTACTTTATATGAATCAACAAAATTCAAAGTGTATGTTAGAGTGACTTACTTTTCGTGGAAGGTTTTTATTCTGTCTTAAAAGTCCTATATCTAAAGGAATCATGTTGCATGATTGTATGTCACTTGAAATATGCTTAAAGTCCGGACAAGAACACTTTTCATGATGCTTGGTCTATAGGTCGTAATTGCACGAAAAGTAGTATTCTATAAGAAACAAATATTCGATCTGTAACTCAACACTTAACATGTATCAAACACAAAATCAGCTCAAAAACTACAGAGATAAGATAATATTTAGTCCGAAAAAGAACACATTTTCTTAAAACTGTATAACTCCATAGACTGTAATTTTTTGACAAGGAGTTCTCGCAAAACGAAAGGCAGACTCTATACACAATTGCCATTATACATAAATTATCAAGAACTAAAAATCAGATATGTACAGGCATAATATGAAATGTCCAGAAACGCAAAATATTCGTGAAATATTTTGTCCAAATGCCGTAATTTCATGAAAAATAAATTTGCTGCAGCTAAATGCGATCTCAATCCGCAACTCACTGCGGTATACTGGTGAATAAATACTAATAGCTTACAAAATTCCAGGCAATTGCTATCAGAATGAGACCACCCTTTTTCTAATTAATAAAAAAAAAAGATTTTGAGCAATTTACAATTTGAAGTTATACCGACAATTTTGAACAATAAAAAAAACCTCCCATTTTACCTAAAATGCAATCCTTGAATTTTAAATGCATCGACGTCGCCGGGATAAGCGTCTCAAGCTATACACGTGAACACCACGCACCATGCGACATTCTCAGTCAAAATGTCATGATTGGGAAAAGGATGCAAACGGCAAAATTACAGATCAGACATTTATACTGGTTAAGATATAGGACCGATAAAACACAACGCTAGTGAGTTGAGACACCAACATATCGTATCGGTCAATCAATTCGTGATGGTGACCGCAAATCGTATGTAGTATCGATTTCACATACCTTTCAATACCATCATTGTCATAATCCCGAATATGACCGTTATACCGAGTGAAAATTTGTATTGCTATACGACGTGTCTCGGTATTTAGTACATCCAACATTCATGTATTAATTTTTGATGTTTCTGTTATTGTTTCGGTTGGATAATGTGTTATGTCTTATCGTTTGTAGTCAAAATCATTATAAAATTACCTGTCAATACCATCATTGTCATGAAAATTGTTTGGACGAGTATTGTGAAAATAATTGTATAAAGTTCGAGATTGCATGTTAGTTACGCAAGCGCGTCACTGTGTTTGATATCATGTGGTGTCTGTCGTTGATGGAATATGTTCGTTGTTGTTCTGCGGTTTGCATGTTGTGTCGACTATTATATAATATTTTTTTGTGCGTTACTCTGTGATGAATGTTCTTACGGGTGTTTGTGCTGTATTTCTGTCACGTAGTTTTGTCATTTTAGCGATATTTTTTAGAGAGATGTACGAACTCATTGAAATCTTGGTTATAGAGTGTCAACATATCTGAATGTGAATCTAACGAACTTTTCAAGATGATTTTTCTTTTTGTCTCTGAGAAGGTTCTGTATGAACTCTGGTCCACATGATTACAAAAACTAATCGGCCAGTAGTGTTGCATAACTAGTACAAATTGGAAAACCGACTCTCTGCTGAAATACCAATCCTTCAAACTCAACAAATGTGTTGTCGATAAGAACATTCAGCATTTTGATATCTTCGTTGTATTTTTTGTGGGAATCTGATTCTTCTCAAAGTAAAATTTTGTATTATACTAAACAAGAAATTTTAATCTGCGTTTCCTATTATTGTAGAAAAGCTGTTTATCATTAGTCAAAAACTGACTTACAACGCCATTGCAAAACACAAATAGTGACGAAAAGAATAACGAAGTCGACAAAAAAAAATAACTAAGAAAGCTTAGACTAAGCAAGACGAATCACACCAAAACACCTGTGTTGTACTCAAGTGCTCCAGAAGGGTAATCAGATCCTGCCAGTCTGCGGCACATGTGGCTCCGATGTGTTGTTCATGCAAGTACAAATTCGGCGATAAGTCTAATTCGACGATTAGTGGACGAGATTGTGGTTGTGTTTGGAATATTTCCAGCGGCATCGTTAAAGTCGTCAAATGTTGAACTTAAATTTAAGTTTTTTTTATTAACAAGAGTGCACACGCTGAAATGTCTCGCCTGGCTCATCAAACTTGAATTTATGTTGAAAGTCTCCTTAAGATAAATGCTTTACAAGTATTTGATTCATTTGACAGTATCAATATAAATGAATTCAAGGTCCGATAAACCCTTCCAGACGGGCAAACTCACCTTAGATCACGGCCATAGATCAGATATCAACCTCAATGCAAACGACATTCTGTACCAGCATTTTAATCAGCCTGATCATTCCATCGTTTCTATGACAGTTCGTATAATCGAAAAAATATACCACAAGACTAACAATCCTCAACTTGCAACGCCTCTCCGTAGACAAAAAGAGGACTATACTGGATTCGACAATTGGGAACTGCGACACCATATGGTTGCAATGACAAAATTGATGGTATAGGTATTCTATCTAGTCCTTCCTGTAGCTCGGTGAATGTGATGAATATTTTCAACTCTACTCCTCGACGTAGACGCAGTCATGGTCATCGTCATTATACATCACCTACTTTGCATGATGTCTCTATTAATGACTTGCTGCCATTTATACAAAAGTCGTTAGGTATTCATCACATTCGCACGAAACTGTATTCATTACCCCTTTCAAAACTTCATTATCTGTTCAATTTATGTTTGGAAACCACTGTTACAAACCCTCATTCAAACCAATACAAACTTACAGCTATTATTTCGGATATTGCAAGTCACAGACTTTTCAAACCAGTTCGCATTGGAAAAGATGAAAAAGAGAAAAGATCTTTTCTTAAACTTTCCTTTGCCAACAAAGGTCTCGATGGCGTCAACTTAGGCAATATCCTTCATCATAAATTAGTTCAGTCGAAAATACCTCCTTATTTTAAAGATCAGTCTGTACCAATAATTTCTTATACCTATACCAAACCAATTGCAACTAAAATTTTCAATTACAAACACGTTTTGCAGGATCTCAACATTGACGACTCCAAGTCTAAACCTCCTGATTGCACCTGTGCTAGTTTCCAATTCACATATAATCCGTCTGGCCACGTTATTACCGGAGACCTCAACATTGTCAATAACACTTCCCTGCGAAATTTGTTATCCAAAGGTCCGAAATATCGTGAGCCTAAATCCATCAATTGGAAATACAACTTCAAAATACTGATGGATTCAGTCGAGGATTATGCCAGGCAATGGGCTAAACGCGAGAAAGAAGACGTAGATACACTTTCCGAATGGATTAAGGCTGTGAGGTCGTTGATACAAATCCGAATTAAGAAACTAAATGGGCATATCAATACCAACGCTACATCAATTTTCAAAGACCCAAATGTTGCAAAACACTTGTCCTACCTCCATGACAAATATGTTGTTGTCCCCGCAGATAAATCCCCAAACAACATCGTTTTTGTGTGTAAATATCATTACATAAACTGCTTGATAAATGAATTAGGTATTGACAATTCACTTGGAAACTCAACATATACCCTCACGACACTTACCAAAGAGGAAATCCTAGATAATCATAGGTCGGTTCTATGTTCCTTTGGAATTTCAACCAAAGACGAAGAACTGGATCTCCCATCACTGTATTGGATACCTAAACTACATAAGTGTCCTTACAAACAACGGTATATTGCTGGGTCTTCCAAGTGCTCCACGAAACCTCTTTCTAAATTATTAACATCTATTTTATCAGCAATCAAAGCCGGGCTCCAAAGTTATTGTGAAACTGCCTATTCTAGAGGTTGCCTGAATCAGATGTGGATACTAAAAAATTCCAAAGATCTTTTAGAGTACATACAATCTAAGACTCTCTCATCTTGCAATAGTATTAAAACATTTGACTTTTCTACACTTTACACAAGTATTCCCCATTCCAAACTAAAAGACAAATTGAAAGAGTTGGTATTTCTTTGTTTCATTAAAAAGAATGGCGAACGTAGATACAAGTATCTTGTCTTGGGGAGGGATAAATTCTACTTTAAAAAGAATCACTCTGATTCAAACAAAAAATTCTCTGAAACTGACATTATCAAGATGCTTGATTTCTTGATTGACAACATATTTGTTACGTTTGGAGGACGTGTTTTTCAACAGACTGTCGGAATTCCAATGGGAACCAATTGTGCCCCTCTTCTTGCCGACTTGTTTCTTTATTATGAGGCTGACTTCATACAGGAGCTTCTTAGGAAGAGAGATAAGAAGTTAGCAATATCCTTTAACTCTACGTTCCGCTATATAGATGATGTTCTCTCACTAAATAATACAAAATTTGATGACTATGTTGAACGAATCTATCCCATCGAACTAGAGATAAAGGATACTACAGATACAGTTAAGTCTGCCTCATATCTTGACTTACATCTAGAAATTGACAATGAGGGTCGGTTGAAAACATAACTTTACGACAAAAGAGATGATTTCAGCTTCCCAATTGTGAACTTTCCATTTCTATGTAGCAACATTCCAGCAGCGCCTGCATACGGAGTATATATCTCCCAATTGATACGATATTCCCGGGCTTGTGTTTCCTATCATGATTTCCTTGATAGAGGATTGCTGCTCACAAGGAAGCTATTAAACCAAGAGTTCCAAATGGTGAAGTTGAAGTCATCCCTTCGTAAATTTTACGGACGCCATCACGAGTTGGTTGACCGTTATGGAATAACCGTTTCACAGATGATATCGGATATGTTCCTTATGTCGTAACTACAATACCCTTCCCTTTTCACGAATGTGACTTACCGAATTAGACTATTTACCGGATTTGTAATAACATAAGCAACACGACGGGTGCCACATGTGGAGCAGGATCTGCTTACCCTTCCGGAGCACCTGAGATCACCCCCAGTTTTTGGTAGGGTTCTTGTTGCTTAGTCTTTAGTTTTCTATGTTGTGTCATCTGTACTATTATTTGTTTGTTTGTCTTTTTATTTTTGGCCATGACGTTGTCAGTTTGTTTTCGATCTATGAGTTTGACTGTCTCTCTGGTATCTTTCGTCCCTCTTTTATAATCATTCTATGAACCAAATATAGCTGACCTACTGCTAATAGTACAGACAAAAACAACCAAACCATGAAAACTTACAATTGACCAATGAACCATAAAAATGAGGTCAAAGTCAGATGACACTGTCAGACAGACATGTACACTTTACAATTACTTCATAATCAAAATGTAGTTGACCTGTTGCTTATGGTATCTTCGATATTTCGAACCATGAAAACTTAACATTGACCTATGAAAATGAGGTCATGATCAGATGATACTTGCAAGACGGACATGTCCACCTAACAATCATTCCACACACCAGTTGACATATTGCTTATAGTATCCGAGAAAAATTTTACATTTACCAATGAACCATAAAAATGAGGTCAAGGTCAGATGAACCCTGTCCGACTGCTATGTAAACCTTATTCCTTGTCCGGCTTTGGCTATACTTTTTTGTCCTTTTTGGTTTCTTGCTCTTCATCTTTTTAATAAGCTTTGGATTTTCAAATATTTTGGCCTCGAACATCACTGAAGAGACATTGATTGTCGAAATGCGCATCTGGTGCAGAAAAATTGGTACCGTTTATGTTGTTATTACAATCATTCTATACACCAAAACTAGTTGACCTGAAAAACAAGAGCAAAACATAGCAAAAACATAACATTGATGACGATGATGAATGGTTGCTGAACGTCCAACGCATAACATAGACCAATGAACCATAAATATGAGGTCTAGTAATATGAAACCTGCCAGATGGGCATACACAACTTGTCAATCATTCCATACACGAATATATCCGACATACCGCATATAGCATCTGAGAAACAAACCTTATGAAACTTTAATCTTTATCACGGATCAATGAAATGAGTTCAAAAACAGGTGAACCTATCTGACGTATCACACATAACAAATATTATCATCTAATTTCTCATAAGTGAGAATTTCACACCAGTTTATTTAAGCATTAAAATGAGGTCAAGGACAATAGACATATGACAGACGGAAGTGTTATACATGTTTAAAAAGAGACAAAGTGATTTTTAATCTTTAGTTTTTCAGTGGTAGCACCATCTTTCTGTTAATCAATGTCACATGCCAACAAATTTGTTTTTCAAGAGTTATTTTTACTGGCAACTTTTAACAGAAAATGGCTCAAGAGTGTTCCCTTATTGACACCATTCGATTATCAAAATAATCATCAATAGCTAGGACAAAAATGTTCTCACTGGATATCCAGAAATATAATATCGCACAGAATGTATTCTCATATCAAACACCGAGTTTCCTTGGTTAAATACGTTAAGGAAAATTTAAGATCCATTTCCCAACTTCATGTTTTGTTGGTTATAATCATTATGATATTAAGTCTAGTCTAAATAATATATAAAAGGGTTAATTGACTTTCCATTTCTTGAATTTACCTTAAGAGTTCCATTTTTTGTAAATACTTTTTAGCTCACCTGGCCCAAATCCATCAACCAAGATGGCTGCCAACGGGGGACTTAGTTTAACAAAGGACCCTATGGGAAATAAATACAAATGTCCTCTTCTAGAAAACCACTTAATGGCTTGAAACCAAACATGGTATGAATGTTTCTTTAGAGGTGCTGACCAAGTGTTGTTACTTTGTAGCTGATTTGTCATCCAAGATGGCTGCCAGCAGGGGGAGTAAAGTTTAACATAGGACCCTATGGGAAATACACGTTTTCTTCTAGAAAACCACTGAATAGAATGAAAGCAAACATGGCATGAATGTTCCTAACGAGGTGCTGACCAAGTGTTGTTACCTTGTAGCTGAACCATCCAAGATGGCTGCCAGTAGGGGACTTAGTTTAACATGATAAGACTCTATGGGAAATGCATACAAATGCTTCTTCTAGAGGAGCACTGAATGGAATGAAACCAAACATGGCATAAATGTTCCTTACGAGGTGCTGATGAAGACCTTAATAAAAGTATCTTTATAGATTGAGATATACCGTAAACTGCAAAAATATCAAGAAAAGAAGATCTACACATAAGTCAACATGAGCAAAATTGTCAATTGACATCTTGTTGGGAGTTATTGTCCTTATAAAGTCATTTTCTACAGTTTCAATGAATTTATTGGTAATTTCTGTAAACTTTACAAAAATTCTTCTGCTTTTGATTAAATTCAAGGCCAATATTAAACCAAATTTGGCCTCAATCATTATTAGGGTATCTGTTATGATTTTAATCTATTTTTACATGATTTCCAAAACCAAAGTAGAATCAGGTGCGCAACACAGGCTCTTGAGAGCCTCTAGTTTACAATCAATTCCATGTTGGTTTTTTTACAATAGCAGTATAGGTGGTCCTGAAGTCTCCATTCTTTGGACATTGAGTAAGGAATTGTTCTCAAATTCAAGATTGAAGAACCAATAATTCCTATTCTTAACATTTTCTTTTCTTCGAATATTTGATATTTACGGATTGTAATATACTGGCTGATTTCTTACTCCTGTCTCCAAATACTTGGTTGGTTTTCATGTAAATAATAAATGGAGAATGTGTCCATGGGAAACAGATGCCCCGCTTGCATATAACGTTATAAAGGGCCATAACGCAAGATTGCTAAAAGTGACGCCAACCAAATTCAACCTTGATCTGTGTTTTGTGGTAATAAGCATTGTGTATAGGTTTCATAACATTTTGTCGAGGCAAACTGAAGTTAGAGAATGAAAATCATTTTTGGGCCATGTATACGGAAGGACAGTTACACTTAATGTACCCTCTGGTGACAGCAGAAGCATAATAAAACAGGCAAATAAATAAAGAAAAACTTATATAGTATGACTTGAGAATGATTTTATATTTACAAGATGGTATGTAAGAATGTCCAAGATCATCTCTGTGATCTGTTTCACTCTGACATATAAAACAGACTAAAAAGTTACATCTCATATTTACTATGTGTATGCCTAACAGTTAAACGAGATAAAAACCACATTATGTATCCCTTAACAAGTCCACATAATTTTTCTAATAGAAAACTTTTATCGCCAGTATTCAAAGCTAAGAAATACATAAAAATAATTCATTCACAATAAAACAAGTTTACAATTAAAAAGATGTTTATGGTTCAGTTTCTGTTATGTTCATTTCAATTGAATAACACTGAATTTTGCAACAACAAAGATGAAATTTTGAAAAATTCAGCAATTATTTATTGAAAAAAAAAAAAATTCCCAGCTGGCACTTTATTACCATAGCAATTTGTGAGTGAATCATGTGAGGGAGACATGAATATATCATGCTCTCAGTCAAAATGAATACAATACTACCTTGTGTAATAAACTACCTCCTTCCACATGATCACGATGATTGCAACTTACACTACTCGTTTACTCATAAATGTTAAAAAAACTGACGGAATGGATCCATTCTAATGAATATCATGAAATATGGAATACACTTCCAACATTACAAAATTTTCATAAAAAATTCATTTGTATTTGGTTACTATGCATGATCACCGTGGTAACAACATATGTCTTTTCAATTGTGGTTCCTACAGTAAATAATGGTTTCCATGGTAATTTATGTCATCGATTAAAAAATAACATACAACATCAACAATAATGTACTGCATGATTAAAAGATGAGATTTGAATGTTGAGTACACTGCATGTCCATTAAAATAGAAGTCTTTTGTCTTCTTCTTTTGCTGGTCATGATAAATTTACCTGTAACAAGAAAGTAAAAGGTGTTTAGGTTACATACAGCATAACTTTCAACCAATATATATATACCCCCTTTTTCCATTTTCTGGTAAAATTATTCTACAGACTACGGTTCTGTTTCCCACAGAAATATATGGTCTATGACAGATTTAACCAAAATTCTTTAAGTGAGGGTTTTTAATAGTTAAGGAAACACATACCAAACAGAGATATCTAGAGGGCACCTACTAGTATCCAACAATAGACAGGTGTCTATACAATATGTCAGTATCTTATTCGACCAGTCTAAAAAATTGTGTAGAGATTCGACATAAAACTTTAAAAGATCAGATATCAACATAAAGTTCTCCAAATGACAAAAGACTTTAGAGACAATTTCCCAATGCACGTAGAGTAAGACTTTGGTTAGCTTGCTTGCTTTGTTTGTATATTGTACAATTGTAATTGGGATAACGCCCAATCAATATTGTTTGCAGATGTCAATCTAAATTACAATGCTTGAGCAAACATTTATGCAAACAAAGCAAGCAAGCCAACCAAAGTCTTAATCTACAAGCATTAGGAAAATAGCTCCAAGATAAGACTAAAGGCATTGATCGATGAGGTGATTGACATGCAATACAATTATGAACACATAGCATATGTTTCAACTGGTCTTATAACTACAACCTTCTCCATTTTAATCTAAATTAGGGACTGCTATAGTTAGTATCAAGTTTCTTTAAAGTTGAACAGCCCTAACATGAAGTATTTAAGTAACATCAGAGTTGGTTTTACATTCATCAGATTCATGTAGGGGAATCCAACAATATTATCTCATCATCTGTAACTAGATTGCAATTAAAACACAAATGTATACTTTTAACACGAGGTTATGCTCAAACAAGATCCAACAAGAGTAAATATTACACACAACTGTTTGCTCAATTCTGTGTTTTGAACTTATAACTGCCATATTTAAGATTTTTTTAGACTGACAAATAATTTCTAAATATCAAAAGCCCTGTACCAGATTCAAACTTTGGAATTGGTGTTGAGATTAAAATTGCTGTTTTTGACTAAAATGCATTTACTTGCAAGTGTTATCCAAAGTAAATTATTTTGCTGTGTTTAAAATTTCTCAATCCAAAACCTCTACTTTCAAACTTTATTATTTCCAGAATTTTCCAATGCATGCATCTGAATGTATTTAAGTTACATCAGAGTTGATTTTACATTCATCGGATTCATGTAGGGGAATCCAACAACATTATCTCATCATCTGTAACTAGATTGTGAATATAAATCAAAAAGTAAACTGTGATTTTTCTATGAAGATCATCATTGAACTTGTATAAATACCTGGGTGCTAAACTCTGTTCATAAGATCATAAGATAATTTTAAAGTAATGATCTTCAGCTAAATATTCTTTTAATCATCATTTATAATATTTAATCCAAAATTATTGAGGATCAACATGTTTTTTCTTCTCACCATTATCACACTAGAAACTTCAGTCAATTTTGAGTTGAACATTTGTATTAACCAGGATCAGCAATAAGTTTTAATCATTGCCAATCTTGAGTCTAACATGTGTAGAAACATCATTTCCTGGTATTGATAAAAAATACTTTTATTAGAAGAATTTCACACTTATGGTAGATTCTAAAGATATAATTTGGTGGTTTCATATGCATCATATACATTTTAAAATGAATAAAGGAATAAGGATATAAGACATGTATCCCCTCAAAAAAGAAGTCATTTCAAGCCTTTGCCTTCTAATTCAATTGCTGACAAAAGTTTATTTGTTTTTATCTCAACTAATTTTACAAGACTGAACAATAATTATAAAGACACATTCAGTCTTTTAGTTCATATTGACTATGGTAAGTTCAGTACTATTCAGATGTTTTACTAATTGCCAATTCAAACATGAAGGTCAAGGTCAGTCTATTTTAAGTGCATTTAGTTGCTTTTGTTTTCCTGAAAATGTCAATATAACTACAAGAAAAAATACATAAAAAGTAGCCTAATAACTGAATTCTGAAACTCAGTAGTGCTATCAAAGCAAAACTTTATTTAAGTATGAACTATTTCCGGAAACTTTTTCTTTCCAAACAAGCTAGATAATACATATTGATAAATAAGAATTCATATATACTTACTTATTTACGATTGAAAATGAAATATTTATAATATAGTTTAGATGAATTGTAAGGTATTATTGATAAACAGAGAGAAACCCTGGATTTCTTGTAAAAATAAAGAGACCCTTCACTAGAATGCTGGACTAGTGAAGTAAATTGTTAACAGCAAGCAATATATTGTTGAATAAAAAAAAAAAAAAAAAAAAAAAACAACAACTTTACTTTGTTAGGTTTCAAACTTGTACTTTTTCAGAACAATTTTCAGTGAAGAACAGCCCTGACATCAAGTTGTATCAGTTACATCAGAGTTGGGGTTTACATTCATTAGATTCATGTAGGGGAATCCATCAATATAATATCATCATGTGTAACTAGATTATGAATATAAATTTATATATAAACTATGTTCAATGAACATCTTCATGGAACTTGAATTATTTTCCTGTGTGATCAGTTCTGATCATATAAGATATTTTTTTTTTTAAAGTAATGAACTACAACCAAATACTGTTTTAATCAATATTTATATTATTTTGTTAACACATGTACAGATTAACACCATCATGTTTAAATAGTCAGTTTTAAGTTTAAAAATTGTATCAACCAGGATCAGCAATAAGTTTTTTAATCATTGTCAATCTTGAGTCTAACATGTGTATAAACATCATCTCCTGGTAAGACAAAATATTTTTTTATTATCAGAATTGCACACAACATGACTTATGTTATATTCTTAAGATTTAATTCGGTGGTTTTATATGCGTCATCTACATAACTAAATAAAGCAAAACGGATATTAAGACCTATATCCCCCTAAATAGTTATTTCATAACTTAATAATTATAGACATGTTCAGTCTTTTGGTCCATATCCATTGAGGTAAATTCAGTACTATTCAATTTGTTTTACTAATAGCCAAATCAGACATGCAAGATAAGTTCAGTCTATTTCAATGTATTTAATTTGCTTTTGTTTTCCTAAAAATAAGCAACATAAAAAATACATCACAAGTAGCCTGAATCTAAATAAGACTGCTTTAGTTGGATCATTCTAAAACTCTTTAGTGCTATCAAAGCAAAATTTTCTTTTGTTGTGTTTCAAATTTCTTATACAGATGTATTTTTTTCTGGAAAATTTTCAATGAAGAACAAACAGCACTAACATGAAGTATTTAAGTAACATCAGAGTTGATTTTACATTCATCAGATTCATGTAGGGGAATCCAACAACATTATCTCATCATGTGTAACTTGTGAATATAAATTTAAAAAATAAACGTAATCTTTGGGCTATTTTCCATGAAGATCGTCGTGGAACTCATATAGATAACTGTGTGCTCAATGCTGATGATAAGTTATTTATTCATTTCATGAATTACATGAACTAAATATTGTTTAATCTTTACGTCTGAAGTATTGTATAAGAAAACTTTTGATTTTCAATCATGGTCATACTGGAAACTTAACAAATTTAGGGATTAACATCATCATTATGTTTTAATCACAGTCCATTTTGAGTTTAATTTTGTATACACCAGGATCAGCAGTAAGTTCTAATCATTGTCAATCTTGAGTCTAACATGTGTATAAACATCATCTCCTGGTATTGATTAAAAAACTTTTAATAGAACTGCACACTAAGATATAATTTAGTGGTTTCACATCATTGTCATCTACAGATGTAATAAAACAGGTGAAAATAAGTCCCATACACACCCTCCCCCATAAACAACTCATTCCATAACTTTATATTGAACTTTCAATTCAATTATTCACAAAAACATTTTTATCTAAACTGATCTTACTATTTATATAAAAATAAGAAGTTGTGGTATGATAGCAAGTTAGGCAACTATCCACCAGAGACCTAAAGACTTTGATGTAAGCAACTATAGGTACCCTAGAGTAGCCTAAAATCTGAATAAGATTGAATAGATAATGCTTATACATTTCAGTCTGACTGAGTTGTACATGATTCCAACGAAAACATTACTTTTCTGCATTTCAAATATCTCAAAATCACATTATCACATAATTTAAGAATACTTTTCAATGATGAACAGCCCTGACATCAAGTATTTAAGATACATCAGAGTTGATTTTACATTCATCAGATTCATGTAGGGGAATCCAACAATATAATCTCATCATGTGTAACTAGATTGCAATTAATACATAAAAGTTGAATATGGAGCTATGCCCAAAACATATACATCACACAACTGTTAGCTAAATTCTGTCTTTTGAACTTAAAATTGGCATCTTTAAAACATTTTTTAAGACTGAGGAATAAATACAAAAAATTAAAAGGCTTACCAGGTTCAACCATTGCAATTGAGATTAAAATGTCTGTTTTTGATTAAAATTCATTTACTTTCTCTGTTTTTATTAAAATTCATTTACTTACAAGTGTTCTCAAACAAAAATTATTTTGATATGTACTAATTTTTTCTCTCTCCAAAAACTCTACTTTCAAACTGTCATATTATTTCGAGAATATTCCAATGCATGCACCTCACTGTATTATAAGCTACATCAGAGTTGATTTTACATTCATCAGATTCATGTAGGGGAATCCAACAACATTATCTCATCATCTGTAACTAGATTGCATACTGAATGTGTTTGGTCATTGTTTAAGTAGCAGTGACTTGTAGTTGTTTGGCCTTTTGATGAATAGTTGTTTCATTGGCAATCATACATCATCTAATTTTTATATACACTTAACTAAATCAAGATTCTACTACAACACATATTATACACAACTGTCTGATGAATTCTGTCTTTTTGATAATAAATTGCCAGTAAAACAATCTAAAACACCTTATTATCTCTGGTTCAAGCATTTGTGGTTAGTTAAATATAGATGTTTCACACTAAAATTCTATAGGTAACAATGTGCTATCAAAAGGAAAATATTTTCCAGTGTTCTTAATATTTTCTAAATTAAACCTTTAACTTGTTAAATAATTTCAGGAATTTTGCAATGCACTTCCCAAATATCTGATTTTTTTAAGTTACATCAGAGTTGATTTTACATTCATCAGATTCATGTAGGGGAATCCAACAACATTATCTCATCATGTCTCACTAAGTTCTGAATATAAATCTAAAAGTGTAACTAAATTCTGTATATGAATTTAAATGTAAACTGTGGACATTTTTCAATACAAATTGTACAGGAACTCAAATGTGTAACCATGATAACTGATATTTCAATTCTGATGATAAGTTTTTTTTCTTTTAAGTAATGAACTACAACTCAATAAAGTTTAAATAATTATTAATCTTTTGTCTTCACTACTGTAAATTCAGAAAATGTTAAGAAGTTTTTAATGTTGAGAAAAAAATTGCAACAGGATAGAAATAAAAACTTGCATTCCAAATTTGATAGCATTATTTGTATTCAGTATTTATTGAAATCGCAATAATTAAACTTGCCCTTGTGTCCAATGTTTTAACAATCACAATGAAAAAAATGCACACAAAACTTACAAGTTACAGATTTATATAAGATAACTTATGTCATCAATCTAGAAAATTTACAGAACTATATACTGTTTTCAATCATGGTCAAACTATAAAACTTACATCATTAAGTTTTTTAAACAGTCAATTCTTTTCAACTTTTTGAGTTAACCAGGATCAGCAGTAAATTTTAATCATTGTCAATCTTGAGTCTAACATGTGTATAAACATCATCTCCTGGTATTGATAAAATAACTTGTATTATAAGAACTGCACACTAATGGTGGATTCTTCAGATTTAATTTGGTGGTTTCACATCATGTGTCATCTACACAAGAACGTAAATTACTGGGAAATAAGAACTGTAAGCCTCCCCATCTCAAATAAAACAATTACTTTTTGTTCCTCATTTATTATAATGACTTATTCAATTATTGGCAAAAATATCTTTTGATATAAACTTATAATACAACACTGAACACTATATTTTGATCTAAACTTATAATACAAGACTGAACAATAATTATCAAGACAAGTTTATCAATTTGAGTTCATATCTATTGAGGTAAATTCATTTGTTGCTTACAGCCAAATAGACATGTAAATTACGTTAAGACATTTTCATTGTTCATAGTTGCTATCATTTCCCTGTGATAAACAATACCTCTTGACTTGCATCTCAAGCTTTATGTTTAAAAATGCTTTTTACAGTTGAAACAAACATATGCATGGACCAATATCATCATCAAATTTTATACATGGTCAATTTTGAGTTTAACATTTGAATCAACCAGGATCAGCAATAAGTTATAATCATTGTCAATCTTGAGTCTAACATGTGTATAAACATCATCTCCTGGTATTGATAAAATTATTTAGAAGAAATTTAAATATATATTCTTTTGATTTCATTCTTTTCTAATTTACAGTATTTAACATTTTGAACTAAAAATGTCATTCAACAAATAATTTACCTTAGAAGATTAAGCACAACAGTATGATTTTTGATTTTTGGTGTTTTAACGCCACATTTAAGCACCGCTTTTGGGCTATTTCGTGGCAGCAAGTTTTTATTGGTGGAGGAAGCCGGACTGGAGTGCCCAGAGAAAACCACTGACCTTCGATAGGAAAACTGACAATCCTAGTCAATTAAGATTGGAGTCGAGTGCACCTGCACGAGCTGGGTTCGAACTCATCACCTCAGTGTTGACTGGCTTGTGATTACAGTATACCACTCGGCCACCGAGGCCCCCACGCAACATTATGAAGCTCAGTGCTTTTACATCAATTTTTCAGACATCTTCACTAGAAGGTAACTTCGGTATTGTACATAGGCTTTGCTTAAAATCAATTGATCTATGAGTATTCTACTTTCATCAGCATGTTCAGTAAATGTTATTTACAATTTAGTTTAAATGCTTAATCATTTCAAACTATTTTAAAATTGAAATGGCTGATTAAGACTTTAAAATCATAAATGCTATCAAGGAAATTTTTATTTGACTAAGCTTCTTAAATTAATCTTACCACAAATTTAAAAATTCAACAAAAAACATTTTCTTTAGGCTTGTATACAAACTTTGGCACATCCCTGAAGTCAAATATCCATGAAAAATACAATTTTTCATTAATCAACGAAAATTGGTAACCATGAAAATAAATGAATCTACATGCACCTCACTGTATTATTAGTAACATCAGAGTTGATTTTACATTCATCAGATTCATGTAGGGGAATCCAACAATATCATCTCATCATCTGTAACTACTAGATTTTAGACAAAAATAAAAGCAAGGCCCTAATAAACTTTAGGTGCAAAAGTTGTTATTTGAAAGGAAACTTCAAAAAAGTTAAAAGCTACTGTACAAATATTTTCAATAGAGCAAGATAGCAATGTGGGCAGTGTTTAACTAATGATAAATTATATGATTATCTCCCCTTAATAATGCACAAATATCCAATATTTTTCAATTGTATGGCAGTGTATTACAGTGTTTCATATGTTTGGAAACGTATCCTTAATTAAAATATACTAATTCTAAGTGGTTTAAATAGCTATATTACTAATTGTAAGTGATTTAAATAGCTATATTACTAATTGTAAGTGATTTAAATAGCTATATTACTAATTATAAGTGATTTAAATAGCTATATTACTGATTTTAAGTGGTTTAAACAGCTATAAATAGATTTTCTTTGATTTTATATAAATGAAATATTCCAGATGTAGCTTGGAATATTTTTTTCAAGAAAACTTATTTCTAGTTGCTAAGAAAAATTCCCAATGACAAATTGCGACAGAGGGCAGATCAATATAAAACAACACCTAAGAGAAGGTAATATCATATATACTGTGGATTTATTATTATAGTGGATTTATTATTATAGTAGATTTATTATTATAGTGGATTTATTATTATAGTGGATTTCATGAGTACAGGATAACTATGAATTAAATCAACCTCAAATTTAATGTTCAACAAATTACAAATTTTCTATAGGCTTGTATGCAGACTTTGGCAAAACCACACAATCAAATACCACCGATAATACAGATTTTCCTAGATCCATAAAAATTGGTATACATGAAAAATAAATGAATCCGCTGTAAATTAATTATATTTTGGAAAGCCTGCTTGAACATTACATCAGAGTTGGTAGTTCAATCATCAGATTCATGTAGGGGAATCCAACATTGTAATCTCATCATGTGTACAGAATCTCCTATCATTTAACAGTCATCAACAAAAACAAATTAAGCAGTCATCAACCAATTTCAATAGCTTTATTCATCTATACTTATACAAAAGAAAACCTTGTTTTACACTGGTCTTTTTGGGGCCTTTATAGCTTGCTGTTCGGTGTGAGCTTAAGCTCCATGTTGAAGGCTGTACTTTGACCTATAATTGTTTACTTTTTACACATTGTGACTTGGATGGATAGTTGTCTCATTGGCACTCATACCACATCTTCTTATTTATATCTACATATAAAGTTCAAAGATACAAGTGGCCAATTAAGATACTGTAAACTTTATAGTCTAAAAAAAATTATCTCCTCCTACATGTGAAAAAAATAAGGAGTATGCTTCCAAAAATAGCAGGAATAACGGCAAAAGTCAGAATATAACATTCATTCATTTATTCATATCTTCAACAAGCAACAATAAACCCCTGTGAGCTGATTTTACTAGTTTTAGGTTGATAATTTTTCAGGATCAGCAGTATTTTATAATCATGGTAAATCTTGAGTCTAACATGTGTAAACATCATTTCCTGGTTTTATAAATTAGGCCGTTAGTTATCTCAATTGACTTGTTTCATATTTTTCATGTAAGGACCTTTTATAGCCGACTATACGGTATGGGTTTTTCTAATTGTTAAAGGCCTTACGGTTGCCTATAACTGCTTACATCCACTTCATTTGAACTTTGGTGGATAGTTGTCTAATTGGCAATCATACCACATCTCCTTATTTCAATAAGTAATTGCATTACAGCCCCACTTAATTATAATTATAATGATAATATAAAATCTGCCTTTAATCTAGTTTAATTACACTCACAATCACAATTAAACCCTCTTTTATTTACCCTAATTATACTTACAATGACAATAATTAAAATCTGTCTTTTATTCATCATCATCCTCATCGTCATCATGATCATCATCTCCTCCACTCTTATCATTATCATCAACATCATCATCTCGACTTCTTTTACTCTGTAAATTTCATCAAAAAAACAATCAAAATACTGCTCATGTGTCCACACTTCACTTACCAAAAATCTCAAAAAAATCCTCTCTGTGAGGTTGTTTCAGAATTGGTTTTGTTTTTATATTCAGTAAACCAACTTTTTTTTTAGGGGATACTTTTATGCATTTAAATCTTTTTAGCCGACGTCACAACAATTTAGTTTTGCATTTTTCTAATTTGCTTCTCACAAAAATTAATAGCTTGTGAAATCTTAATTGTAAAAATTTGTACTTGATCTGAGTTTTGTGGTAATAAGTATTGTGTATAAGTTTCATAAAATTTGGTTGAGGCAAACTTAAGTTAAAGAACGGAAACAAAAAATTCAGCAATTTTTCTATTTGTAATGGGGCATAACTCTAGAACAATAAAAGTGACATCCCCAAAGTTCAAACTTGATCTGTATTTTGTGGTAATAAGAATTGTGTATAAGTTTCATAACATTTGGTTGAGGCAAACTTAAGTTAGAGAACGGAAACGGAAAATTCAGCAATTTTTTCATTTGTAAAGGGGCATAACTCTAGAACGGTTGAGATGACGCCACCAAAATTCAAACTTGATCTGTGTTTTGTGGTAATAAGCATTGTGTATAAGTTTCATAACATTTGGTTGAGACAAACTAAAGTTAGAGAACAGAAACCAGTTTTGGGATGTACGGACGTACAGACGGACAAAGGTAAAACGACGGGGGAGCATAAAAAAATTGCATACCTGCCAACTTTTCAAAATCTCCATGGGGGATTTTAAGCGCAAGAGGACCTAATGCTCCTCTTATATTGTCATAAGTGTTTCTAATCTACTACTGTATTGTTTGAATGAGTATGTATGTGCTTATACCCTTTTAACTCATTTAAATGCCTGTTTTGAGGTGTTCAGTTTATAAAATAAAGAATTTCAAAATTCAGGTCAACACCTCCCATGGGGGAAATCCCCCATAAATCGTGAAGGTTGGCAGGTCTGAAATTGATACTCACCCTTGGTCCTCGGTGATCTCGGCTTTTCCTTTTACTGCTACTTTTCTTCTTTTTTTCATCTTGATCTCGTAAAATTTTTCTCCAATGGACTATTTCTTCTTCACCTATAATATAAAATGAAAATCAGTTACTGTTAGATGGAAGAAAATCTTAAAATGTCTATTTCCACTGATTATTAAATATTTTCAAACTTTAAATTCAAGTTTTATCAACAATCTAAAATTTCAAAATTTAACTATTGAGAGTGGAAAATTATTGTAGTGGTAGAATCTCTTTCTTTATTGATTTAAAAGAAAATGCTATGTGCAATGTTCCTATTGGATGTGTAGAAGAAATTACATGAGAGAAATGCAATCAACATGTGGTTTATTAAAATTTATAAAACTATCAAGAACTGCTTTAAATACATACAGAATGAGAGAAATAATAAATAATAACAAAATAAAATTCATTTATTGTTAGATATCAGTATTCACAAAATAAAATTCTGTTACAAATTCAGTCACTTCTACAGTACATAAGCTATCTACATTAAATTTTAGACATTTCTATAGCAATCCACATGGGCAGTACACTTTTGCCAACTCAAATTTATTCATAGATTTATTTTAAAATATTGAATTCAAAATCATAAAACTAATTTTCCAAAGTAAAAGTAGGTGGAAGGCAATCAAAATGACATCATATCCAAAATATATATTATATATGAAGGCTATTCCATTAAAATGTATGTGGGAGGGTAGGAAGGAAAGTTTAATTATTGAATGTGGGTCATGGGTCTTTTTTCAGTATTCGTCAATTACCATTATGCAAAATTATCTAAAAAATGGTTCTTGGTTGTAGGGATATTTTGAAAGTCCCTTCCTACCCTCCCACATACATTTTAATGGAAGAGCCCTGATGCTCGACTCAAATTTAAATATAGATCTATTTCAAAATATTGAATTCAAAAGCTTAAATAATTTCTCCATTGTAAAGTAAGTTCAAATGTTTTGACGAAAATCAATAAATATGCTATCGTCCTGATTAAGTATTCCATATCTTTTTGCTATACTTCTGGAAAAGATCAATCTATTACTGTATATTCAGAAATTATTGTGAGGTTTTTATTAATGCGAATAATGTGACTGTGTGCGTATTGCATTTTGATATCTGATACATACATCTACTGTAGAAACATTAATTTTCGTGGGGTTAAAATTTCGTGGTTTTGTCTCCATATAAGATTTCATGGGGAATTGATTTCGTGGTTTCCAGTAAATGGAAGTGATAATGTATGTTGGTTAAATTTTCGTGGGGGTTTTAATTTCGTGGATATATTCTTTCCACGAAATAAACGAAATTAAATCCTCCACGAAAATTTCTGCTTTTACAGTATATGCAGATTTTCCTGAAATCGCAATAATTAATCTCGCATTTGTCCATTCTTTGAATCCTCAATAATTTCTGAATTTACAGTTATCAATTAATGATTGACTATGCAGTCTTTTTTTTAAAAATTTGCTTTCTTTTATCATAATAATTCCTACCTTCTAAAACTCGAACTTCCACTTCACAATTATTAATGACAATTTTATCTTCATTAGCTGCCTTTGCTTTCTCTAAAACTTCCTCAGCTTTTCCTCCTTCTTCAAACCTGACGCATGCCTGATAATAAATTGAATTTGATATAAAACTCTCAACCTCAGTGTTCAACTACCTAAGACCACTCGGCCACCGAGGCCCCCCAACCATCACTGGAAGTTAATCAAACAAAATTTCACCCCTTTTTTTCCTGTGTACAAGCTTTAGTAACCATGTCACCTCAAGTTTCCAAAATATTCTATAGAAACACCAAATAAAAAAAGAATGGTGATTTGAAACACCCAAGATATATGTTTATGACTCAGAATTTTTTTTCTGCAATGCAATGTAGAATTAATTTCCTACAACTGTCAAATTCAAGGGAATTATTTTTTTTCAACTCTTTTTCGTATGCAACCGGATGTGACGTACTATGATTTGGTGGTATTACACCTTATAGGTAAAATCCTTAAAAACTACGTGTTATCCCAAAGTTCTGATTTACTCAGTTTTCAGTATTTTGGGCATACATGGGAAAGTAAGCAAAAATTTGTAAAATTTTCAAAGAATTTAACGTCAATTTTTTTTTTTTTACATAATTCATGAATTTTTAAAGAAAAAGCTACCAGATACAATATTCGAGATTTTAGTGACAATTGACATTAAAACATGATTTTATTTTTTATTTTAGCTGTAAAACAGTCTTCACGCTTAACCACAAGACCACCAACAAGAAAGCAATTTTACAAGCCTGGGCTGGCTTGTAAAATTGCTTTCGGGCTTGTAAAATTCTTCTCTACAAGCCAACACAATCCAACTAAAATTTTCATAAAATTGAGCTGCGGGCTTGTGGATTCAAAAGTTTATCGTGAACACTGGTAAAATATGGGATCACATATTTTTTTTCAGGATGTCTTGTCAAATACTTGGAAACAACAAAATTAAATAAATTTTCTTTGGATGCAAGTCCATCAAATAAGATTGTTTGTTCACCAAAAGATGTTTGCTTTTATTTTACATTTGCTTTTGACAAGTAAATGATTTGTAAACTCTGGCACATACCTGGACACTAAGCTATTTCCAAAGTACAATAAAATCAAATTCCAGCAATCTAGCCACTTCCATATCACAAAAGATAAATTTATGAAGTTATGGCTACTTTGTGTATTTTTCCTTTGTGATAATTTTTCAAATCATGCTACTTGCTTGAGATAGAAAATCATCTCAGAAACTAAGGGGGCAAGTGCCATTGTTAATGTCAACATCAGCTACATCATAGGCAAAAAATAGCGATAATCAGATTATCAATGGTCTTTCAATCTCAAGGATGTTGCTCCACCACATCTCATCTCAGGACTGTCGCCCTTTGATGAGATTGTAACTGAGAAACACTCTCTCGTTTGAAAAACCATCCATAATCTTGAATTATTTGTTAAATTTTGTTGTTGAATGCTGTAATATTTGCATTGCAAAATATGGACCTAACTTGTATGTCCTATTAAACTAGATTTCTTACCTTTGTGTCACCAGTATCAAAGTCCACCCAGGCCACAGGGGCAAAGTCTGTGAAATAATTTTTGATTGCCTCCCTTTCTGTGTCAATTGCTGTAATATTCTCTACACAAAGTACAGATCCAACTGTCATTGCATCGATCACCCGCTGAAACACAGTTTAAACTAAAATTAATACCTATCCATTAATGTAATCTCTTGGGGCTGTTTCCAAAAAAAACATACATGGGAAACAGTGAAAAACTTGAAAATCTCCACGTTCTGTATTTGTCAAATAGAGACAGTGTAAGTGAAATTCTATATTTGCCTCTATTCGTGGTTACTTCATTTTGAAAATACTTCCCTTGGTATCATAAATGTTAAAATGGAAAGTTTTTAGGGCTATTCCATTAAAAAGGAGGTACTAGGGTCGGAAGGCAATTTTTAAGTACCCCCACGACCAAGAGGTATGTACCATGTATCTTAACACCAACCAAGAGGAAGTCGTTTCATAATAATACAAGAACCAACTGGAATATATCTAACTTATTTTATTCTAATTTACCACAACCAAAGGAATTGTTATTTAAACATTATAGTTGCTGGACAATTTAGAGGGGGTGGACAGGGTCAAGGAGCTACAATGTTTGGTTATTACTATGATATAAAGGGCTATTTGTATCTCTTTTTTTTTATATTGTTCAATTCATACCCGAGTATACAATTAAAGTAATAGTTCAAATTCAAAGCTGTTTAAATGTATCATATCTAGTTGCATTATTATATTAGCTCTGTAAAAATAAAGTAAGAAACTTCCAGATTTTCACAGGCTGTTCAAAATTGAGAAGATGACCTCTTGGAATTGTAGATATATGTATACTCTATAAAAACATCTACATGTAATATCAACATTTATTAATGATAAAGAAAATTACTGTCACATTTCATTAGATTTTGACATGAAAATTTGTGAACTAAAAGTTATTTTGAGTTTCTGTATAAAATATTTCATGCTTTTTCTTTCTTTTCCATATATCTTTTGGTTTTCAATTCTAGTGTTTATATTTCATCATCATAGATGTATTTTGTCACCTGCCTGGAATTATTATTTGATCGGCAAACCCGGAATTACCCTTATCCGATTCCGGAATCCGATCGGGTATTGTAATCGTCTTCATTTCCGGTTTATGGCATCCATTGTTTTTCAATGTTGCTTTTGTCAGTCAGATATGATTTTACTCGTATTGACACATTACTTGTTGGCAATTTTCAGTATAAAGCTAGCGGTTGACTTAGCATCGCTGTCATGAATATAAAAGATAAAAATAAATTTTGAGATCGTTTGGAAGTTTTGGTCCCAAATTGAAAATTGGGAAAAACGTAGGGTATTTGCCATTGCCAATAGGAATGGGTCCGGTATTTGGACCCTGTGGAATGCTAGAACAATCCCTGGAGGGGTGTACGATCTCAATAGTAATATGGTTTTAAAATGACCATACTGATGGTTAAAAAGGTTGTCAAAGTTAATTTTTATTTTCTTTCAAATCGAAGGTCCGTTGGGCCTAGCTAGTAACCAAACGAAAGTCCGATTGCAATAGTGGAAGGTCGCGGACCTCCGCTAATTTGAACATCTGAATATTATTTTCAATAGAATTTGACATCGTTCGCCATGTGCTTGTCATTAAAGGGAAGTAACTCTTGCACTTCCGGAACTGGTACCATAGGTAGAATACAACGTTGCGTCTGCCGCTGCGCAAGTCGCGGGAACAGTTATGTTTTCCAAAATATCACGATAAGAGCAGGAGACAAAAAAAATCGGTTATATAAGTCCTGGCAAAAACAAATAATAATAAAAAACGGGAAATAACACATTGATACCGACAGTCACGAAAAATGACTGTCAAAGAGGACCAACAACCAACAATACTTAGTTTCTCTAAACACCAAGGGCCACTGGCCATACATGCTTCAACACATCAACAAACAACGGGATTTTTTATAATTGCCGTCCGACCCTGGTACATTCTTTTTAATGGAATAGCCCTTACTTGGTTTTATGAAAATAAAGAGAGACAAAATATTATTCATAATAATTTTTCAAAACATTGTTCATTAAATCACAGAAAACAATAAAATTTAAGTTAATTTGAAAGGTGGCTTTCATATGCATTTTTTTTATGTAAACATGTAACTTAAATAAATGCTGTGTGGAAGTTACGGGAAGAAGATGCTGATAAAAATGTTCTCCTATAGTATGGTGCCATTTGAAATTTCCTCCTAATTTTCTATGTTCACAAAGGATTTTTACTAATAGTTTCTCTCTTGATTTTAAAAGTAGATGAGAAAGACAACATACATAAAGATCACATGACCCTCTACAACTTCAGTACAATATCAAAACTAACCTGTCTTTCTTCTTCTTCTCTCTTCTTTTGTTCTCTGCAAAAAAAAGAAGCTTTTCAATATAAAACATGTACAGTAACTGAAGCAAGAAAATGTGTCCATAGGACATCATACACAACGCACACTTACATAGGACATCATACACAATGCACACTTACATAGGACACCCACTTACATAGGACACCATACACAATGCACACTTACATAGGACACCATACACAATGCACACTTACATAGGACACCATACACAATGCACACTTACATAGGACACCATACACAATGCACCAGTGTTCTCCCCAGGATTTTTTTAAGGCGCAAAATTCAAGGGCGCGTAACTCTTTTTTTAGAGTGAACGTTTGTGATCTGAAGCAATAAGTCATAAATCATGACATGCAATATGAATTATAATGCTTTGTGTTATGTGTTTAATAATGCAGAGTATTAATGAATTACAAGAATATATATATGAAATAAATTGATTTTAAACACAAAAGTTATTTATATTCAGTCAATTAAAGAAGTCAAAATATAAATATTCATCTCTACTCTCTGCTCCTTCTAGGGATATTGTTTCAAGATAGTGTTATTTTGTTGGACAGTCTGTTCCCCAACTTTGTCTTTATCCTCTTCAGGGTTAAAAATTAAACCCCCACTCACAATAACTTTTGCTTATACCCCCTTTAACATTTCTAAGCCATGAAAACTCAGTCAGCCACTTGTCATTGAAACCAGAAACATGGTGCTTGCTTTTATCAATTGCTAAAACTTGAGCTTGGTTGGGATTAGGAGAAGCAATGAAATCTGCTTATACTGACAGTGTAGACGGAGGTGTATTCCACTTTTCATTAGAAGTCATTGGTGTGGAAAAAAACTTCTACTTCCATCATCTACCTTTTGCTTATAATTCACCCCTTTGTTATTTGCAGAGAACATGTTCATTCAGAATTAATAAAATCGAATATGGTTAAGATATTTGGTATACAACTTTTTAAAACAAATTTTTTTTTTATAAATGAACAGCTGACCAGTTTCCGTAGTTTCACATTACGCTTCCGTGCGTATTATTGTTTAATCCTATCTTTGGCAGATAGATATAAACGAAACTTTACAAATTCGTTAAAGTTAAAACCATTGAAATTATTTACCAGTGACATTATACAGAAGCTGCGGCGATTCTGTACCCGTGTTGATTGTCACATATTTCCCGACGCACGGATTCACGATCGATGTTCAATGATCATTTTATTTCTAAAAATATGACAGTTTCAGACGAATTTACCTTGCAAGCAACATTTTTTCACTTTCTATTAAAGTAAATCACTCCTCGTTATCTTTAATCAAACTTTATTTTAATTTTTTCAACTACTAATACTTTCATTCATAGTTTTCATCGTAAATATCTTTAGCAATGTGTATTCAAATTTATCATGTGTATTCAACACGTTCATTGGTCGTGTTTAAATAGATTCTTCTTCTAGACCAATGAAAAAATTCGTTATATAAATGGTCAAGTGATCACACACACGATGCGTAAATACAATGTATTTGCGATCTATTTCTTCAATTTCTGCACTGAAGTTAAAATTTTTAATTTTCTTCAAAAAATATCTATCTTCTTGATGATCATTTAAGCTATTACCTGATAACATAGTCCGATAAGGCTGAGATAAGCGTGGCTCAGGTAAAACTAATTATCAGTTATTGCGTAACACTGACCGACCCATCAGCGGTGATCAGTAACTTGACAATTTTAACCAACATTTATAATGAAAATGTGAAAATTAACACGCTGCGGGATCAAGTATCAAGGGACAGCGGCCAATTAAGACGCTGCGGGATTTACAAAAATATTATGAAGGCGCTGCGGCACCGCAGCGTCATATCGGCCTGGGGAGAACACTGTGCACACTTTCATTTTCAGTGACCTCCCAAAACTAAGGCATATATTTTAAAAGTTCACATCATAATAAACATGTTTTATAGGTTTCAAGTTGATGAGACCACAGTTTCATTGTTAACTTATCCAAAGACCAAAACTTTACAATGATAAAAGACGGAGGAATGTATGACATATACACTGAAAATAGTTTTTAGTGAAAGTAACACAAACAATCTGACAAACAACAATTTATTGTGATAAGATTAAATCATCATTCAAATCATCCTATGACAAACAAGAAATTTTGTTTTTCATGAAGATAGTATTTACTGGTACAATCGCTCAGATCAGCTACCAAATATGGCTTTTAGATGTCTTTTGGTTATTTCTGTTGCTGGGTTGCAGCCTCATAATTTTTTATTCATACCTTTGACCCAGAATATGTTTCTTGATATGAAACTATAAGTAGGGAGGGGGCTGTCCTAGACCCATTATAACTGTTGAGAAATAATTGTGTTCAATTACCCCAGTTGTAGTTATGACATAAGAAAAATATGCATCTCTTGCTTTTTTCAAGTGTCACCCAACCTTCCCATACAATAATTTCTGGAATAACCTAAATTATAAACCCAAACAATTTTATGATTTTTCCATTTACTTACTCTTTTTTCTTCCTCAGTTGCTCTAACTTCTTTTTCTTTTTCTCTTCCTCTTTTTCCTTGAAATAATCCATTCTGTAAAATGAAACAAATACATGTATTTGTGTGCAAGTCTACCTTAAAACCTCTATTTCAGAAATTATCATTGTTTATAATTTTCTTTTTTTTCAAATTTGTGTGGAGAAATTCTAACATGGAATATACATTTGTCTGAATTTGTCGCATAGTAGTTTTAATGGGACAACTCTTTATATATATTGATTGTCAGGCCTGTGACTGTAAACCTTTATCTTGAAGACTGCAAGGGTAGAAACTTTTTGAAATCCATTCACAAGGTAAGTTGGAACAAGTTTCTATAAGGCATATATATTTGATATTTTAATGTGTGTCTTTCTATGTTGTAATGTTACACTACTATTTCAGGTGAAGGTGGGCGCCTGTTAAAACGTTTAAACCCGCTGCATTTGTTTGCACCTGTCCTACATCAGGAACCTGTTGTTCGGTGGTTGTCGTTTGTTGATGTGGTTCATAAGTGTTTCTCGTTTTTTATATAGATTAGACCGTTGGTTTTCTTGTTTGAATTGTTTTACACAAGTCTTTTTGGGGCCCTTTATAACTTGCTGTTGTGTGTGAGACAAAGCTCTCTGTTGAAGGCCGTACTTTGACCTATAATTGTTAACTCTTTACACATTGTGACTTGGATGGAGAGTTTATTAGCACTCATACTATTTTCTTATTTCTATATATAAATATGAACATTTAGGGTCTTCTGAGAGACCCTAATAAACTATATAGATTAGACCGTTGGTTTTCCCGTTTGAATGGTTTTACACTAGTAATTTTTGGGGCCCTTTATAGCTTACTGTTCGGTGAGAGCCAAGGCTCCGTGTTGAAGACTGTACTTTGACCTATAATGGTTTACTTTTTTTAAATTATGACTTGGATGGAGAGTTGTCTCATTGGCACTCATATCACATCTTCTTATATCTTTTTAATGAAAATTTCTTCACTATAAATTTTCACCAACATATTGATTGTTACAACTGCTAAATTATTTCCTCCCAACAGTAGATGATTTTTTTTGTTGTTTTCTAAACTGTAGAAAAGGGATATCAGTCAGGGATATAACTCTATAGGGTTATTACAGAAAAATAACATACATTTGTTATTGTGGACTAAAAAATCAAAGAACTGTGATAACATATGTATGTTACATGTTTCAAAGGGACAATATACATCATTAGTTTAGTTAAAATGTATAAAAGTTCTATTGATATTACTTTTGTCTATATATATACTTAACTATTGAAAGATATAACAGTTCATAGTTTGCCAATTTTGCATAGTACACCTATATGTTATTACAGAAAAAATACGCCTGTAATAACTAAAGGGTGTTATCACAGCTTCTCTATATCACTTCAAAGCATTTGCTCAGACATACATCATGCTTAATTACAATGTATTTTAATTTATTGTAAGAAATAATGACCAGAGCATGTAATGAGGTTCTGCGCAAGTTTCTCAGTAATTCCCAAGTGTCTTATATAATAAGTTACATTCCTTTAATAACCTAGCCTTGTTATCACAGCTAAGTTTATCCCTTAATAGCCTTGTCTCATTGATCCACCATGGTTAATCAAAAATGTATTAATTTAATTAAAAAATTAGTTATCAAGGCTATGCATTTAGTTTCTGCGCAAAGTCTCTAGAGTTCCCTAGAGACCACTATAAAATAAATAATTTTACAAATAACAAACATATGTTATTACAGATTTAGAGAATTTAAGGAATAAAGAGTAGACAACTCATGAAAGTATCTGTAATAACACACGCAAGTTATTTTCTGTAATAACCCTATAGAGTTATATCTTTGACTGGATATAACCCAAATTTACTCACTTTGTTTTCTTCTCTAACACTTTATCTTCATATTTAATTTCTCTTAAATTCATAAATTTATCCATACTGTCTCGTGTGTGAAAGGTCACATATACTGATCCCTGTTAAAATAATCATGACAATATAATTATAAATCAAATTAAAAATCAAAGTGCTGGTTAGCGATGAGGGAATAGATTGCTTTCAATTTTTATTGTGAACTTAAAATTAATCATTACATTGCATTGTATTGAGTAATAAAACATATTTTGGCAGTATTTTGATTGAGATTTCACATTGTTAAAAACTAGTAGATAGAACAGACAGATTCATACACCATGTACTTCATTCTGTAAGTTGTATAATTTTTAATCAAATGATTTTCTTAAAAAGTATGACAATAAACAATTTTTTTTTTATATTGAATGTGTTTGTCAGCAGGGATGTGAAAAATATTTCATTTTGAATCCATGTATTTTTGGTCTCATTAGCAATCACCACCTCTACTTTTATACTGCTTACAGATAGAAAAAAACACCTTTTCCTTGGCTGAAGATGATCTTGTCAACTTTACTTGTAACAAAGTTGAGATCGAATAAACAATAACAACCCTGTTGGGAAAAGATACATACCTTGAATTCTCTGTTTGGATTTCGTCTCATAAATACAGTGTCTACATCTCCAGCGCCAAGCTTGTCGAAAAAAATAATTAATTTGTCCAAACTAACTTTCAATGGGAAACCTTTCTGTAAAAAACAAAATCAGGGAAATTAATTACGTAGTAATATTTAAACCACTTGCTACAGTAATGTTCAACCAGAATTACAGTAGTTATCTAACCTTTATTTCAAATTTGAAATTACTCAGACGAGTCTTAAGATTCCGAGTACTTTCATTAACATGAGAGACTTTTGAAGACAGTATGTTGACTGCTTCTAGTTTTTTGTTGTTGTTGTGTTGCTGTATCTTTGATGTATAACATCTCTTATATTCGTTCATATTTCTTGTTGAAATATCATTGTCATCAACAGAACTGCTTAAATAAATTTATTTTGGCCATTTTTAATTTTTTTCAAGAAAATTTCTAAAACACATTTGTAATGTACAAACAACACAGGCAGTGAGTCCTAACTCTGCTCGTAAGGAAATTTGTATGATTAATTGACAATGATTGTAAGTTTTCCTAAGGTAGGTGGTTCTCTCTGGAAACTTGGGCTTCCTCCCACAATAAAAACAGGCAACCATGATAAAGCAAACTGAGCTGATAATGACATTAAACAAACAAAGAAACCAACATACAACATATGCTGTCCTTGCATTGAAATCATCTCTCCATTCCTCTGTATTCTCTGGTACTGCCATGTCTGGGTTCCTTCGTACAAACACTCCATCTTTACTGATCTAAAAAAAAAAATAACAAAAACTTCTGTATACGTATATAACATGTACCACACAACTGCAATATCCCTTAACTCTTAAAAATTCTCAAAAAATGGTCATGATAAAATAAAATCAGATGATTGGTCTTTTAAAGATTTTCCTTAAAATGATTAACATCCACAGTCACCTAAACAAAGTATTACATCATTAAAGTCAATGGAGAATCGGGTGAATTTGTATATCAATATTTTCCCTCAGAATACTGTAAATTATTTGGATAACATTATGTAAATGCAACTTTTCCTGAAAATGCAATAATTTATCTCACATTTATGACTACTGTCTTACAATAACAATAATAAATGCAGGAACATTTTTGGGAATTTACAGTATTTGGATTTCAAATAAAAGCCAGGTATCAAAACTGTCAAAAACGAACAAAGACGCATTCTTAAAATAAAAAATAATATTATATCCTAAGGGAAAGGTACCATTAAACACTAAATAAAGTTATTGTCTGCGAACCAATTTATTTTCCATGAACCAGTAAAACGGACCCTTTTTTGGCCCCTAATTACAAAACCGCTAGTATGATAGCCGAAAAAAACAATCCCAACCATCCTTCACTGGTAAGGAACCTTGTGCAAAAATTTCATAGAGATCCATGAACTTATACTCAAGTTTCTGTCTGCGAACCAAAATGTCTTCAGACGCAGACAACATCATAACATAATACTACTGCTTTGCAGTCGTATAATAAAACTACTCACATTAATAAGACCTGATGAGGCTTTCCTAATGGCCTTGGCAATGATATTATGATTTGTTGTTAAAACCTTTAATCTGTTAAATCTTGTGAAAACTGCAAGTGCTACCCCTGAAGTCATGTTAAGGAAAAATAATTGATTTCTGAATAACTAGATCCAGTAACTTAAATGTTGCTCAAATCTTGTAAGGGTCAGTTCCTTGCAATTCTGAGGAAAAATTGCATAAGTTCCAGGTGACTGGAGGTTATTACACTGATGTATGGCTCTGTAGTTTACATGTATTACCTATGTGATAAATACTTGGAGACATATTAAGAGGGAATCACGTAGAATGATTTTTAATTGAAACACCCTGTGTGTGTACTGTTGCTATGACAACAAAAGGATACATCCATCATTGTCTAACTTGATCTGTTCTTGTAAATATCTGTCTCTTGGTAGATTCACATCTCCAAAATAATACTAAAAATATAATACAAATTGATTACTAAAAATGTCTAGTAGTAAATATATATGTCACTACATGCACAAAGGTATATCAACATGATGAAAATAATATTAGGAAAAATACAAACTTTATGTGACTACTTACCAATTGACTACATGTATATAGGGTTGGTACATGTATGTTGATTTTTTTTGGTCACAAGTTGGAAAATATTTTTCTTCATCACTTTAAATACTATACCAGACCTGTTTACCCCCATTTAAGCTAGTAGTGTAGTTTATACATTTAGAAAGTATAGTTTTCAATATTTAGGTGTCGTTTTATTGAAAGCTGTTTTGCTGCCTGAATTTTATTGTGGGGTTGCCCACCCCCGGCTTTGAATAGAAGTTGTCCTTTCCTGCAATTTGATAGTACTTTGGGGTAAATTCTAAGACATCAAGCATTCTTTTACTGAACTTCCTTTCATGACACAAAAATTATTTTGATATTTGTTCAATGTTGTGTTGTCTTGTCATTTGAACTTATATTACATATGCTACAGCATATTGTTTTGAGTTTGTGTCAAATCGCTATAACATCACGAATATTGTTTGACATCACAATATATTTAACTAATTAAAAACTTTTGAACAGTTCAAATTATTTATTCAAACTTTTAATAAGAAGTCAGTAAAACAACAATGACTAGATTTTGTGCACATGAAAAATCTGTATGGCATAACAATGTATGTATTAGTCTTCCTTCTTGGATGAATCGAGACACTTCCAAATCTCAGCATATTCCTGCCTTTATCGCTGGCAAAGATTCTTCTGCTTGTCTTTTTCATATCCCCCTTCAAAGTTTCCTCCATGATACTTTCGTTTCGGCACAGAGCCATGTGTCAAACTTGAAAGTCACGATCACCAGAGCATTTGTAAGACAATGTAAGACATACTTTTATAATCATTATGAAGCGTGTAAAAGACAAAGACTCTGTTTTGCATTTGGATAACTTTCTTTGGACAAAAATTACATACTGCCGTTTTTTTTTTAATGTAACATCTTTAAAAGCATAGAAATGACCTATTTGGGCGTAGTGCGTAATTTGAGTGCCAAAAATCTTAGTGGTAAACAGGTCTGAATATACATACAATTTTTCTGCAAGTTTGCAATTTGTAATTCATTAATGCACAAAGTGATAATTTTGAGACATAACATACCTCCATCTGTTTTATAATTTTCTTTTCCAGACCATTTGGTGGACCTAAAACCTCTGGTTCAGGTTCTGGTTCCTCTTTGACTTCTACTTTGACTTCACCATTCGGTGATTTGTTGTTGGTTTCTGCATCACCACCAGCCTTCATGTCAACATCATCTGCAGGTGGACTGTTTTCTGTGTCTGCCATGGTTATTTTTATTGTTTAAGAGCCTACAGAACAAATAAATAAGATTCATAAACATATTTACACTTTTGGTATTTACATGTAGCTATATTTTGTCTCCTAGTGACCCTTGATCTGTCTCCAAATAACCTTCTAATGTTATGCAACAATCAATTTTAAATTATGACATCAGCTTTGAATTGTGATGCAATAGTTTGCTGGAACTTGTGTGGTTGTAAGTCATGGCAAAATTTGCATTCAAGTTTAAATACGTCTAGAAGATAATTACTCTTGATGGTGTTTTTTCACAATGAATGCAGGGGTTTTTTCTGGAACAATTAATCATGATTTAACATTTAGATACAATGTTTCTGGAAGGGAATACACAGGGGTAAATGAAATAGTAATCAAACATGTAACAAAATATAGTATTTTATTTTAAAAATCATTTTAAAAATAATGCTACTCAAGCCGTCAATATACATATTTTCAGATTTAAAATAAAACATTTTTATACGAACATTGAATTCTTTTCAAACTATACTACTTGTACCTTGTGGATAAACATAACTTTAAAAGTTTTAATACCGCCGATGAAATATTTAAAATCACAACATGATGGTTGACATGGTTGAGGGTGGAAATGTCCTTTACAGTCAGTCGTCAAATGGTCATTTTCAGCTACCGTTGACATCAAATTGGTTAAAATCTTATATATTGATTCGTCAAAATATCCTTATGGTTATATTCCTCAGAGGTATCAAATAATTATCCATTACTGTTATTCTTGGTTGATTTTTTAATTGTCATAAAGAAAATGTTCATTTTATCGTCATGCCACCAAAAATGACTGTTAACGTCATTTGGCAAGATTTTTACCATAATTCGGCATGAAGATAACCCCATTACAACCCTCATATATATACACTGGACATTATGGTGGTGGATCTTTATTCATAAGGGGATGAAGTCCCCTATTACAATAGAAAAATCAATAATAAAAAAAAACAAGAGTGCACACGCTGAAATGTCTCGCCTTCTTTATTAATCATTGATATTATGTTGATAGTCCTAAATATAAAGCTTTATTACAATGTCACATAAACTTAACATTAACCAAGTAAACTAAACATTGACCAATGAACCATGAAAATGAGGTCAAGGTCAGATGAACCATGCCATACAACAAATATAGTTGACCTATTGCTTATAGTTTAAGAAAAACAGACCAAAACACAAAAACTTAACACTGAGCAATGAACCTTGAAAATGAGGTCAAGGTCAAATAAAACCTGCGTGACTGACATATAGATCAAAAAATATTTCCATACACCAAATATAGTTGAACTATTGCATATAGTATTAGAAAAAAAAGACCAAAACTCAAAAACTTAACTTTGACCACTGATCCATGAAAATGAGGTCAAGGTCAGATGACACCTGCCAGCTAGACATGTACACCTTACAATCATTCCTTACACCAAATATAGTTGACCTATTGCATACAGTATAAAAAAACAGACCAAAACACAAAAACTTAACACTGAGCAATGAACCTTGAAAATGAGGTCAAGGCCAAATAAAACCTGCGTGACTGACATATAGATCATAAAATATTTCCATACACCAAATATAGTTGAACTATTGCATATAGTATTAGAAAAAAAGACCAAAACTCAAAAACTTAACTTTGACCACTGAACCATGAAAATGAGGTCAAGGTCAGATGACACCTGCCAGCTAGACATGTACACCTTACAATCATTCCATACACCATTTATAGTTGACCTATTGCTTATAGTATTAGAAAAAAAGACCAAAACTCAAAAACTTAACTTTGACCACTGAACCATGAAAATGAGGTCAAGGTCACATGACACCTACCAGTTGGACATGTACACCTTACAATCATTCCATATACCAAATATAGTAGACCTACTGCTTATAGTATCTGATATATGGACTTGACCACGAAAACTTAACCTGGTTCACTGATCCATGAAATGAGGTCGAGGTCAAATGAAAATTGTCTGATGGGCATGAGGACCTTGCAAGGTACGCACATACTAAATATAGTTATCCTTTTACTCATAATAAGAAAGAAATTAACATTACAAAAAATGTTGACTTTTTTTTCAAGTAGTCACTGAACCATGAAAATGAGGTCAAGGACATTGGACATGTGACTGACGGAAACTTCGTAACATGAGGCATCCATATACAAAGTATGAAGCATCCAGGTCTTCTAGCTTCTAAAATATAAAGCTTTTAGGAAGTTAGCTAACACCGCCGCCGCCGTAGCCGCCGCCGGATCACTATCCCTATGTCGAGCTTTCTGCGACAAAAGTCGCAGGCTCGACAAAAAATCAGGAAAATTTCCCGAAATTTCATTGTACTAATGAACTCAAAATCGTTAACTTTTTTTTTGTAAACTTTTTTAATTCCCGCATTTGCGCAGAAATCTACTTCCTTCTTCCGGTCTCGTTTGTCATGAGACTTTGTGTGAAATATATATTTATCAGTCCAGTAAAATGTAGGAAGGAACACCATCACAATTTCATTTCTAATTATTCTTTGATATGAAAAAACGTTACCTGATAACAGAGTTTATTTGTTTACATTGAATATGGCGTCATAACTAAGATAACGTCACAACTAAAATCCCTAACAACAGAGCCAAAATCGGAAACGTTACGGTATTTCTGTTTCTTTTTTAACAGATTAAGAACTTAAAATATGTTTTGATTAAAAAAAAAAAAAAATTCATTAGATAGACTTCGTCCCCTTTCACAGGTATTATGCCTGCCTCATATTATTTTTCAAAGGATTTTAAGTGTATTAAAGTGTACAGACACTTAAAATATAATTTATCAGTCTCATCTGAATGTTCATAGACAGGACAGAAAGGTAACAAGACATTTCGGCACCCAGGTCTAAAGACATTTCGGCATCCGTTTTGGACATTTCGGGATCAGGACTTATAGTGCTGCCTGTATATATGTTTTATGTTATATTTACAGTATTTTAAATATTTCATTACTATCATATGTTAACCTTTTATGCAAATCTAGTGCTGTTTATGCATCTATAAACTGTTGAATATAATTATAATAAATATTAATAAAATAAATATTATAAGTATGCTACATGTGTTTTATTGATTTAGAATACTATCGGAATAGAACTATGCATAAATTAAAACTAGTACATGAATGGTATAATCTATAAAAACAATTTTAATGCATCAGGATAAAGAATACATACAAATAAGACAGCAACCCAAATGACTAAGCTGCAATACAGTCTTCACAAATAACCAACAAAAAGAATAAACCACTTCATAAGATACTTCTTCGAAGATACTATATACAATAAATTATGTCATAAATAGTGTAGGAATCAAATTGGTTATTCGTAAAAATGGTCGAAAATAATTGATATATTAACACTAAAGTTGCAAATTGAGTTCATGCCCACATACCTATATCAGTGCCAGGTAGATTTAATTTTTGGTTCATATATTTTGATCAAGAATTTAATAATTGATTTTATCTTAATGAGGTGCCGATTTGTCTGGAGGCCGAAGTGTCTTTCTCGGTGCCGATTTGTCCGGATGCCAATTTGTCTGGGTGCCGAACTGTCTAGAATTCGGACGGAAATACGAAAGAAGAAGTACATGGCTTTCAAAAACCAGAGTTATTTCCCCTACAAAATCTAAATCTACACGTGTATAATTTCCTCAATAAAAACAATCTTTTCAAAGGTTTCTTATAATCCAAAGTAAACACAATTAAACAATATAAAGTACATTCATTTACACATGAGATATTTAACGCTATCGAAGAATGTTTTGTTTCTTTTGTGGGGCAAGATGGCCAGATAGCGTCACCGACATTTTATTCCCTTTAAAATTGCTGTTTGACAGTAGATAGCATTTAAAAAGGTGAGTTACATTTGATAAAAAAACATAATGCATATATAATCGTTACCTACCACTCAATAATTTTGGTCAGGTCGCCTTTGATTTGTTATTTTCGATTTCAGTTCTGAACCACGTTTTGCATCATACAGCCACGCATGCGCTCAAAAGACCGGTCTGTTTCCGTCTATGAACTAACTAAATGCAAAAACTAATGTCGGAAACTGATCTGTAATGTTGACGTATTAAAGTGCAACTGTTATACTTATTCTGTACACGTTTCTCGGGGGAAAAACATAACTATATGAGAGTCTGGATGGGTGATCCCTCATTTCTGTATTATTTAAATATTTGGGTCATTTTCTTTATCTTTGAAAATAACGCTTATATTTGAAAATTCTAATGAAAAAAAATACTATTAAATTTATTTATTATTACGTGATTTTTTTATTCTGTACATGTTTCATTTCTTTAATCAGAATTTTACTGCGTATTTTTTTTTTAATTTTTCACGATTATTCTTTTTTCTTTTACATTCCATTATTCTGTATTTTTTTAATTTTTGTTTATTTTTCTCTATTCATTTTTTTTGCAACTATTTATTCTGTATTCTGTAAACCCCATCCAGACCCTGCCATATACGAGGGTCGTAATGGGGGTACCTTCATGACGAAAAACGGTAAAAATTCTTGCCAAATGACGTTAACGGTAATTTTTGGTGCATGACGATAAAACGTACACTTTCTTTTAGACGATAAAAAAATCGACTGATTTTGACGAATCACGTTAAATTTTTTCCAAAAATAACGGTAACGACAATTATTTGAGACCTCTGACGAATCACGATAAGGATATTTTGACGAATAACGGTAAAATTTTAACCAATTTGACGCTAACGGTAGCCGAAAATGACCGTTTGACGCCTGACGGTAAAGGGCATTCCTACCCTCATATACCTTGAGATAACAAATAAAGGTAAAAAAAAAATCAGAGACTGCTGCATGCAGTTATACTGAATAGAGATCAACAACTCCATTCCGTTTCCCCTAGCTTTATAACAGCAAAAAAGCGTGTCATCGAGGGTCTGGATGGCGTGTCCTTCAATTCTGTAGTCTTAACTTTTATACGGCAATTTTTCTCTATTCTTTATTTTTGGGGCCCGGCATTTTACTGTAATACTAGCCCTTTATTCTATATTCTGTAAACCCCACCCAGATCCTCAAAATATATGACACCCCGGCCAATAACTCAATAAAACTTCAAGATCCTAGCCTATGCCTTATAGTTATAACAAACTGATTAAGACTGGCACAATTCGAGTAACAATTTTTATTAACATATCAGACTACCCTCAAGAGAGTAGAATAATTACAATTTAACTAATGTTACAAAACAAAACATATATAATACTAAACATGATTTCAATGATTGAGTAAATTAAAACATACAATTTAACATATATATAAAATTGAGAATGGAAATGGGGAATGTGTCAAAGAGACAACAACCCGACCATAGAACAGACAACAGAGCTGGCCCCTAAACAAATATATACTAGTTCAGTGATAATGAACGCCATACTAAACTCCAAATTGTATACATTATATATACAGATATACATTTATTAAGGTAAATAAAAACAAAAAGACACATCATTCTATGTAGAAGATTCCAATTTAACAGATTGCATACATAGTCTTTTTTATCCATTTTATGAGGGCGCTCAATTCATTAGAATGTTTTTATAATAAACTATTCACACTGAATGCTATCATCGTAAAATAGAACATATTACAAGGAAGTTTTTGTATACATGTATGAGGGTCTGGATGGAGTCCTTCATTTCTTTATTCTTTATTTTTTAGATCATTTTTCTCTTTTCTTAATTTTTTTTTAGATCATTATTCTCTAGTCTTTAATTTTAGCACCCCATTACTCTTCATTTTTTTATTTTTTAGGGGTCTAATTTCCTCTATTCTTTATATTTTTTGTCCTCTTTTCCGTAAACAAATTCCAGACCATCATGCACACATGTGTAAGTGTATGAACATGATGAAAAATACATTGCACTTCCTTTTTATCTAGTATAACTGCATAGGGCTCGTATCATAGATGTTTTAGATCGGAAACATGTGCCAGTGGACTGGTATGCGTTCTAAGCTTTCAAATACCGAGTCATGATGTTTGAGCATTCCTAATGAAAGAAAATGCGGAAAAGCGCTTTGGGCTCCCGAAATTTATAAAATGATAGGTATTTTCAATTAATTAATCTTATTAAAATATAGATCTCTCTGATTTTGTTATCCTCACACCACGCGAGTTACGATGGATCCGAGTTTAATCAGATTGTCAATTAATTAACCAATTGATATTATGAAAATTGTTGTTATAATTAAAAGACAACGTAATTATATGTCTCATGGCAAATGCATCAATCATAAACAAACGCATTCATCATGGGACTAATTTTACTGGCACTTGACACAACAGCCCACCTTACCTGGGACAGTGGCGTAAAAGCACAACATAAGTCAAACTATAAACATCATTTGAAAAAAGGTTGACTCATCAGATCGACACCAAGCACAAAAAAACAAAAACAACTAACAAACAGACTTAATACACGAAGTACCGACCCGGAAGTAGTTACCGAAAGCTAGCCGAAAGCCAATGGAAATTTTGATACATGATCTTGCATTTTATGCAACATAAATACCTTGCATTTCAATTATATTTTTTTTAGTAATTACCAAAAAAAAAAGACATTTTACTTTATATCATAAATTTACTGATCAGGTTTTAGTTGCAATTTTTTGTTTATAAATTATCATTGTTTATATACTAGTATAAATAAAAAAAATATAAGAAGATGTGGTATGATTGCCAATGAGACAACTCTTTACAAGAGACCATGTAGACAGCTCTCACAAGCAAAATACCCTAACAGTAAAATATAAGCTAGGGCATACACTACAGGCACGGGGACACATTCTACTGCATCCACACAGCACGAGTAACAAACCCTGCAGTAAATATAAAAATAAGTAGATGTGGTATGATTGCCAATGAGACAACACATTCTACTGCATCCACACAGCACGAGTAACAAACCCTGCAGTAAATATAAAAATAAGAAGATGTGGTATGATTGCCAATGAGACAACACATTCTACTGCATCCACACAGCACGAGTAACAAACCCTGCAGTAAATATAAAAATAAGAAGATGTGGTATGATTGCCAATGAGACAACACATTCTACTGCATCCACACAGCACGAGTAACAAACCCTGCAGTAAATATAAAAATAAGAAGATGTGGTATGATTGCCAATGAGACAACACATTCTACTGCATCCACACAGCACGAGTAACAAACCCTGCAGTAAATATAAAAATAAGAAGATGTGGTATGATTGCCAATGAGACAACACATTCTACTGCATCCACACAGCACGAGTAACAAACCCTGCAGTAAATATAAAAATAAGAAGATGTGGTATGATAGTTATCTGTCTTAGTACTTCACATATGCTTATCGCACCGCGGGTAAATTATCACGTTGTGATTGGTTTAACGCCGTCACGTGGTGACCCCCTATGGATCCGTATGGGGTAGTAAATTCCATAGTGGGTTCATGACGTCACGTCTACTGTTAATGGTGACGTCATCTATTGATGTTTTTTGTATTTCATTGTTTATTTTTCTACAAAACGCTGCAGAAAAAGTATCGCGTGCGATAAATTCGTTATACGGTTAACTACTGACCCCCTACGGACCATAGAGGGTGAATAAAATCCAAAGGAGATTCGGCCTTCGGCCTCACCCCCTATGGATTTTACTAACCCTCTATGGATCCGTAGGGGGTCAGTAGCGAACCATATAACTTATATTTTAATGTTAGCAGTTGGCGTGGTGCTGTTTTTATAACTATTTATTTGCTTGCTTTGTTTTTTTGTTTGTTATTGTATATGTTTTATATTCGATGAAAAGCTCATCAGAGCTTAATGTGCTTTAATTATTCGTCAATATGCTGAATCAAAACTATGCTTACTTACTTACAACTTATAAAACAATCATGTACACATATTCAAGACTATAATATCAATTAGTGTAAGTGTAAAGACGTCATAAACAGTCTTGTAACATGAATGGTAATTTTTCCTTTGATCTTCGAGTGATTTAACTTCGTTTATTTTAGAGGCGTGCGTTAACTGCATGATTTTTTTAGTTATTGTCCTCTCCAGTCCAGCCGTGTGTCGCTTGTCATAGGAAAAGCAAAGAATGGGAGGAGCTTAGACTAGTGCTCTAACTTCCATCTCAACTTTGTTATATCACTGTCTAGCTCCGCCTCTTTGGCCTAGTAAACAATGAAATCAATGACCATAAAATGTCCTAATAAATTTAAACAAAATGCATACACAACAGTAAATAAAAAAAAAATCGGGAAAAGGGGGTGGGGCTTACCCTAAAGCTACCCAAACTTGAAAACCTAACCCTAAATTAAAACTGGTTTCCTATATATATACTTCAAACAAATGAATGCCCGGGGAAAGCTACAAAAAGGAATAACGTGGTCTATAAAAAAGAGGCGATATTGATATATTGGTGGATACTTGTTTTTACCGTGTCAAAATGAATATTCCAAAAAATTGTGACTGGTCGATGATTTTTAGTCGTATTATTTCCTCCACTTTTTAAAAGTATATCTCCGTGAATTGAGCATCTTTATTTATCTCTGGATCTTACACAATCAACACCCCATTTATTAATCGATCATTTTCATGGTGTTGCATGGGAAAGGCAGAAAACCTTCACAATAAGTTTTTAAAAGTTTCCTTCGTTTACCTCTTCTACAACTACACGCCCTATTGGTTTTGAAAGTAGGCAGCATAGTTTACATCTAACAATATTTTGTATCTATCTCCTCAAGAATTTGCGCCCGGGGAGGGGGGCACTTCAATAACGCATAAATCGCTCTCTGGTCTTTAAACCATGATGAAAGTATCACGGCAACAATTCATTTACATGTACATCTATCATTAAATCAAATCTTACTAAAAAGTCCGATCCATGACTTCATTTTCTGAAAATTAGAGACATTTTGTCATAGAAAGCGCCAGTATTTGATTGACATATTTAATTCATGAAAAGTACAGTTGAGTTTAACCCTGACATATGTCATTTCCCATTAATGTTACAAACCATATATAGCCACGCCTTACTCATTAACATATTTAATCCACTCAATGCTACGCTTTTCGTGAATTAAACACGTTAATTCGTAAAAGCCGTGCTCTATATATAACAGAGAAAATATGATCGTGTGCAATGCCAAAAGTTTTAAGTATGACAGAATTTAGGGCCGTAATTGTTAACAGTTTATAGCTGTATACCAATAATATTTAGTTATGTTTATTGCTCGCGTACACAATCGAAAAAACAAAACAAATATAACAGAGCAAAATGAAAGATCAGATTGCCTTCAGACATGAGACTGTGAAATATCGAAGTTTAGATATGATCCATATGACCATGTTATTACAGGGGACCTAATCACTGTTCAAGACCGAGAGGTCATTGAAGGTGCTCTTCCATCCTACTGTACAAATGAATGTAAATGGAAAAATTCTTATAAGAATTCTCTTGGTTCTTATTTGAATTAATGTATAAACTAAATATATTAGCGTATAAAATTTCGAAAAATAGTTTAGAAATTAATAAACGGGTAAATAATATGCCAATTTCAGTACAAAATATAACTTCAAGTACTCGCAAAACGTTTAGTGTTTGTACCAGCTGACAAAGCAGAAACAATCAATGTGTCTGACGTACGATGTAAATACTACACATAATGTATATGTTCGTTTGAGTGTTATACTGTAAGTCCTATTTTTCTAAGTGTTGGGAAATTGAACATGAAGTTTAAAAACGAGATGTCATTAATATTTGACAGAGATATAGAAAGTGAAGTAGGAATTGAATTTACGGACAATTTATTTTTCAATTGTGTAATATCACCGATTAGGGAATACCTATTTAGCTAAGTCATGTCATAGATTGAGCTCAAACCATGCAAATAATTTAAGCATAGTACTACTAAGATAACTTTAATAACTAATATTTTACAGCAAAAATACTTGAAAAAAGGTGGAAATACAACACTATAAAACTATTTTTCTCTAAACTTCCGGTGTCCAACTAGATGAAAGAGCTATTCCAATGGGAGTGTGGAGATAGAACAGTATAGTTCTGACAAAAATTGGTAGAATGTAGAAATCTCGAATTAAAGATATATAGGGAGATAGACCATTGCATCTGGATATCAAATATATAACTTTCTCCATTTTAGGAGTCTTATATGTCCACTTTTGATAAAAATGGAGATAGTTATATATTTGGATTGTGATTTTCCTATGAAATACATGAATGGGTAGGGATTTTCACATATATCAATATATGAAAGGGTGGGTGGGGTGGGGGGAGGGGTAGTTTTCACCCCAGCTGGACGTCTGTACCCGAATTTGTATGTTGAGACCCCGTGAAAAAAGGGAGGGGGGGGGGGGACAAGTCAACGTTTTGGGGCGAGATATATGTAAAAAGTATATGCATTAACCATATATGTGGCTCCATAGGCGGGGACAGGCCCCCTATCCCCCTTAATCCGCCTGTTTATACCGAGACTACTATAACATATCATACCATGTGTTTAGTAGTCTCAAATTTATATGTTCTAAATGGGCCTTTTAGTTAAGTAATTATATAAGTAAATCATTTTTTTAAAGTCGGCATATATGTACATAATAACAGAGAAAACATGAGCTCTATTACCGACTTTAATCAGGAATTTTGATTTTTAATTTGTTAAGCAGTAGTTGTTTACATCTCTTTATTTTTATATAAATTGTCGAAAAATTACTTCATATAAATTTTTTTTTGTCTTTAACCGTATATGAAACAGGGTCTGTATCCGTCGTCCGGGAAGACTCTTAGTAAGTATCAATAATATCCGGTTCTCAAAGCATGCTGCCTTGACCAAAAAGTTGACCTTTCTAGGATTTAATCATCCGCTTTTATTCAGGGTGTTTGACAACAACATATTTGAGCTATATATTATTTATACACCACCATAAACGCCATTAACAATGTCTCTTCTAAGTAAAATTGGATATTTAGGCCTTGGTGTTGCTCTAGTCGGTGGAGTCGCCCAGACAGCATTATACAACGGTAAACTACTAGTCGCTTCTTTCAACTTGTTGAAAACTTTTTTCGTATTGACGAGGAAGAATTTAACGCACTGAAATAATGTATTTATGGAAAATTTAGCTGACAATACCTTTGAGAATCTAGTTACTAAAATGATATACAAATTATGTAATCAGTCTAGGTTTAATAGATTCAGTAATCCCTATTGAGATTCATAGTTCAATTTTATTTTGTTAATATAGTTAAAGTATACTAGTCCTCATAGGTAATAACAACAATTGATATGCAGCATGACCTGTGAACTGCGGCAATGTTGCAGTAAGTAGGTCAGTCATTTTGTTTCTAGCTTCGATTTCATCATCAGACCTATAACTTACATCATGTACATGATTTTACGCAATTTCAAATATTTAATTAGATGATGCATGTATAATGTATATGACAATGATAGAAAATGTATACTTGGTTATACATTTGAATTCATGGTTCACATTTCCCCACAAAATCCACAGACCTGCCCGACTATCTCGATTTTGGCGGTATCATCCCGATTTTCATGCTTTAACCCAAATCCCGACATCGGGATTGTAAAACAAGTCAAAATCTACCCAAAAAATTGTTGGTTACCAGTTTTGAAGTTTTTCTGATCAATTTCTATAATCTATAATTTTACCTGGCAGACCTGCCAACTATCCCGATTTATGGGGATATCCCCCATGAGAGGTGTTGACCTGAATTTTGAAAATTTTTATTTTATAAACTGAACACCTAAAAACAGGCATTCAAATGAGTTAAAAGGGTATTTAAGCACATACATACTCATCCAAACAATATACAAGTTGATTAAAAACACTTATGACAATATAAGAGGAGCTTAGCTTTTTTTGCCTTAAAATCCCCCATGGAGATTTTGAAAAGTTGGCAGATATGACCTGGCGACATATTTATGACAAGTTTACGACCCCAGCTAATCATCGATCACAACAGGTATCATAATTTGTTGTTACAGGTAATCTGCTTATCCGATGGGTTATAATTAATGATCCTCAAAATTAATTAATTTGTAAATAGAATCAGTCAGTCGGCATTTCAATTTGAATCAATTTATCATAAGATCACAATTTGCAACTTTTACCGTAGTTTCATGACAAAAACCTAATTAACTGAAAGACGAAAACTGTAATGAACTCATTAGGAAACATCATTTATCTTGAAATCCGTTAAATATTTTGAAATCAGACGTGTTTCTGTCCAGTTTTGATTTAAAAATTAAAAAAACAAGTCTGCACCTTAAGCCACTAGTCCTATGCCCAGACTAGTAAAATTTTATTCGGACTAGTAAGTATTTGCAAAAATTGTTTAGACATATAAGGAAAATGTCAGAATATGGCTTCGGACAAGTAGTTTGAAAAGATTTTGGTGCAGACTGAAACAAGGCTTATTAGCTCATCATTAGTATACCAAAAGAAAAAAGAAGAGATATGAGACTATTTCTAGAGTTGCACACAGAAACACAGCAAAAATTGTAACCCTTTAAAATCTGGTCGCGCACTAAAACCCCCATGGGGATTTTCAAAAGTTGCCAGGTCTGAATCCATGAAAATTGGAATCCCATGAATAATAATGAATCCACAGTAATCGGTGGCATTTTTTTCAGTTGATGGTGGTCATAGAGCAGTTATATTTGATAGATTCAGAGGAGTACAAGACATAGTTTCCGGTGAAGGAACACATTTTCTGATACCATGGGTACAGAAACCAATTATATTTGACATTCGCTCTAGACCAAGAAGTGTTCCAGTCGTAACAGGAAGCAAAGGTAGGTGAAATTTTCCACGGCTATTAAAACTCAAAACTTTACTTTTGTACTAACTGACTGATTACAGTGATTGCGATCATAATGTAATATACATGTACCTGTTAGATAAAATTATTTCTAACACCTACTAATGCATTGTTTTTTGCTACAGTTAAAGGAGATGTGGGGAAAAAGTCAATGAGACAGCGTTCCAACAGAAATTACCAAAATATGTGGGCAACATAAAGTCTTCAATGAAAGCATGATTTGAAGGAAAAAAAATCAAAGAATTCAAACATTGAATCGTTTCCTTGAAAGAATATTTTTTGTTCATTTTCCTATTTTTAAATGTATGCAAAATATTTACACTTTTCTCTTTTCAATATTTTTATAATTTACTGATTGTTTTTGAGAAATCAACAAATTTTTCTGTAATTATCATTTAATGTTTTCAGATTTACAGAATGTTAATGTGACATTGAGAATTTTATTCAGACCAAAGGCTGATGCCCTACCTAATATATACACAAATGTTGGTCTTGATTACGATGAACGAATTCTTCCATCCATCACAAATGAAGTTTTAAAAGCTGTGGTGGTGAGTAAATTTGATAAAGAATGCAGTACACAAGGAAGTGTTGTATATGTTGAGTAAACACATCATATATATATTCCTTTTTGTGTTGTTGAATTAGTGTCTGGCCAAAATCAAAAGTATACATGTTTACTGTCTTACCCAAGCTAGCCTTTTTTTAACACTTACCCTAACTTTGCCATTTCCCATTAAGCCTTATTTAAGTAACAATGTCTCCCAGATAGACTTTGGGTAAATAAAATTTAAAATAAAAAAATTCACTTCATACTGGTCCTATCATTTGCATGTGCCTCATTGAGGTTTACTCCACAAAATCTAAATACAGCACTTATTTGTATTTTGAACAACTCCAGAGATCAAAATGGATTTTTGTGTTGGTGTTGCTATCTAGGAAATTAAATAAAATCATTCTAAAAGTTAGTTTACTAAGTTTGGTTTATTTTTTATCATGAAACAGTTTATTTTTATGCCCCCGCCGTAGCGGAGGGGGCATTAAGTTTTACCCTTGTCTGTCTGTACGTCCGTCCGTACGTCCCAAAGTTGGTTTCCGTTCTCTAACTTTAGTTTTCCTCAACCAAATGTTATGAAACTTATACACAATGCTTATTACCACAATATACAGATCAAGTTTGAATTTTGGTGCCGTCACTTTTACTGTTCTAGAGTTATGCCCTTTACAAATGGAAAAATTGCTAAATTTTTTTTTTTTTTTCTAAATATCAAGTAATTTTTATACGACCGCAAAAATGTTTGCGGTCGTATATTGGTATGACGTTGGCGTCAGCATCGGCGTCGTCATCTGGCTTCGTCCGGCGTCGTCCGAAGACACATTGGTTTTCACACTCTTACTTTAGTTTAAGTGAATGGATCTCTATGAAATTTTACCATAAGGTTCAATACCACAAAAGGAAGGTTGGGATTGATTTTGGGGGTTTTGGTACCAACAGTTAAGGAATTAGGGGCCAAAAAGGGACCAAAAATAAGCATTTTTGTAACTTCCAGACATAACTTGTGTGTTAGTGTATGGATCTCTCTGACATTGTACCAAAAGGTTCCATATCACAAAGGGAATGCTGGGATTGATTTTCGGGGTAATTGCCTCAAAATATTAGGAATTAGGGGCCAAAAAGGGGCAAAAAAAGCAGCAATTATTCTAGTTTCATGACAATAACTTGTGTGTAAGTGTATGGATCTTTCTGAAATTGTACTACAAGGTTCCATATCACAAAAGGAAAGCTGGAATTGAGTTTGGGGGTAATTGCCCAAAATGTTGAGGAATAAGGGGCAAAAAAGGGGCCAAAAATAAGCATTTTTTCTAGTTTCCAGACAATAACTTGTGTTCAATTGTATGGATCTCTCTGAAATTGTACCACAAGGTTCCATATCACACAGGGAATGCTGGGATTGATTTTGGGGGTAATTGCCTCGAAATTTTAGGAATAAGGGGCAAAAAAAGGGGCAAAAAACAAGCATTTTTCTAGTTTCATGACAATAACTTGTGTGTTAGTGTTTGGATATTTCTGAAATTGTAGTACAAGGTTCCATATCACAAAGGGAAAACTGGAATTGAGTTTTGGGGTAATTGATCTAAACATTTAGGAATTGGGGGCCAAAAAGGGGCCAAAAAACACATTTTTCTAGTTTCCAGACAATAACTTGTGTTCAAGTGTATGGATCTCTCTGAAACTGTACTGCAAGGTACCATACCACAAAGGGAAGGCTGGGATTGAGTTTGGGGGTGATGAATCATAAGGGGGTTCAAAAAATTGGGGGGGGGGATTTTTTTTTTTTTTTTCCTTTTTTTTCTTTTTTTCCTTTTTTTTTCTTTTAAAATTTTCCATTTTAAGTTGGTTATTTCTGATTTATATTTAAAAGCAAATAATAATGATATGGTAGGAGATACACACCAAACAGGATGTGTAAATTATTATATAATATGTATTGTGCAATAGCAAGAAATTTTCAATTGCACAGTATTGCACAATAGCAAGAAATCTTCAATTGCACAGTATTGCGCAATAGCAAGAAATCTTCAATTGCACAGTATTGCGCAATAGCAAGAATCCAATAGCACAATATTGCGCAATAGCAAGAAATTGTCAATTGTGCAGTATTGCGCAATAGCAAGAAATATTCAATTTCACAGTATTGTGCAAAAGAAGATACTTCGTATATATTGCTTATTTCTTGACCAATTTCAATGGGGTTTTATTCTTGAATTCTTGGGGTTCTTTAATATGCTGAATCTAACCGTGTATTAAGTTTTTGGATTTTGGGCCACGTTTTTTAATTGGTCCACATTGAGGTCCAAAGGGTCCAAAATTAAACTTTGTTTGATTTCATCAAAAATTGAATTATTGGGGTTCTTTGATATGCCGAATCTAACCGTGTATTTAGATTCTTAATTTTTGGTTCCGTTTTCAAATTGGTCTACATTAAGGTCCAAAGGGTCCAAAATTAAACTAAGTTTGATTTTAACAAAAATTGAATTCTTAGGGTTCTTTGATATGCTGAATCTAAACATGTATTTAGATTTTTGATTATGGGCCCAGTTTTCAAGTTGGTCCAAATCGGGGTCCAAAATTAAACTTTGTTTGATTTCAACAAAAATTGAATATATGGGGTTCTTTGATATGCTGAATCTAACCATGTATTTAGATTTTTGATTTTTGGGCCCGTTATCAACTTTGTCCACATTGAGGTCAAAAGGGTCCAAAATTAAACTTTGTTTGATGTCATCAAAAATTGAATTCTTGGGGTTCTTTGATATGCTGAATCTAACCATGTATTTAGATTTTGGATATTGGACCATAATAGGTGAATGTCCAATTTAAAATTTTTAAGTTCTTAGACCACATTCATTCTGTGTCAGAAACCTATGCTGTGTCAAATATTTAATCACAATCCAAATTCAGAGCTGTATCAAGCTTGAATGTTGTGTCCATACTTGACCCAACTGTTCAGGGTTCGACCTCTGCGGTCGTATCAAGCTGCGCCCTGCGGAGCATTTTATTAAAATTGGAGTTATCTTCCTTTGTCCATGATTATAGTTGAATCAACTACAATCAATGGTTTATACAATGCAATGTTTAATTTTGCCTTCCACTGATAAATTAAAGCAATTTTTACCCTTCATTTCTAAAAATATTTTAAAGTCTTCTTTGAAAATTGGAGTTATCTTTCTTTGTGCATAATGGTAGTTGAATCAACTACAACCGATGCTTTATACAATGCAATATTCAATTTTACTTCCTACTGATAAATTAAAGCAATCTTTACCATTCAGTGCTTACAAACACTTTGATTACCGTTCTAGGGTTATGCTCCTTTACAAATGAAAAAATTGCTGAATTTTTCGTTTCCGTTCTCTAACTTGAGTTTGTCTTAACTAAATGTAATTTCTAAAAATATCAATGTCATTATTCAAGTAATTTTTATACGACCGCAAACAAATTTTGCGGTCGTATATTGATATGACGTTGGCGTTGTTGTCGTCGTCCGAAGACACATTGGTTTTCGCACAATAACTTTAGTTTAAGTGAATGGATCTCTATGAAATTTTACCATAACGTTCAATACCACAAAAGGAAGGTTAGGATTGATTTTGGGGGTTATAGTACCAACAGTTAAGGAATTAGGGGCCACAAAAGGGCCCAAATAAGCATTTTTCTAGTTTCCAGACAATAACTTGTGGAACGGTGTATGAATCTCTCTGAAATTATACCACAAGTTTCCATACCACAAAGGGATGGTTAGGATTGACTTTGGGGGGGTTATGGCTCAAACCGTTTAGGAATTAAGGGCAAAAAGGGGGAAAAACAAGGGTTTCCTGGTTAATGGACAATTTAAAAGCAGTGTAAGGGAGGTAATCCAAATACATTTAAAGTATTAAAAAAAAAAATTTGGATTACCTCCCTTACATTGCTTTTAAATTATGTATAAAGATGTTGAATTGTCTTGAGGTGATTAACTGTCAATTAATTTTTATACGACCGCAAAAATTAAAAATTTTTTGGTCCTATATTGGTATGACGTTGGCGTCGTCGTCGTCGTCGTCGTCGTCGTCGTCGTCGACCGGCGTCGTCGTCGTCGTCTGGCGTCGTCCGAAGACACATTGGTTTTCGCACTCTAACTTTAGTTTAAGTGAATGGATCTCCATGAAATTTCACCATAAGGTTCAATACCACGAAAGGAAGGTTGGGATTGATTTTGGGGGTTATGGTACCAACAGTTAAGGAATTAGGGGCCAAAAAGGGGCCAAAAATAAACATTTTTGTAACTTTCAGACAATAACTTGTGTGTAAGTGTATGGATCTCTCTGACATTGTACCACAAGGTTCCATATCACAAAGGGAAGGCTGTAATTGATTTTGGGGGTAATTGCCTCAAAATTTTAGGAATTAGGGGCCAAAAAAGGGGCAAAAAACAAGCATTTTTCTAGTTTCATGACAATAACTTGTGTGTAAGTGTTTGGATATTTCTGAAATTGTACTACAAGGTTCCATATCACAAAGGGAAAGCTGGAATTGAGTTTGGGGGTAATTGCCCGAAACGTTTAGGAATTGGGGGCCAAAAAGGGGCCAAAAATAAGCATTTTTCTAGTTTCCAGACAATAACTTGTGTTCAAGTGTATGGATCTCTCTGAAATTGTACTGCAAGGTACCATACCACAAAGGGAAGGCTGGGATTGAGTTTGGGGGTGATGAACCATAAGGGGGTTCAAAAAATTTGGGGGGGGGGATTTTTTTTTTTTTTTTCTTTTTCTTTTTTTCCTTTTTTTTTCTTTTAAAATTTTTCATTTTAAGTTGGTTATTTCTGATTTATATTTAAAAGCAAATTATAATGATATGGTAGGAGATACACACCAAACAGAATGTGTAAATTATTATATAATAAGTATTGTGCAATAGCAAGAAATTTTCAATTGCACAGTATTGCACAATAGCAAGAAATCTTCAATTGCACAGTATTGCGCAATAGCAAGAAATCTTCAATTGCACAGTATTGCGCAATAGCAAGAAATATCCAATAGCACAATATTGCGCAATAGCAAGAAATTGTCAATTGTACAGTATTGCGCAATAGCAAGAAATATTCAATTGCACAGTATTGTGCAAAAGAAGATACTTCGTATAAATTGCTTATTTCTTGATCAATTTCAATGGGGTTTTATTCTTGAATTCTTGGGGTTCTTTAATATGCTGAATCTAACCGTGTATTAAGTTTTTGGATTTTGGGCCCCGTTTTTAAATTGGTCCACATTGAGGTCCAAAGGGTCCAAAATTTAACTTTGTTTGATTTCATCAAAAATTGAATTATTGGGGTTCTTTGATATGCCGAATCTAACCGTGTATTTAGATTTTTAATTTTGGGTCCTGTTTTTTAAATTGGTCTACATTAAGGTCCAAAGGGTCCAAAATTAAACTTAGTTTGATTTTAACAAAAATTGAATTCTTGGGGTTCTTTGATATGCTGAATCTAAACATGTATTTAGATTTTTGATTATGGGCCCAGTTTTCAAGTTGGTCCAAGTTGGGTCCAAAATTAAACTTTGTTTGATTTCAACAAAAATTGAATATATGGGGTTCTTTGATATGCTGAAACTAAACATGTATTTAGATTTTAGATTTTTGGCCCAGTTTTCAAGTTGGTCCAAATTGGGGTCCAAAATTAAACTTTGTTTGATTTCAACAAAAATTGAATATATGGGGTTCTTTGATATGCTGAATCTTACCATGTATTTAGATTTTTTATTTGTGGGCCCGCTATCAAATTGGTTCATATTGAGGTCAAAAGGGTCCAAAATTAAACTTTGTTTGATTTCATCAAAAATTGAATTATTGGGGTTCTTTGATATGCCAAATCTAACCGTGTATTTAGATTTTTAATTTTGGGTCCTGTTTTTTAAATTGGTCTACATTAAGGTCCAAAGGGTCCAAAATTAAACTTAGTTTGATTTTAACAAAAATTGAATTTTTAGGGTTCTTTGATATGCTGAATCTAAACATGTGTTTAGATTTTTGATTATGGGACCAGTTTTCAAGTTGATCCAAGTTGGGGTCCAAAATTAAACTTTGTTTGATTTCAACAAAAATTGAATAATGGGGTTCTTTGATATGCTGAATCTAAACATGTATTTAGATTTTAGATTTTTGGCCCAGTTTTCAAGTTGGTCCAAATTGGGGTCCAAAATTAAACTTTGTTTGATTTCAACAAAAATTGAATATATGGGGTTCTTTGATATGCTGAATCTTACCATGTATTTAGATTTTTTATTTGTGGGCCCGCTATCAAATTGGTTCATATTGAGGTCAAAAGGGTCCAAAATTAAACTTTGTTTGATTTCATCAAAAATTGAATTATTGGGGTTCTTTGATATGCCAAATCTAACCGTGTTTTTAGATTTTTAATTTGGGTCCCGTTTTTTAAATTTGTCTACATTTAGGTCCAAAGGGTCCAAAATTAAACTTAGTTTGATTTTAACAAAAATTGAATTCTTCGGGTACTTTGATATGCTGAATCTAAACATGTGTTTAGATTTTTGATTATGGGCCCAGTTTTCAAGTTGGTCCAAGTTGGGGTCCAAAATTAAACTTTTTTTGATTTCAACAAAAATTGAATATATGGGGTTCTTTGATATGTTGAATCTAACCATGAATTTAGATTTTTTATTTGTGGGCCCCGCTATCAAATTGGTTCATATTGAGGTCAAAAGGGTCCAAAATTAAACTTTGTTTGATTTCATCAAAAATTGAATTATTGGGGTTCTTTGATATTCCAAATCTAACCGTGTATTTAGATTTTTAATTTTAAGTCCTGTTTTTTAAATTGGTCTACATTAAGGTCCAAAGGGTCCAAAATTAAACTTAGTTTGATTTTAGCAAAAATTGAATTCTTGGGGTTCTTTGATATGCTGAATCTAAACATGTGTTTAGATTTTTGATTATGGGCCCAGTTTTCAAGTTTGTCCAAGTTGGGGTCCAAAATTAAACTTTGTTTGATTTTAACAAAAATTAAATATATGGGGTTCTTTGATATGCTGAATCTAACCATGTATTTTGATTTTGGACATTGGACCATAATAGGTAAATTAAAAAAATTCAAGTTCTTAGACCACATTCTTTCTGTGTCAGAAACCTATGCTGTGTCAAATATTTACTAACAATCCAAATTCAGAGCTGTATCAAGCTTGAATGTTGTGTCCATACTTGCCCCAACTGTTCAGGGTTCGACCTCTGCGGTCGTATCAAGCTGCGCCCCAGCGAAGCATTTTATGTAATAATGCAACATTATAGAGAAGTATATTTATAAGTTAACCATAGTAACTCAGTTAAAATGCCCCAAAAGGCGCAAGCCAGGGCCGACCGTGCGAGGGCTGTATAGCCAGTCAAGGTCGTTCAAAACTTCCATCATCATCAACTCAGTTATTTGCTATACATGTAATACAATCATCTTTAATCAAATCACTTGGTTATCTTGTTTTTATACAATTAAATTGAGAATGGAAATGGGGAATATGTCAAAGAGACAACAACCCGACCAAAGAGCAGACAACAGCCGAAGGGTCTTCAATGCAGCGAGAAAATCCCGCACCCGGAGGTGGTCCTCAGCTGGTACATTCTTTATGTCATTTTTCTTGTAGAGTTAAACAAGTCTGAAGAATATGATATTTCATACTTTTGCATTGCCAAGTTTGAAAGATAAAATATTGAAAAAACATGACCTTAAATAATAATTCCATTTGCATAGCTCTATCAATGTCTTAATCAGAATAAATGTAGAAAATTTCTTGTTGGAGTAAAGCAACAAAACAGGGCCTTAAGGAATAACACCACTAATTCATAGCCCCCTTGCTTTCTATGTTCAATTCTGCCACTTCAAGCATTCATACCTGTTTTGTATTAAGTTTAAAGGTCCAAAGGGTCCAAAATTAAACTTAGTTTGATTTTAACAAAAATTGAATTCTTCGGGTACTTTGATATGCTGAATCTAAACATGTGTTTAGATTTTTGATTATGGGACCAGTTTTCAAGTTTGTCCAAGTTGGGGTCCAAAATTAAAGTTTGTTTGATTTCAACAAAAATTGAATATATGGGGTTCTTTGATATGCTGAATCTAACCATGTATTTTGATTTTGGACATTGGACCATAATAGGTAAATTAAAAAAATTGAAGTTCTTAGACCACATTCTTTCTGTGTCAGAAACCTATGCTGTGTCAAATATTTAATCACAATCCAAATTCAGAGCTGTATCAAGCTTGAATGTTGTGTCCATACTTGCCCCAACTGTTCAGGGTTCGACCTCTGCGGTCGTATCAAGCTGTGCCCAGCGAAGCATTTTATTAGAAGTTACTATAAAAGGAATATTAATTTTAGCCATGATTATGTATGTCATTTTCTATTTTAAGACTTTTATGATGTATTTAAATTGGTAATTATGGTTGCAAACTCCATTGGAAATTTGAATTGAGATTATGACCATATCTTGAGGGAAAGAATTTTTTTTTTGGAAAAAGAGGGGGGGAGGGAGGTGAAATAAATTTTTTGTGGGGAGGGGGGTGGGTAAAAAAGAAATTTAGGGGGGGCAATTTTTTCTCATTTCAGATTTCAGAAATTAAAAAGAAAATTTCTTCAAATATTTTTTTTTTTTGCAAAATAAAGGGGGGGGGGGGGGGGGGGGGGGGTCAATATGCAACAGCATTGTGTCTTGCACAAAAGCAAAAAATTGAATATAAATTCAAATCATATAACCAATTCTAAGTTCTTTGACTACAGTTATTCTGTGTCAGAAACCTATTATGTGTCAAATATTTAATTACAATCCAAATTCAGACCTGTATCAAGCGTGAATATTGTGTCTATTCGCCCCAACTGTTCAGGGTTGGACCCATGCTGTCGTATCCAGCTGCACTCAGCAAAGCATTTTTATTAAAATTGGAGTTGTCTTCCTTTGTCCATGATTATAGTTGAATCAACTATAATCAATGCTTTATACAATGCAATGTTTAATTTTGCCTTCCACTGGTAAAACACAGATCAAGTTGAATTGTCACTTTAACCATTATTGAGTTATGCCCCTTTATAAATGGAAAGATTGCAAAATTTTTAGTTTCCATTCTGTAACTTAAGTTTGCCCCAACCCAACATTATGAAACCTATACACAATATTCATTACCTCAAAACTAAGACAATGTACAATTTTTTTGTTTCCGTTCTCTAACTTTAGTTTGCCTCAACCAAATGTTATGAAACTTATACACAATGCTTATTACTACATAATACAGATTAAGTACGAAATTTGGTGGCGTCACTTTTACCATTCTTGAGTTATGTCCCTTTATAAACATAAAAATTGCTGAATTTTTCGTTTCCGTTCTCTAACTTTAGTTTGTCTCAACCAAATGTTATAAAACTTATACACAACCGTTCTAGAGTTATGCTTGTTTACAAATAGAAAAATTGCTGAATTTTTAGTTTCTGTTCTCTAGTTAAGTTAGCCTCAACCAAATGTTATGAGACTTACACACAATGCTTATTACCACAAAACTCAGATCAAGTTCAAATTTGGGAAGCGTCACTTTTACCGTTCTTCAGTTATGTCCCTTTATAACTATATGATATGCAAGCGGGGGCATCATCTGTGTCCACCTGGACACAATCCACATTTATCTTATTCTTTTTTGCTTCATAAAACAAATTGGCTGCCTTTAGAAAGTGTATTATATGTCCGCTTGGAAGTACAAAAGTTCTAAATATTCCTACTAGAATCAAAATAATTCTATCATGCCATGCTCTATGCTCATTTTAACATGGGTAGGCATTATGCTTGTCAACATTATGAAATAATTATTTCTTAATTTGAATAATACATGTGCCACTTTTAATTTGTCTTCTTTTTGTTTTAGGCCCAGTTTGATGCAAGTGAAATGATAACTCAGAGAGAAATAGTATCACACAGAGTTAGTGAGGAATTAACAGAAAGAGCTGCCACATTTGGTTTAATTCTGGATGACATTTCATTGGTAAGTTTCTTCAGGGGTCAAGAATTGTTCCCTGGTCATTGACCTTTGGGGGTTGTTGTTTCAATAATATTTCTAAGATATAATAGGACACCATGCCTTGTTCACACTATCACATTTCCAATTTATGTGGACCACAAAATCTGGGTCAAACCCTAATTCGGCTATATTTTTTATAAACCTGTGCATTTTTTTTTTAGTTGATTTGACCACAAACTACCTTAACCAAACTTTAAACTAATACACAGTCCGAAAAAACATAATTCCTGTTTACTAAAGTAGACAGGGCTTAAAACGTCATTAGTAAACTTAATAAATGTAACGTGTACAAATATGTCATAATTTAACGCTTAAACTTCAGTACACACATGGCGATTCAGTTAAGGGGCTATTCCATTAAAATCATGTGGGTGGGTGGGATTGGAAGCTTTGTGGTACATCAAATATTTATAATTCATAAACAGGCTTCTTAAAAAATTGAAAACAACACGTTTAATAATTTCATGCGTCCGAAGCGCTTTTCTGGATTTACCTTCATCAGGAACGCTCAATGCCAAACATTTGAAATCCAAGGGATGTATAAGTACCAAACAGTTGAAGAGCTATATGACAAAAATACCTAAAACAAATAGCCAAATTCATCTAAGGTCAACTTTGCCTGAGGGAGTTGAAACCTTAGTTTCTTTATAATTTCAAAATTTATAAACAGACAATTTTAGAAAAGTTTGTTATAAATCATGTCAGTACCGAAGTACTGACTACTGAGCTGATGATACCCTCAGGGACTGATAGTCCACCAGTAGAGGTATCGACCCAGTGATGTAAAAAATTGAAAACAACACGTTTAATAATTTCATGCGTCCGAAGCGCTTTTCTGGATTTACCTTCATCTTAAGCTTCCCCAATCTAAGCAAACTGAAGATACTGTTGATTCAGTTATTTCCATTAGTACAAATTTTTGTGATTTAAAGAAAAATTGTATTTTTGTGGATATTTAATTTTGTGGTTTTGCCAAAGTCGGTATACAAGCATATAGAAAATTAGTACTTAAGTGAACATTACCCACAAAAAATTGATATCACACTGATTTTAATGAATCCACATAGAGTAAAGATAATAAATTTCTCTGTTCAAACCTTAACCATGATAACCATTTGATATTTTAACAAATTAACTTGATTACTGTAGAAAACGTCTTATTTACTTTATACAAATTACTATATCAAGGTTCAAAGAGCAAAGATATTTATCAATTAAACATGTTATTTAAAAGAAGATGTGGAATGATGTAGTATTGCTACTGTTCTCTGTGCTCTCAGATTAATCAAGGGAACATAATCCAAAGATAATTTATTTTCCAGACACATTTAACATTTGGAAAAGAATTCACACAAGCTGTAGAAATGAAACAGGTGGCACAGCAGGATGCTGAACGAGCTAGATATCTTGTAGAAAAGGTAATAATATGATTTTAATGAGGATCAGTTTTTAGTCCCTTACCAACGAAGTCAAAGGAAACTTTAGGTTTGCACTCCGTCTGTCTGTCTGTCTGTCTGTCTGTCTGTCTGTCTGTCCGGCAAATCAGTTTTCCAGACTCTTTTTCTTCGTGCTTGAAGATATTGATTTGATATTTGGTTTATTGATTTATCATGACAAGTAACAGGTCAAGTTCCATTTTCACGATTTTAGCTTTTCTCTTTGTTCAGTTAAAGCCCTTTCCCTAGAATTAAATATTTGATGAAATACTTATTGATTAGTAGATTTCTGTTCAAAGGGAAATAACTCATTTTTGTCGAGCCTGCGACTTTTGTCGCAGAAAGCTCGACATAGGGATAGCGATCCGGCGGCGGCGGCGGCGGCGGCGGCGTTAGCTAACTTCTTAAAAGCTTTATATTTTAGAAGATGGAAGACCTGGAAGCTTCATACTTTGTATATGGATGCCTCATGTTACGAAGTTTCCGTCAGTCACATGTCCAATGTCCTTGACCTCATTTTCATGGTTCAGTGACTACTTGAAAAAAAAGTTCAGATTTTTTGTAATGTTAAATTCTCTCTTATTATAAGTAATAGGATAACTATATTTGGTATGTGCGTACCTTGCAAGGTCCTCATGCCCGTCAGACAGTTTTCACTTGACCTCGACCTCATTTCATGGATCAGTGAACAAGGTTAAGTTTTCGTGGTCAAGTCCATATCTCAGATACTATAAGCAATAGGTCTAGTATATTCGGTGTATGGAAGGACTGTAAGGTGTACATGTCCAACTGGCAGGTGTCATCTGACCTTGACCTCATTTTCATGGTTCAGTGGTTATAGTTAAGTTTTTGTGTTTTGGTCTGTTTTTCTTATACTGTATGCAATAGGTCTACTATATTTGGTGTATGGAATGATTGTAAGGTGTACATGTCTAGCTGGCAGGTGTCATCTGACCTTGACCTCATTTTCATGGTTCAGTGGTCAAAGTTAAGTTTTTGAGTTTTGGTCTTTCTTTCTAATACTGCATGCAATAGGTCAGCTATATTTGGTGTATGGAATGATTGTAAGGTGTACATGTCTAGCTGGCAGGTGTCATCTTACCTTGACCTCATTTTCATGGTTCAGTGGTCAAAGTTAAGTTTTTGAGTTTTGGTCTTTTTTTCTAATACTATATGCAATAGTTCAACTATATTTGGTGTATGGAAATATTTTATGATCTATATGTCAGTCACGCATGTTTTATTTTACCTTGACCTCATTTTCAAGGTTCATTGCTCAGTGTTAAGTTTTTGTGTTTTCGTCTGTTTTTCTTAAACTATAAGCAATAGGTCAACTTTATTTGTTGTATGGAAGAATTGTTAGCTGTACATGCCTGCCTAGCATGGTTCATCTGACCTTGACCTCATTTTCATGGTTCATTGGTCAATGTTTAGTTTACTTGGTTAATGTTAAGTTTATGTGACAGTTGTAATAAAGCTTTATATTTAGGACTATCAACATAATATTAATGATTAGTAAAGAAGGCGAGACATTTCAGCGTGTGCACTCTTGTTTTAAAGACAAAATGACATTTTGATTTTTTTCGTTTTCTTTGGTAAACTGTTTGAAGAATTTAGTGGTAGGTTTGTTTGTCATTCTTGAAGATTTTGATTTGATAATTAGTATATAATTTTATCATGACAAGTTACAGATCAAGTTGGAATTTTGTTCCAGTCTGATAATTTGTGCAGAGTTATGGTCTTTGGACATAGAAAATTCACTTAAATAATCAGTTTTCAACAGTTTTTTTCGTCACGCTTGAAGATTTTGACTTGATATTTTTATGTAGTTAACACCGTGACAAGTTATAGATCAAGTTAGAATTTCGTTCCATTACAATGAATTTGTAACCGGTAGGGGACTATGTATTACTCACAGAATGCTTGTTTCATCTAACATTTAATGTATCCTCCATGTTAAAAACAAATGAGGCAGAAGATACATACCAGAGGAACAATAAAAATTTATATGTCTTAAGAAAAACTGACAATACCATGGCAAAAAAAAAGGCAACAATCGATAAGACAAACAACAGGCTGCAAAATACTACATAGAAAACCAAAGACTGAGCAACACATACCAAATGAAAAAGACGATCTCGGGTGCTCTTGAAAAGCAAAATGAGGATGTTAAATTTGATGTATGCCTTTTTGTGCTTCTTTGTTACTTTTGTTTGTTTTTATAGTGATTAAGATGATAACACAATGTTGACTGCTGTACCCCTATTTTTGACATTTTTACCTATTGTGTCTGTTTTGTTCAGGCATCATTGTCAATATAATGGAATTTGATGCGACTGTCATACAAGTGAGAGGTTTAGCTAGCTATAAAACCAGGTTCAATCCACCATATTCTACATAAGAAATTGCCTGTACCAAGTCAGGAATATGACAGTTGTTATCCATTCGTTTGATGTGTTTGAGCTTTTGATTTTTGCCATTTGATTAGGCACTTTTCTTTTTGAATTTTCCTCAGAGTTCAGTATTTTTGTGATTTTACTTTTTGAATGGTAGGCAGATCCTGCTCAACATGTTACTCATGACAAATACAAGTTTGTTTCTTAGTCTCATTTTTAAAATTTTTTAAATTCAAGAATTCATGACAGACACACCAAAAAATGACATATATGGCCTTCATAGACCAGAAAAGATAAATTTCAAATGAAGAAGTCAAAATCATAGTTTAGTATAAAGCTATAGTGTAAAAGTACATTTTCAGGTATTTATATGGAATGATAAATTACTGCATATTACCATGTCACAAATAATACTGTGTTTATTGTCATTTTTTATGCATTTGTTCAGCTTTTCCTTGTCAACAACATCTTGTGGCTGTCTAGGCTTTTCTAAAAAGACTGCATTGAATTGTAGGTTCTTAAAAGGTGCTTACAGCTTCACAGTTACAAAATAACCATCTTTCTGGATGTTAAGTAAAATCAGCTGTATTATACAATAAATACATAGTATCAATCAAAAATAAATATGAACAAGCATTCTAAGAGTATTGCATGGCAATACATCGTCCCCTACCGGTTAAGAATTCATTGTACTGGAACAAAATGCTAACTTGATCTATAACTTTACATGGTGTAAACTATTTAACAAATATCAAGTCAATATCTTCAAGCATGTCGAAAAAAAGTGAGGAAAACTGATTATTTGAGTGAATTTTCTAAGTCCAAGGACCATAACTCTGCACAAAATCATCAGACCAGAACATAATTTGAACTTGATCTGTAACTTGTCATGATAAAAGTATATACCAAATTTCAAATCAATATCTTAAAGCACGAAGAAAAAAGTGTGGAAAACTGATTTGCCGGACGGACAGACAGACAGACAGACAGACAGACAGACAAAGAGAGTGCAAACCTAAAGTCCCCTTCGACTTCGTCGGTAGGGGACTAATAAAAGGAGATGTGGATTATACATCAATGAGACAGCAACCCAATAACAAAAACAATCAGAAGACTTCTAGAAGGCTAATATTCTGCTTCAAACGACATATTGTGGATTCATTTATTTTTGTGGATACCAATTTTCTTTTGAATGAGGAAAAATTGTATTTTTCGAGAATATTTGATTTCGTGGTTTTGCCAAAGTCTACATTCAAGCATTTTAGAAAAATTTGTGCTTCATTGAAAGTTTGAACTGTAGTTTACATTCACCCATAAAAATTTGTACTCCACAATTAAGAATGAATCCACAATATGTCTATATGATATGTCAAGCTCTAAATAGCCTGTATAAGTTGTAAATAAATCTAAATGTAACAAATCAAATATCTGCCATCAACCCTGAATTCCCCAATTAACATATGATACCGTATAGCGGGTTATTTTCGCAGGTGTAAAATTTCGCGACTTTCATTTAATAAGGCATACGAAATATTTTGGTGGTTATTATTTTGACGGATTCAAAACTTTTATCAATAGCTTTGCATGTGCACTTTAAAATTGGCGGAATTTATTTTGGCGATTTTGTTCTATCCGCGAAAAATTATACCCAGCGAAAATAACCTGCTATACGGTATATCTCAAATACCAACGAGGTTCCTGACTTCTGAGTTATCTTTTGTAGGCGGAGATGATGAGGCAAGCTGCTGTCATATCAGCAGAAGGAGATTCCGAAGGAGCCAAGTTACTGGCCTTGGCATTCAGAGAGGCAGGTGAAGGATTGGTCGAATTACGTAAACTTGAGGCTGCAGAAGACATCGCCTACCAATTGTCAGCGTCGCGTAACGTGACATATTTACCTGCAGGACAACAGACATTGTTATCATTACCGCAGTAATTGTGTCTATAAATAGAATAGACTTGATATATTTCTGTTTGTGTATATGTATGTATAGTTTTGAGACAGTAAAAGAACAATTTTCCTTTAACGGTTTTGTCTTTCATGTGAATGATTTACCCAGTTTTTAACGTACTTAATCCACATGCTTAGCTTCAGATATGTCCATTTAACTTCTCAAAGGAGCAAGTTTGCTGGGGGTCCTTTTTGGCCCTGACTATCAAGTATATCTCCATCTTTCTGGTCCTTAAAACCAATGAAAATTGACCAGTTTTTATTGAATTTTAAGGAAAAACACAATATGTGCTATTTGCGATGGAGAGAACCCTGTTTCGTAAATTTTCAACAACCAGACCTACTTGCCATCAAATCATTATTATAGCTATAACTCATTATGATACTGGTCAATAAATCCATTATTGTAATTTTAGCTAGAGGTAGGGGCTATATTGTCATTATTAAACCTTATTGTTTTCTTTTCCAATTGATGCAGACTGTGGAGGAATTTTATACAACCGCAAAAAAATTTTGTGGTCGTATATTGGTATGACGTTGGCGTCGTCGTCGTCCGAAGACACATAGGTTTTCGCACTCTAACTTTAGTTTAAGTGAATGGATCTCTATGAAATTTTACCATAAGGTTCAATACCACAAAAGGAAGGTTGGGATTGATTTTTGGGGTTATGGTACCAACAGTTAAGGAATTAGGGGCCAAAAAGGGGCCACAAATAAGCATTTTTGTAACTTCCAGACATAACTTGTGTGTTAGTGTATGGATCTCTCTGACATTGTACCACAAGGTTCCATATCATAAAGGGAATACTGGGATTGAATTTGGGGGTAATTGCCTCAAAATTTTAGGAATTAGGGGCAAAAAAGGGGCAAAAACAAGCATTTTTCTAGTTTCATGACAATAACTTGTGTGTAAGTGTATTGATCTTTCTGGAATTGTACTACAAGGTTCCATATCACAAAGGGAAAGCTGGAATTGAGTTTGGGGGTAATTGCCCAAAACGTTAAGGAATAAGGGGCCAAAAATAAGCATTTTTCTAGTTTCCAGACAATAACATGTGTTCAAGTGTATGGACCTCTCTGAAATTGTACTGCAAGGTTCCATACCACAAAGGGAAGGCTGGGATTGATTTTGGGGGGAATTGCAACAAAATTTTAGGAATTAGGGGCCAAAAAGGGGCAAAAAACAAGCATTTTTCTAGTTTCTAGGGAAGGCTGGGATTGAGTTTGGGGGTGATTAATCATAAGGGGGTTCAAAAAATTTGGGGGGAGGGATTTTTTCCCCTTTTTTTCCTTTTTTTTTCTTTAAAATTTTCCATTTTAAATTGGTTATTTCTGATTTATATATAAAAGCAAATAATAATGATATGGTTTGAATAGGTAAATTAAAAATTTATAATTTTTTAGACCACATTCATTCTGTGTCAGAAACCTATGCTGTGTCAAATATTTAATCACAATCCAAAGTCAGTGTGTATCAAGCTTGAATGTTGTGTCCATACTTGCCCCAACTGTTCAGGGTTCGACCTCTGCGGTCATATCAAGCTGCGCCTAGCTAGGAGCATTTTATTATGTAAAGTTAATATAAATGGCTGTAAGAATTAAGTCAAGATTTCAAATCTACTCCATCACCAGACTCACTGTGCAAAAAACTTCTTTCAATGATGAATTGAGACCTTTTTATGCCCCTGCTGTAGCGTAGGGGGCATTAAGTTTTACCCTTGTCCGTATGTCCATCTGTACGTCCCAAAGTTGGTTTCTGTTCTCTAACTTAAGTTTGCCTCAACCAAATTTTATGAAACTTATACACAATGCTTATTACCACAAAACACAGATCAAGTTTGAATTTTGGTGGCTTCACTTTAACCGTTCTAGAGTTATGCCCTTTACAAATGGAAAAATTGCTGAATTTTTCGTTTCCGTTCTCTAACTTTAGTTTGCCTTTTTAGCTCACCTGACCTGAAAGGTCAAGTGAGCTTTTCTCATCACTTTGCGTCCGTCGTCCGTAAACTTTTACAAAAATCTTCTCCTCTGAAACTACTGGGCCAAATTTGACCAAACTTGGCCACAATCATCATTGGGGTATCTAGTTTAAAAAATGTGTCCGATGACCCCGCCAACCAACCAAGATGGCCACCATGGCTAAAAATAGAACATAGGGGTAAAATGTAGCATTTAGAGCAAATCTGACATGGGGTAAAATTGTTTATCAGGTCAAGATCTATCTGCCCTGAAATTTTCAGATGAATCGGACAACCCGTTGTTGGGTTGCTGCCCCTAAATTGGTAATTTTAAGGAAATTTTGCCGTTTTTGGTTATTATCTTGAATATTATTATAGATAGAGATAAACTGTAAACAGCAATAATGTTCAGCAAAGTATGATCTACAAATAAGTCAACTTGACCAAAATGGTCAGTTGACCCCTTAAGGAGTTATTGCCCTTTATAATCAATTTTTAACCATTTTTCGTAAATTTTTGTAATCTTTTACAAAAATCTTCTCTGATGAAACTACTGAGACAAATTTAACCAAAATTGTCCACAATCATCATTAGGGTATCTAGTTTAAAAAATGTGTCCGATGAGCCTGCCCGCAAACCAAGATGGCCGACATGGCAAAAAAATAATACATAGGGTAAAATGCAGTTTTTATACGACCGCAAAAAAATTTTTGTGGTCGTATATTGGTATGACGTTGGCGTCGTCGTCCGGCGTCGTCTTCGTCGTCGTCGTCGTCGTCGTCCTGCGTCGTCGTCCGAATACACATTGGTTTTCGCACTCTAACTTTAGTTTAAGTGAATGGATCTTTTTGAAATTTTACCATAAGGTTAAATTCCACAAAAGGAAGGTTGGGATTGATTTTGGGGTTTATGGTACCAACAGTTAAGGAATTAGGGGCCAAAAAGGGGCCAAAAATAAGCATTTTCTAGTTTCCAGACAATAACTGTGGAACAGTGTATGGATCTCTCTGAAATTATACTACAAGTTTCCATACCACAAAGGGATGGTTAGGATTTGCTTTGGGGGGTTATGGCTCAAACCGTTTAGGAATTAGGGGCAAAAAAGGGGGAAAAACAAGGTTGTCCTGGTTAATGGACAAATACTTTAGTACAAAACATAATTTAAAGCAGTGTAAGGGAGATAAATCAAATACATCATTGAAATTATCTCCCTTACACTGCTTTTAAATTATGTATAAAGTAATGGTTAATGAACAATAAAGATAATTTAAAACAGTGTAAGGGAGGTAATCCAAATACAACGTTTTGGTTACTTCCCTTACACTGCTTTTAAATTATGTTTAAAGAAATGCATATTTATAAAGGAAGACCAGGAAAAATATCTGCAAATGTTGCATCATTTTATTTTACAAAAAAATCTATATGAAAGATTTGACACTATATTTTTAATTCTTTTATAAAATAGATTAAGTTAGCACTATGGTAAAATTAAATGGGTAATTATGGTTGCCAACTCCATTGGAAATTTGAATTGAGATTATGACCATATCTTGAGGGAAAGAATTTTTTGGGGGAAAAAAGGGGGGGGGGATAAAAAGAAATTGTGGGGGGTCAATTTTTTCTCATTTCAGATTTCAGAAATTAAAAAGAATTATTCTTCAAATATTATTTTTTTTTCAAATTTCAAATATTGAAAAATTTCAAGAAGTAATCTTTAATTGCACAGTATGGCACATTAGATTTGTAAAATCTTTGATCACATTTATTTATTTGTTATGCCGAATCTAACAGTGTATTTAGATTTTTAATTTTGGGTCCAGTTTTCAAAATAGTCTACATTAAGGTCCAAAGGGTCCAAAATTAAACTTTGTTTGATTTTAGCAAAAATTGAATATATGAGGTTCTTTGATATGCTGAATCTAAACATGTATTTAGATTTTTGATTTTTGGCCCAGTTTTCAAGTTGGTCCAAATTGGGGTCCAAAATTAAACTTTGTTTGATTTCAACAAAAATTGAATATATGGGGTTCTTTGATATGCTGAATCTAACCATGTATTTAGATTTTTTATTTGTGGACCCCATTATCAAATTGGTTCATATTGAGGTCAAAAGGGTCCAAAATTAAACTTTGTTTGATTTCATCTAAAATTGAATTATTGGGGCTCTTTGATATTCCAAATATAACCGTGTATTTAGATTTTTAATTTTGGGTCCTGTTTTTTAAATTGGTCTACATTAAGGTCCAAAGGATCCAAAATTAAACTAAGTTTGATTTTAACATAAATTGAATTCTTGGGGTTCTTTGATATGCTGAATCTAAACATGTGTTTAGATTTTTGATTATGGGCCCAGTTTTCAAGTTGGTCCAAGATAGGGTCCAGTATTTAAACTTTGTTTGATTTCTACAAAAATTGAATATATGGGGTTCTTTGATATGCTGAATCTAAACATGTGTTTAGATTTTTGATTATGGGCCCAGTTTTCAAGTTGGTCCAAGATAGGGTCCAGTATTTAAACTTTGTTTGATTTCTACAAAAATTGAATATATGGGGTTCTTTGATATGCTGAATCTAAACATGTATTTAGATTTTTGATTATGGGCCCAGTTTTCAAGTTGGTCCAAATTGGGGTCCAAAATTAAACTTTGTTTGATTTCAACAAAAATTGAATATATGAGGTTCTTTGATATGCTGAATCTAACCATGTATTTAGATTTTTTATTTGTAGGCCACGCTATCAAATTGGTTCATATTGAGGTCAAAAGGGTCCAAAATTTAACTTTGTTTGATTTCATCAAAAATTGAATTATTGGGGTTCTTTGATATGCCAAATCTAACCGTGTTTTTAGATGTTTAATTTGGGTCCCGTTTTTTAAATTGGTCTTCATTGAGGTCCAAAGGGTCCAAAATTAAACTTAGTTTGATTTTATCAAAAATTGAATTCTTGGGGTTCTTTGATATGCTGAATCTAAACATGTGTTTAGATTTTTGATTATGGGCCCAGTTTTCAAGTTGGTCCAAGTTGGGGTCCAAAATTAAACTTTTTTTGATTTCAACAAAAATTGAATATATGGGGTTCTTTGATATGCTGAATCTAACCATGAATTTAGATTTTTTATTTGTGGGCCCCGCTATCAAATTGGTTCATATTGAGGTCAAAAGGGTCCAAAATTAAACTTTGTTTGATTTCATCAAAAATTGAATTATTGGGGTTCTTTGATATTCCAAATCTAACCGTGTATTTAGATTTTTAATTTTAAGTCCTGTTTTTTTAAATTGGACTACATTAAGGTCCAAAGGGTCCAAAATTAAACTTAGTTTGATTTTATCAAAAATTGAATTCTTGGGGTTCTTTGATATGCTGAATCTAAACATGTGTTTAGATTTTTGATTATGGGCCCAGTTTTCAAGTTGGTCCAAGTTGGGGTCCAAAATTAAACTTTTTTTGATTTCAACAAAAATTGAATATATGGGGTTCTTTGATATGCTGAATCTAACCATGAATTTAGATTTTTTATTTGTGGGCCCCGCTATCAAATTGGTTCATATTGAGGTCAAAAGGGTCCAAAATTAAACTTTGTTTGATTTCATCAAAAATTGAATTATTGGGGTTCTTTGATATTCCAAATCTAACCGTGTATTTAGATTTTTAATTTTAAGTCCTGTTTTTTTAAATTGGACTACATTAAGGTCCAAAGGGTCCAAAATTAAACTTTGTTTGATTTTAACAAAAATTGAATATATGGGGTTCTTTGATATGCTGAATCTAACCATGTATTTTGATTTTGGACATTGGACCATAATAGGTAAATTAAAAAAATTCAAGTTCTTAGACCACATTCTTTCTGTGTCAGAAACCTATGCTGTGTCAAATATTTAATAACAATCCAAATTCAGAGCTGTATCAAGCTTGAATGTTGTGTCCATACTTGCCCCAACTGTTCAGGGTTCGACCTCTGCGGTCGTATCAAGCTGCGCCCCAGCGAAGCATTTTATTGGCTCATATCTCTGAAACCAAAGCATTTAGAGCAAATCTGATGGTATAAAATTGTTCATTAGGTCAAGATCTATCTGCCCTGAAATTTTCAGACCAATCAGGCAACATGTTGTTGGGTTGCTGCCCCTGAATTGGTAATTTTAAGAAAATTTTGCAGCTTTTGGTTATTATCTTGAATATTATTATAGAAAGAGATAAACTGTAAACAGCAATAATGTACAGCAAAGTTAGATCTACAAATAAGTCAACATGACCAAAATTGTCAATTGACCCCTTAAGGAGTTATTGCCCTTTATAGTCAATTTTTTACAATTTTCATAAATTTTGTAAATTTTTGTAAATTTTTACAAAATATTTTCCACTGCAACTACTGGGCCAAGTTCATTATAGATAGAGATAATAGTAAGGAGCAAGAATGTTCAGTAAAGTAAGATCTACAAACACATCACCATCACCAAAACACAATTTTGTCATGAATCCATCTGTGTCCATTGTTTAATATGCACATAGACCAAGGTGAGCGACACAGGCTCTTTAGAGCCTCTAGTTTTTTCCAAAATTCTTATTTCTGTGCTATTTGGGTTTCATGCATAGAACAGTTCTTAGAAGGTGATTCAATTGAGAATATTAGAATTTGGCTGTCACAGCAATCTGACTAAAATACAGATCCTATGTCCAAGCTTTGCTTACAAGGATCTGATAACACTCTGTTTTACTTTCTGTTCTGATAATTATTGCTTCAGCCAATGATATTTCAGCCTTCACAATTTTTAAAGGTGTGAACCACAGGATTCTGAAAGGTCTTAAAAACAGAAAGTAGAACCGAGCATTTTCAGATCCTGGTGAGGAAAGCTTAGACACATGATCTGTGTTTTAATCAGATTGCCTGCCACAGCTGACATTTTTTACATATGAAGATGGACAGTTGTTAAACATCCAGCAGCAAATTAAATGCATTTGATTGAGTTAAGCTATTTCAGTTGATATTTTATAGTGTGTCTTTCTATGTTGTGATGTTACACTATTGTTTCAGAAAAAGGGTGAAGGTTTGGTACCGTTAAACCCGCTGCATTTGTTTGCACCTGTCCTAAGTCAGGAATCTGATGTTCAGTAGTTGTCGTTTGTTGATGTGGTTCATAAGCAGTCAGGGGACTTATTGAAATAAGTGATTTTTAAATCACTTATTTAAGAAGCAAACTCGAAGTTTTGTCACGAATTGTAATTTTGTAGTTTTATCAAAATTTTAAACACATAGGTTTAGATAATATCTTTTCATTAGTAAAATTGAAAAAAATGAACTTTTTGCTTCTTTTAAGCAGCAAGGTTTATGCCTTTGATGCAATCATTTATCTGCAAATTCTATTTTAGTTGAAAAAATGCTATAAAAATGGCTTTACATAATGAACTGATACTTTCTTAACAGATTTTTTCCAGCAGTGGGAGTATTTTTCCTGTAAAATTCAAGGTTTCATCTTATAGATTATGTAATATAATTCTACTGTTCGCGACCAAAATTTCACTGTTCGGGGGTGTTGAAATTAGTGGGGGTTATTAAAATAATGATACTTAAAGAAGTGATTTTTTGGAAGGAAATTGAGGTATGATACTTAAACAAGTGATTTTTGTGTCATTATCCTAGATTTAGTACAAGGTCATCACCTTACATGACCTGGTCATCCTATCAACACAGATGTTGGTTCTGATAATTTTAGCAACATAATTAGTCCCTGGATCATTAGTATTCTATATTTAAAGCTACAATAAAATTAAATCACTTAGTCTAGTGATTAATTTGTACTACTTAAATAGGTGATTATTAAAGAAAGACAACTCTTACTTCCAACCTTTATGGACATAATGTTACTTGAATCAGTGATTTAGAAAATCACTCATTTAAGTAAGTCCCCTGACTGATAAGTGTTTCTCGTTTCTCGTTTTTTATATAGATTAGACCGTTGGTTTTCCCGTTTGAATGGTTTGACACTAGTAATTTTTGGGGCCCTTTATAGCTTACTGTTCGGTGTGAGCCAAGGCTCCGTGTTGAAGACCGTACTGTGACCTATAATGGTTTACTTTTATAAATTTTGACTTGGATGGAGAGTTGTCTCATTGGCACTCATA